ATACAATATAGTGAGCTCAAGTATTCATGCCTGATAACTGTATCTAGTATGATTAATACAATTTGGAAGATTGCTTGCTTTGTAGTTATATGAAAATCAGGTGACATAAGAAAATGCAGATGTTATTTATTAGACAGAAAGCACCAATTCTGATCATTTTACTGTACTGTTTTCTTTAACTTACGCATATGATTTTTATCCTTTGACATGGCAGCCACTGCATCTTCATGTGTCACAAATTCTACATCAGCTTCGCCTGTTGCTCTACCGTCTGCTCCAATGTCAATATGAACTCTTATAGGGGTCAGTGGTGAAAAAAACTAAAAATGAGAAATAGTACATTAATGATTGTAGAAATATTTAAATCTAAGCTAGAAGATTTTAAATGCGTCCAATCCATTTCACATTTACTAACAGCCATACCCATAGTGTGGTTTTTTAGACTGAAGTTCCTCCTCGAATTCACACACATGTTATTACGATGCTTAATCTACAGAAGCTCTTAAATACCTTATTTCAGCCTTTCATCCATTACACTATGTAACACAATTTTTGTTCCCGAGTTATAAATGTCATATTGCGATTGGTTCTATCATAAAAACATGGTTTATTAAATTGCAAAAACCTTGTTTTTGCAAGGCATCCTGCAGCACATTTTACTATACGTTTTTAATGAATATCTCATCAAGTTTCAACCAATTCAACATAAGTTCTTGTGGATTTTTTCAGGCTATATGGCCATGCTCTAGAACATGGCCATATAGCCTGAAAAAACCCACAAGAACTTAGTGATTCCAGCCATGAAAGCCTTCGACAATACAATTCAACATAGTTTGTGTCAGCCACAAAAACAAAGTTTCTGGAGTATAGCAGCTACTTCCAAAGTAAGTACCACATAATTAAACCAAAATCGACAAAGTAACAGAATTTTAAAAAATATTTTGTTACATGGTTATCATTGGACTATGAATAATGCACAAAATCTTGATATTATTACAGCCTGGAGTAGACAACTTCAGGCTCTATTGTGATTCTATTAGAATCCTATGGTCTATGAACAAGCAATTCGCCGAACAGTAGCTTAAGGAAAGGTTTAAGTCTAGACACAAAATAACATCTCAAAGTATGGAGTCAATTTTCCTCATAAACCTTACAATGGGATCAGTTGCATTTACTTGTACAAACAGACTGGTTATAGACTATAGATCATGCATTAGAATAAAAATATCTAAACCCATTCAGAAGAGCTTCAAAAAGGGCACATTGCAAAAGAACACCACTGAAGATGAATGATAAACAATGCAAAATTAGGTAAGGCTGATTTTCAAAATGTTACTATACTCTTATGTTAACCGGAATGATATTGAACACAAACATTGGTCTATTTAAAAAAAAAACTAAGCTAGTTCATATGAGATTTTTCAGCTCAGTTGCCTTGTTGGTGCTTCATTTCCTCTGTAACCCCAATTTCAATTCTTGAGACAATTATGATCAATAATATTTTGGGGGGGGGGGGTGTGCGTGATTTCTGACTTGAACATTCCTATGTCTACCTAAAATGCTCTAACATCTCAAAGTCTTCAGAACTGAATGGACCGTGGGGAAACATTATATCCATGAGGTTGCTTCTGCTCAAAATTGGCTTTAATTTGATAGATGGGTTAATTCATAGACATTCAATTAGGCTACCAGAATAGATAAAAGGTGTTCTATTTTTTTTAACTGCAAGCCCCAGGGTTTGTTTGCTTTTTGTTTGATGATTTCAAGTCTCCATAGCAAGGAGCACAAGTACTGATAAAATACTGTATATCGAAAAAGAAACTATTCACAAAACCATAACAGTAACCAAGAAAGAAGTTTACTCTATCATTTCTTTTCTGGATCTTCTATAGCTACATCTTTTACAGTTTCTATATATTCAACTAGTGATCAGTAACAAGCCTCGTTTTAGTGTAATTGTTACACTACTGATCACTAAAACAAATGAAAGCATGAATGGTAATAATAACTAAGTAAAGCTTCCTATTTGCTAGTTTTTTAAAGTTAATGATCTCAATCATCTTCCATAAAGTAGCCAAATCCTCTCCTTACCTGAGTTTTTACAACACACAACTTCTTTTAAGATCTATTTATTTAGTTGTCAAACATATTATAGTTTTTATTTGATTTATATTCCCACTTTTCTATAGAAGTTAGGATGCAAGGCTGCTTGTCATCATAATTGTTAAAGCCCCAACAAAAATAGAATAAATCAAACATGTTAGGATGCAAATTAAATTTATTTATAATGTTTAAAAAACTTTTAAAACCCTAAACAAGCAGTATTTTTTTAAATCTAGCATATTCATTTTATAATCTTTGGTTAAAACAGATAGTCAGTTCTCATGGGTCAGCCCTTTCACCCCTCACCTCCCAGTGAAAACAGAGAAAGAGCTAGATTACTTGTGAATGAAAGGGAATTCCAATGTGGGAACAGACACTGATATGGCCTTCTCATCCCTGCATCAAATCGACCAAAATATGTTCCTCTCCTACAGATACCAAAATCCTAGTAGCCTAGCATGGGGAAACAGTGGCAAGCTGCCCACACCCAAATCATTTATAACTTAAAGCTCCATAAGCAACACTCCAAATTTGGCCCAGAAAATTGACTCTGAGCTATTGCACATTATCTCTCTAGCGCTGGTCAAAAGTCTGGATACAACTTTTTGGACCAATTGCAGTTACCAAACACTTTAAAGATAAACACATGTAAAATACATGTGAAGGAATCCAAACAGTATTTAACAAAGGCACATGTCATTATGGCTAGACCAGCACTTTCAGGAACAAGGAGAACTGACACATCAGGTTGAATTATATAAATGCACTTCTGGCCAGGATTGAATCCAACAGTACGTACATGGAAACAGAAAACCTGCCTCTCCAGCGGTAGCATAACTCTATCCTGCACAAACTATTGTTTGATTTGGCTTTCAGATGACCAGGAGCACCTCTGATTTGTCCAAGGTTCCTTCCACATAGTTGAATATAATCCCACATTATCTGCTTTGAACTGGAATATATAGCAGTGTGGACTCAGATAATCCAGTTCAAAGCAGATATTGTGGAATTTTCTGCCTTGATATTCTGGGTTATATGCCTGTGTGGAAGGGCTATGAATTTAGCATTGATGTGTTTACCCTCCTCCAATATACCAATAAGCTAAAATTAACAAAAGCTATCATGAATAAAATACATGGTAGAGTTTAGTACTACCATACATTCAAATCAGTTTCAAAATGGTTGCATGCATCTCATTTCCGAAGTAAGCAATTCACTGGTTATGAAAAATGAAAAGAAGATGTGTCTGCAACACTTACATTAGCTATGTCATTTTCTGTAGCTCGAAATGGCAATCCCCTCATGTGAACAAAATGACCACCTTGAAAGCCTGAGCTGGCATCTCCTGCTCCACCATACCCATGGCCTCCCATTCCTAGAAACAAAATTGTCCATAAACACATGTTTTACTAAGGGACATCCTATGTGCACTTACTTCTCTTGTGGCAAATACTAGAATATATGCTACTATATGTTCACTTTTCACTAGTCATCTTTTGGTACCAGCCATAATTTATATTTTTTCCATTCCGTTCAAGAATGATGTATAGAAGAGTAATTTTGCCATCTAATCACATACTGGGATTTACAACCCTAAAGCAGTACACACAATTTCCTGCCACTGAAAAAAATAAAATCTACACCTAGAGATAAACAGTTTTCTTTTAGTTGCCATTTTTGCTAGAACTTATGTTCATACATTTTCTTAAAACAAAGTACATCCTTTTTTCTGTACTTAAGACAGCTTGAATGAGACAGCCTGATAGTGAAGCATATTATTCAGTGTTTAGATCTTACCTCTCCCATCTCTCATTCTGTCATCATAGCCATCATTTCCATAGCCATAATTGTTATAGCCACCATACTCATCAAAGCTACCATACCCTGTGAAATTTAAGTGGACATACAATGTAATGCTCTTTAAAGGCATGCTTCACATATTAACAGTATGCATATAACCAAAATTTCTCCACATTGAATACAAAAACAAATGCAGATACATAAATGCTGTCAGGCTCAAAGACATGCAAGCCAGGGTTTTTACAGTCAAAATCTAATTTTAGGTGCCTCTCCATACCTTTTCAATCTTTAGTCACACTGCTTGCAAAAAAACTGATTGGTATCCAGATTTCAGACTTGGTACGTATAATAGTTAATGTCATTTCTGTATTTCTTGACAAAACGTCAGGAACATGAAAATGACAAGAGCCTGTGGTCATTAGATACACATACCACCGTCATATCCACCACCTCCTCGATGCATTCTGTCATACATACTTCCACGCCCAGCTCCATAATAACCCCCTCTTCCTCCCATTGGTCTATCATATGGTCCAGGTCGCTGTCCCATCATTCTTCGTGGTGGGTCATAGAATCCTCGGATTTCACTCTTACTACTTTTGAAGATCTCAATATATCTGAGTAAAAAAAGATGCACAATATACAAATGTAAGAATACAAATATAAGATGTTTGGAAAAAATAGAGTAAATTTTTTCACAAATATTCTGAATTCTTTTATCTAGATAAAGCATTCAATAGAAGTGTACACTGTTGTTCCAAGTGTCACTTAAATATTTACGGAATTTAAATTCAAAACATTTTTCTGATTTAGTATACTGACTAAAAAAATCTAACTGTACATTAAATATAACAAATCTCTAAACCACACTCCCCCCTACCCCAGAAAAAAATGTCTGGCTATCACAGAACACCCTACACAAAAATTGAAATAGTCCAATTATATGAAGCTACATAATATTACCAATCCCCACTCCCACCAAATCTACAATACCTCCCAAGTTACTTAGGGTGATTCTTTTTTTTAAAACAATAGCCAGTTAATTTATTCTCCCCCAACCCCCCACCCAAGCATCACTGACACCCCCAACCCCCCAAAGAAGATTTAACACCATCCCAAACTCTCCATCCCCACCTGTGCCCTATTCTTTCCTTGTGTTTCCCCAGAGCTTTTTCTGCTATCTCCTTTGAAGCAAACTGCACGAAGGCCTCCCCTGTGCTTCTCCCCTGGTAGTCCAGCGTCAATGTTATCCCATTTGGCACGATTTCCAACCCTTTAACCCAAGGACAAATAACCCCATCAAGGGGAAGAGTGTTAAAGTCTGAAACATTCCCATCTGTAGAAAATACTTAAAGCAAATCTATACAAATACAAAAAAAATTGTTTAGCTTCCCCCCCAGGCTAAATACACACACTAAAGATGTTTCATTAAACTTTATGGGTTTAGACATTCTATTACTGTTTCTGTTCAGACTACACAGCAACAGCTACATCACAAAGGCCCACCTATGCTGCATACTGTACTAATAACTACATACTTTGTATATCCTGTTTCCTAGCAAGGTATCTAAATGTGTATAAATTTCATAGCCTATACTAACCAAAGCATTTCTTAACTCTTTAGCAGTATTTTAATAAAGAATACAAGAATTAGCTGTCTGAATTTTAAAGACTGATCCCCCCAATCCCCCCAACCAGGAATAACTAATAAAAATTAAAACTATTTGAAATATCAATCTTGCAGACATAGAAACACTGAAAGTCACTTGACATTAACACTAGAGCTACCTTGAAAGAACTGAACGATCTCCTCCTTGCTGCAGCCAAATGGCAGACCACGCAATCGTACTGTTCCATCACTAGATGAATCATTTGGACCATTATGTTTCCCAGCCCAGTCCATTTTGCTGTTTAAAATCAAACACCATAAAAAACATAAACAGCAAATTTAGCATTTGAGAATCATGATTCACCCCCACCCCTTCGTTAGCAGGACTGTATATATTAGCAATATCTTGAAACATTAAAAAATGCAACAGCTGCTCCAATGTTACCAAAAGCATAATGTTACCAAAAGTTTGCAACCGCCATTGTCTTTAATGCATACATACAACTAGCATGACCTTCTCATGCAGCCTGCCACACAGCTACCCTCAACACCTTTGGCTCTCGAATGAGCTGCACCTATCTATAAAGTCAACTTCTACTGCTTTGGAAAGCAATAATATCTCCCAGTTCCTGTCAATTAGCCCAGCCATGCACTGACCATTAACCCAATTTGCACTACCTTAACTCATAATGTTGCAGGCTTGTAAAGCCACTATAAACTTTTGCCTAACAATGCAAATGAACAGTGTGCACACACCTTTACTCTGCCTACGTACAAGCCACATGCATGTTTTCTTCCAATGTCAGCTATAGAACTGGAGTTCTGACAACTATGTGAGACAGTGACTGGGAAGCAAAACACCAGGATCTTAGAAAGGGGCTAATGGGCATGGGATAAAAAATGAAACAGGATAGTGCACAAAAGGTCAGGTTTCAACAGCAAGACAGACAACAGCCAGACAGAGAGAAGCAAACAAAACATTTTTTCTTTTGAAAGCTACTAGGCAGACAATTTCTTTTTTAATGAAAATATGACATATACAATATATGAAATGTGGAAGTCAACTATAAGTTAATAAGATAAGAATCAGGAAGGATAAGCATTTTTGTTTTCAGGACGTATGGAACGTCAGCTATTTAATGGGGCTCACAAACTTGCAAATGCATGTGCCCTAAAGAGAACATAGTAATATTCTTCTGTTTCAATAACTGAACAGGAATACCCAGAGATACTAGAAGCTTATTTAGTCATCAACTGAAGGCACATGTGAGAACCCCAACTTTAAAATAATGTGGTTTTACTCACTAAGAAATTTGGTATTAGTACACAAATTTTATTTAGTAATTTTCAGTTGGTAGGGAAGAAGTTGAAACTTATTCCTACAAGATTATTTTTTTAAAATAGGGACAGAAAATAGAGGAGGGATCCCCAGTTTTGTCCAGATTTTGCCTTATATTATAGCTTTGACAGTAGTCCTATCTTTCCCTATCTAGAAAGGCAAAAGGCTATAAGAGAAATGCATAAGGAAGGGTTCTATTCTTCACTAGACAAGTGTGGAAAAGATCTCTCAAGTAGAGAGAGAACACTTACGTCTGCTCCCACAAAGATGGACTCAGATCACATGCAAGAAACCACTTCTTTAGACTTGAAGCATGAAAAACAAATCACATCCCAACTGCCTCAAGATCACATATTTTCACAAAATACACCTTACCTACCAAGGTTAGAAAAACTATCCAGCAAAATGAAATAAAATGGCCAAACATGAATTGGTAGATGCAAATGCAGCTCACAAAATCACAATCACCACTATAGCAGGTAGCATTCTCCAAGTAACAATATGATTTCAACAATCTGCCTTGATCACCCAAGACAAACGTTAAGAGGCAAGCTCTCTGGACAACTAAGTATTAGTTCTCTCAAATCTGTTCTCCACATGAGCTTGAATCCCATTTACTAGTGCAGAAACTAATCAAACCCAAACATTAAGCTTGCCCACTACTTTAGAATAACAGAGAAGCCGCACTAGGAGAGTGCACAGTTCAAGGTTTCAGAACCTTTTGAAGCATGAAAATCATCATCAGAGAGAGAAATGTTCCACAAGAATGTGGATGTTTTCCAGTCTTACTAGTAAAAAAAAATCAGATTCTCTTCAACAGTATCAACAGGGTGGGTGGCTCAAACCATTATACACAATGAGCAATGTGTATGCTTCACACCAATAAAAGCAACAAAAGCATGGCAGGCAGTCTTCCCCAAACTTGAAATGGAACCATCTATGTGAGATGGATGTACTTGGGTGACAAAGTATGCATTTAATGCCAAACTTACCAAATGAACCAACAATTTAGCTGACTTTTGCTACATGTACCCCTCCCCCCCAACTTATCCCAGTTTCAGTGTAAGCTATGGAGTTCTTTCCTCCTCCCCCAAAATAACTAATGAGGCTATCTACTGATTGATGTTACAATTTGTCCCTTCCAGCTGCCTCCTGCAGGTGCCCCCTCCAGCTTTGCAATTATTTTTCAGAATTTCTATATCAAATCTGAATCTGACCTCATCACCAGCACATCAGAAGTGTATGTTTAAAGTGCTCAATTCTGATAAGAAAAGGTAAGAAAAGAACTCTCTACTTGCAACTCAAGCAGGGAACACTCTCGCCACCCATGGTAAGTACTCCACTTCCCTGAATATGATTATATCAGTCTCACTTAAAACATCACTATAGAGGAAAGATACAGAACCAAAGCTTAGCTCTAGAGGCAAAACATGCCAACTTTTTACCAAGAAGTCTCCAACTGTTCAAGGTTTAATCACAAGATGGACCCTGAAGATATTTTACTGGAGAGCCAAATGAGGAAAGGGATCAGCCCAGAAGTGACCACAGAAATGAAATTTAGTGGAGCACAAAAATACTAAAACTGGAGAGGTCTGAATTTCAGATGCATAATCTCCCCAAACAGCCTATAGTGGATCTGATCTCCAACTCTCCACATGTATTGGCTTCCCCAGCCATGTAAGTCTCATATTCTCTACCTGAAAACATAGTGTCTTGAAAGCTCTCTGAAGAAGTATGCCAACTGCAGATGTTTTACACAGTGTAAGTTACCAACAATTATAAGCAGAAAGAGTCTGTCAGTTCTGAAACTTTTCATATCTCCAATGAACTTGGAAGACCAAGAGATTATTTTCTAGTCTTTTAGCACAGAAGGCACACTCTTGCTGCAAGTTGTTCAAATAAGTCATTATATTCCTTTCTCCACCAGGACCCATTTGTCTATTTTTTTTCCTGAAAATTTAACAAGGAGAGAATGAGACCAACATTATTAGCCACAGAAATTGAACTTTAAAAAATTCTAATAACTGTGAAACATCACATCTTCTGTTAAAGTACCTTTTCCATGTAGGTACACCATGTAGGCCATGGTGTAATTGATCAGAAAGGTAGCAGCTTCTAAAGCTTATCCCTTCCAGCATTCAATCGCAAACTAGCATGTTTCCAACTAATCAAGTAGGTAATAAACAGGATACTACCTCCCAACTTAGTTATTCTACCAAGATGTTTTTTAACATCTAACATAGAGATTGAATGTATTATGACAATCTTCTATGAGACCATAATCTACACTGGTTACCAACCTTCACTTCCTAGTTGAAAAAAAAGATATGCAAAAGTTAACAAAGAGAAACCTAGTGTTTTATTAATAGGTTATTTTTTAATTTCTTTTTTAAAAAATCCCCCATAGGCATAAGAAAATGTTAAAAGTCTAAAAATAAAGTGACTGAAATTATATTCAAGAAACATACAGATTGGAGGTCCCCTTTTCACAATTTTTACTTCAAAATCCAATCCAAAAATGTCCCGAGGCAAAATTTGTTTCACACACAGAATTATTAAAAATTATTTTATACACAGGTTTTGTGTATCCACAGTTTCACTTATCCATGTCCCAAAACATATCCTCCCCCTCTCTCAAGGATTCTCTAGGTCCTCCAGTGCAATTTTATAGAATGCCTTGAGCCTGAGTACAGTCAAAATATAGGGTTTGGTATTATCCAGTTTCAGGTATCCATGGGTGTGGAAAGTGGGCATATCCCCTCGGATACAGAGATCACATTTTATATGTAATATACATTAATTTTGCATGTAGTCTTGGGACCAATTTCCAAGATATCTCATTATGTATGTGTATGCAAATATATGTATTTGAAAGTTTAAAAAAATATAAAACCATTCTGATCCTAAGCCTTTCAGATAAGGGACACTCAACCTAAATAACGAAGGTAAACGCCCACCCCAAAGACACCCATTTCCAGGTTTGGTAGAAAGGTGCTGCAAAATATTCTAGAGCAGTAATAGTCTCCTGCCAGAGATACAGTGTTCTGAATGCCACCAACTGAAAAAGAAAACATGAAATCACTGTGAAATTTATTTTTTCTGACAGGGCCAAGTACAAGTCCTGAGTGATAAGACAGTTATTGTTTTTTGTTTTGCAATTCTTATCTGGACTTTTAGCTCACAAGGTGGCCAAAAATGATGTGAATACAACGAAAGGAAAACAAAGCACTTACAACATTTCTAAAAACGAAAGAAACTGCAGCAATAAAGGCAAAACAAAAAGTACAGCTGTCTCCTAGGTTAGTAACTAACTCTTCCTTGGAGTTTCTACCTCTATTCTGTTTGGGACTGCCAATATTGATAATACATTGAATTGTGATGAGAAGGGGGGGATTTTCAATTTTCAATTGTCTAATAACTGCAACGGCAAATTAATAAAATTAAATTAAATTCAGATAAATGGAATAGATCCAACTCTAGTGAACTATACAATAAAAATATAATTAATTTCCAGATTAAAATCCCTGGGAAGTACATTTGAGAAGCAGTATTTGAGACACACTGAAATTAGTACAGTAAGTTTTCAATAGTTTCATTTCCTACTAAATCCTAAAAATATTTACAAGAACCCAAGATAATGTTCAAATACAACTACTTAAATATTACCTTGAATAATGCAATCTGAAATACAGCTATATGAATGATATTTCTCAACTGAATGAAACTTATGAGGTAGCTTAAATTACAATATCACTGTACTCAGATCCACTCACATGGATGAAAGTTCAATACAATTTATATCTAAATGTAATACTTTACTGCATCCATCAGCCTATCAAATATTTTGCTACAATTTTTGATACAAATAGGCAGTTACTGCCATTTTTCTTCACTTTGCATACTAAATTTATGTACAACTGGTATGAAGAATAAGGTATCGATTGAAGAACACACAAAACTTTGACTCAATTTTCCAAAAAAATCCCCTTACACCACTCCATTTAGATTTATGCTTGCTTTAAGTCTTCTCTTCCTGGTAGTTTGTTTGCCTTTCCAGAACACATGTACTTCTTGTTTGCTCAATTTTACCTTGGGTCCAGTAATCTTTGCCTCCAAGGTATGCTCTCTTTTTCTGCATTTATGACATGAGTGGGAAACTTACGTTTATCTAGAAATTGTTGAACTCCAATATCAGGCTCAGCCACTATTGCTAGTGGCCAGGGATGACAAGTTGTAATCCAAAAATCTGGAGAAACACAAGTTTCCCAGTGTTGACCTACTTCATCCAATAGAATTCCTCTACACATTTATTCAGATATAACTCAAAACTATGTTCAGGTTTTTTCCTCTCTCCAATATGAACATACACTGCATTACAGCCTTTGTTGTCATAGCTCCTATGAATCAGAAATGGCTATACCTTTTCGGATCACCTCTTTTTATCCCTTCTCCTGAAAAGAGATGAAGGATAAACGCCATCCTAAAACGAACTGCTCTCTCAAGCAGGAAACTTCAAAATGAATTCATTTTTTCAGAGCAGTTTGCTAAACACTGGTGCAATGCTTTCCTCATGCTACACAAAAATGTGTAGTAGGGACAAAACAGGGCATAATGAGAGATTGTCCCATAAAGTATTCAAGGCTATCTTTTTATGTAGTAACAAAGACACATGTATGTGTCATCAAAAGTTTTGAAATTTACAGGTCCCTTCAGGCATTTAAAAAATAAGACAATTTCCCACTTGAAAAACTTTGAATAGTATAAGCAGCAGACTGTATCAATGCACACTAACTCCTATTTTAATAATGCTTGCCTAAGAATTGGACAAACAGCACAATTCTATGCCTGTTTACTCAAGGGTTGGGTTTAATTATACTCAGTGATGCCTATTCTCAGATAACTTGGTAACAGTTCTGTACACAACCAAATATGTCACTGAGTGCAATAACTAAAGTACAAAAGCTATTCATACTTTCAGAAATAAGAAATGTATTCTGTTGCTTCAGAACTATACTACACAGCAAAATAAATACTTGTCAACTACATCAAGCCTAAAAGGGTAACACAGTATTACAGTCATACGAATAGAAGTGGGGTTTTTTTTATATATATTAATGGGATTGGTTTCTAGAACATGTTCAAAATGTGTTCTGCTGTAAACAGGCGTCTCTGAATTGTATGTAGCATTGAAATGATATAATCCTTTCAGAAAAATAAATAAAGGCCAAAAAAGCATTGTTTGTAGCAGTAACTTTGTTAAACAGGCCATTTACAATACAATCAGTATGTTACAGCTGATTACAAACTACAGGGTGGAGAAAACAGGATCGATTCTGTATCTTAACATATGCCCTTACCATAACCGAAAATGCCTTCTAACTTTTTAGTCAATATTCTGGAACAGTATTGCTATCCTGTTCTCTAAGATAAATAGCAAACAGGACTTACCCTTTTAGTAAATTCCTATTACACATGCGTTCTCTGAAGTACTTCTCACTGAGCCCTAAGGTAACTTAATATCAAGCACAAAAACTGAACACAGAAATTAGATTCAATTCTTTTAATGGGCATAGAACATTGAAAAAATAGAATAACCAGGCAGAGAATATAAAGCCCTTAGACTAAGTAGGTAGTTATTCTTTAGTGATTGTAGCAGCATGTTTTCTAGATTAGGAAATTGTACGAGGGGTATTTTTAAAGTAAGGCCTGTTTTGTTGTAGACACTAGTAGTTCGCGCGCATGCCACAACGAGTGCGTGCGTCATGTACCGGCATGCCTTGGGAACAACTGTGCTCATCTTCCGCTCTATAGCTAACCTGTACGGTTCTGTTCTGTGCTTTAAAAATGTTAAGACTATCAACTCACCCGCTGCATATGAGATTCGCTCGCTTCAACTGAAGCCACCAAATTTTCTGTAATCAAAGAAGGGCGACCGGACGTTGTCATGGCCATCTTTGAATTGTCGTACCCACTTACGCACTTTGCTTTCACTCATAACAGTATCACCACACACTTCACAAATCTGTCGATGAATTTCTGCAGCAGGCAGGCTCCTTGCTGACAAAAACCGTATCAATGAGTGAACCTCACATGCGGAATCATAGAATCAAAGAGTTGGAAGAGACCTCATGGGCCATCCAGTCCAACCCCCTGCCAAGAAGCATTCAAATCACCCCTGACAGATGGCCATCCAGCCTCTGTTTAAAAGCTTCCAAAGAAGGAGCCTCCACCACACTCCGGGGCAGAGAGTTCCACTGCTGAACAGCTCTCTCATGTTCAGATGGAATCTCCTTTCTTGTAGTTTGAAGCCATTGTTTAGTGTCCTAGTCTCCAGGGAAGCAGAAAACAAGCTTGCTCCCTCATCCCTGTGGCTTCCTTTCACATATTTATACATGGCTATCATATCTCCTCTCAGCCTTCTCTTCTTCAGGCTAAACATGCCCAGCTCCTTAAGCCGCTCCTCATAGGGCTTGTTCTCCAGGCCCTTGATCATTTTAGTTGCCCTCCTCTGGACACATTCCAGCTTGTCAATATCTCCCTTGAATTGTGGTGCCCAGAATTGGACACAATATTCCAGGTGTGGTCTAACCAAAGCGGAATAGAGGGGTAGCATTACTTCCCTAGATCTAGACACTATGCTCCTATTGATGCAGGCCAAAATCCCATTGGCTTTTTTGCCGCCACATCACATTGTTGGCTCATGTTTAACTTGTTGTCCACGAGGACTCCAAGATCTTTTTCACACGTACTGCTCTCGAGCCAGGCATTGTCCCCCATTTTGTATCTTTGCACTTTTCCTGCCAAAGTGGAGTATCTTGCATTTGTCCCTGTTGAACTTCATTTTGTTAGTTTTGGCCCATCTCTCTAATCCAGTGGTTCTCAACCTGGGGTCCCCAGATGTTTTTGGCCTTCAACTCCCAGAAATCCTAACAGCTGGTAAACTGGCTGGGATTTCTGGGAGTTGTAGGCCAAAAACATCTGGGGACCCCAGGTTGAGAACCACTGCTCTAATCTGTCAAGATCGTTTTGAATTCTGCTCCTGTATGAGTTGGAGCAGGGGTCCTCAAAAACTTTTTACATAAACTTATTAGTATTTCAATGGGAAGTGTGGGCCTACTTATTAGTATTAGTATTTCAATGGGAAGTGTGGGCCTGCTTTTGGCTGATGAGATAAGATTGTTGTTGTTGTTGTGTGCTTTCAAGTCATTTCAAACTTAGTTTGACCCTGAGTGAGGGCCAGGTAAATTACTCTGGAGGGCCGTATCTGGCCCCCGGGCCTTAGTTTGGGGACCCCTGAGTTGGAGGGTGAGTTGATAGTCTTAAACATTTTTAAAGCACAGAACAGAACCGTACAGGTTAGCTACAGAGCGGAAACTGAGCACAGTTGTTCCTGAGGCATGCCGGTACACGACGCACACGCTCGTTGCGGTATGCGCGCGAACTACTAGTGTCTACAACAAAACGGACCTTACTTAAAAAATACCCCTCGTATTTCTACTCCTTTTGTCGTACGGTTTGTATTCTCACTTTCTATGTATGTTTGTTGATTGTGTGTTAGTTTTTCTTAATGCAAATTATGAACGAGGGATTACAGATTCAGCACTTTTAGAAGCGCGCGCAGCAAGTAACCATGCAGCCCTACAACAGAACAGGCCTGGCAAACGCCTAGGGCGCTTTGCGCGGAAATCCCCCCGCCCTCTGAGCACGCACGCTCCGACCGCGCAGGCGCAAACCCCACAAAGAACAGTGGGAGGGGGCGTGGCAGAGGCCAGAACGCCCGCTCTCTGGGAGGAGGAGGGGAGAAGGGGGTGTGATCCTCCTGGAGGCCTCGCGCCTGTGTGCGCGCGCGCACGGCCTTTCCTTTTGTCAGGCGCGCGCCGGCCCGTTACTGTCCGTTGCCCGTCTCTCCCTCCTCTTGGCCCGCTTTGTGGACTGAGGGCCCTATCCCCGCACCTCGAGGCGTCGCCCGCCCACACTTCCCTCCCTTCTCTTCGCCTTAAAACATGGCGCCTGAGGGAAAGGCAGGCCTCGCGCCCAAAGCACAGGCCCTCTCTCTCGGCCCCTCTCTCTGACCCGGCCGTGGCTCCAGAAGGCGGGCCCGCCCACTCGGCCCGCTCTTTCCCCGCGGGCTCGCCGTCGGGCCCCTTCCCGCCTCCCCACTCACCGGCAGCACCTCACCCCCTTCCCCAGCTGACTTTCCGGCGCAACGGGCCCCGCCGAACTCGCCCTCAAAAAGGCCCAGGAAGCGCTCGCGGCGGAGCGAGCTGCGCAGCTGAGGCGGGAGGGATGGCGCCGACGACGCGTCTCGCGAGAACGCCTCCGACAGGAAAGTCGCGTCCTGGTGCCCGGATGCAGGCTGCAGCGCATGCGCAGGAGGGGAGCCGGGGAGGAAAGGCGGGAGGGAGCGAGAGAGCGTAAGATGGCGGTGGCCCGTTTTGCATGCATTTCTTCCCTGCAGCGGAAAGCAGCCCGCAAGGACAGTTTAGTACCTCAGGGTCCTGCCACACAGCCATATAACCCAGAATATCAAGGCATATAATCTGCTTTGACCTGGGTTATCTGTGTCCACACTGCCATACATTCCAGTTCAAAGCAGATAATGTGGGATTTTCCGTCTACGAACCCACGCATTCACTTCCATCATCTGGAGAGGCCCTGCTCGTGATCCTATCTGCGTCACAAGCGTGCTTGGTGGGGACTCAAGACAGGGCCTTTTCTGTGGTGGCCCCCCGACTCTGGAACGCCCTCCCAAAAGATCTTAGACAGGCCCCTACACTGGCAGTCTTCAGAAAGAACTTGAAGACTTGGCTGTTCCGATGTGCCTTCCCACATTAGGAATCTCCAATACCAAGTCCTAGAAGCACTTCAGTAGAACTAAGATTGCTGCACACCGCACACTGCACTTACTTTATAATCCTACATACCTCCTGCCACATCTGCACTTTTAATCTTAGTACCCATTACTCTGGCCCGGCTCAGTTTTATGTATTGTTGTTATACTGCTTGTTGTTGTTGTTCATTCGTTCAGTCGTCTCCGACTCTTCGTGACCTCATGGACCAGCCCACGCCAGAGCTCCCTGTGGGCCGCCAGTTCCCTCAAGGTCAATCCAGTCACTTCAAGGATCCCATCCATCCATCTTGCCCTTGGTCGGCCCCTCTTCCTTTTGCCTTCCACTTTCCCCAGCATAATTGTCTTCTCTAGGCTTTCCTGTCTCCTCATGATGTGGCCAAAGTACTTCAACTTTGTCTCTAGTATCTTTCCCTCCAGTGAGCAGTCAGGCTTTATTTCCTGGAGGATGGACTGGTTGGATCTTCTCGCAGTCCAAGGCACTCTCAGAACTTTCCTCCAACACCACAGCTCAAAAGCATCGATCTTCCTTCGCTCAGCCTTCCCTAAGGTCCAGCTCTCACATCCGTAGGTTACTACAGGGAATACCCTGGCTTTGACTAGGCGGATCTTTGTTGCCATTCTGATGTCTCTACTCTTTACTATTTTATCGAGATTGGACATTGCTCTCCTCCCAAGAAGTAAGCGTCTTCTGATTTCCTGGCTACAGTCTGCATCTGCATATGTAGTTCACCATGGAAAAAGAAAATGAAGGAAGACTGCCTGTTCTAGATGTCCTAGTCATCCGCAAACCAGATCAACAATTGGGTCACACCGTCTACAGAAAACCCACACACACAGATAGATATCTACATAAAAACTCCAACCATCACCCAAGTCAAAAAAGAAGCACCATTAAAGCCTTGGCAGACCGTGCAAAAAGAATCTGCGAACCCCACCTCCTCCAAGATGAACTGAACCACCTCAACTGGGCTCTCCAGGCCAATGGATACTCCACCTCAGACATCAGAAGAGCTGCAAGACCACGAACAAGCCACGAGAGTAAAGATGAAGATCCACCCAGAGGAAAAGTGTTCCTGCCATACATCAAGGGAACCACTGATCGCATAGGGAAGCTGATGAGGAAACACAACATCCAAACAATCTACAAACCCACCAAGAAAATCCAACAAATGCTACGTTCAGCAAAGGACAAGAGGGATCCTCTCACCTCTGCAGGAGTCTACCGTATACCATGCAGCTGTGGACAAGTCTACATAGGGACCACCAAACGCAGCGCCCAAACACGAATCAAGGAACATGAAAGGCACTGCAGACTACTTCAACCAGAGAAGTCAGCCATAGCAGAGCACCTGATGAACTAGCCTGGACACAGCATATTATTTGAGAACACAGAAATGCTGGACCACACCAACAACCACCATGTCAGACTACACAGAGAAGCCATTGAAATCCACAAGCATGTGGACAATTTCAACAGAAAGGAAGAGACCATGAAAATGAACAAAATCTGGCTACCAGTATTAAAAAACTCTAAAATTATAACAGCTAAACAACAGAGAGGAAAAAACCAGGCACAGATTAACACTTCCCAGCAACAGATTTTCCCAGACTCAGGCAGGCCTTCAAATGCTAATGAAGGTGATCAGCTAAACATTCACACCTAACTGCAGCAGGGAAGAGCTCCTTGCCCCACCCCAGCCATTCCACAGATATATAAACCCATTTTTCCTACTTCCAACAGACCTTCTCAACCTCTGAGGATGCTTGCCATAGATGCAGGCGAAACGTCAGGAGAAATGCCTCTAGAACATGGCTCTATAGCCCGAAAAAACCCACAAGAACCTAGTGATTCCAGCCATGAAAGCCTTCGACAATACATCAATACAGAATCATTTTACGGCCTCCACATTTTCTCCCTCTATTTTCCAGTTGTCAATCCTTCTTGTTGCCATAATCTTGGGGTTTTTTTGATGTTTAGTTGCAACCCAGCTTTTGCACTTTCTTCTTTCACCTTGATTAGAAGGCTCCTCAGCTCCTCCTCGCTTTCAGCCATCAAAGTGGTGTCATCTGCATATCTATGGTTAATATTTCTTCCATTTTTATCCCACCCTTGCATTCGTCAAGCCCCGCACATCGCATGATGTGTTCTGCATACAAGTTGAATAGGTTGGGTGAGAGTATACAGCCTTGTTGTACTCCTTTCCCAATCTTGAACCACTCTGTTCCATGGTCAGTTCTTACTGTTGCTACTTGGTCCTTGTACAGATTCCTCAGGAGAGAGACAAGGTGGTTTGGGATGCCCATCCCACTAAGAACTTGCCACAATTTATTATGATCCACACAGTCAAAGGCTTTAGAATAGTCAATGAAGCAGAAGTAGATGTTTTTCTGAAACTCCCTGCCTTTCTCCATTATCCAGCGGATATTGGCAATTTGGTCTCTCGTTCCTCTACCTTTTCTAAACCCAGCTTGAACATCTGGCAACTCTCGCTCCATGTATTGCTGGAGTCTTCCTTGCAGGATATTGAGCATTACCTTACTGGCATGAGAAATAAGGGCCACTGTACGGAAGTTTGAGCAGTCTTTCGCATTTCCCTTTTTTGGTATGGGGATATAAGTTGATTTTTTCCAGTCTGATGGCCATTCTTGTGTTTTCCATATTTGCTGGCAAATGGCATGCATCACCTTGACAGCATCATCTTTTAAGATTATACTGCTTAACTGTTTTTAATTTGCTTTAGGTATTGTATTGTTGTATGGTGTTTTGAGGCCTTGGCCTATGTAAGCTGCATCGAGTCCTTCAGGAGATGCTAGCGGGGTACAAATAAAGTTATAATAATATATAATAATTTTAAATATCTATCTATCTATCTATCTATCTATCTATAAAAATGCTCTGGTCATAATGAGTACCTTAAAAACAAAAGAACCAATGAACGAAATCACACCAAATTCGGTAACTAAACGTCTCACAACACAAGGAGTGACCATCACTCAAAAAATTATGATTTTGTCATTTGGGAGTTGTAGTTGCTGGGATGTATAGTTCACCTACAATCAAAGAGCATTCTGAACTCCACCAACAATGGAATTGAACCAAACTTGGCACACAGAACTCCCATGACCAACAGAAAGTACTGGAAGGGTTTGGTGGGCATTGACCTTGTGTTTGGGAGTTGTAGTTCACCTACATCTAGAGAGCACTGTGGACTCAAACAATGATGGATCTGGACCAAACTTGGCACGAATATTCCATATGCCCAAATGTGAATACATAGGGAGTTTGAGGGAAATAGACCTTGGCATTTGGGAGTTGTAGTTACTGGGATTTGTAGTTCACCTACAATCAAAGAGCATTCTGAATGAACCCACGAATGACAGAACTAGGGCAAACTTCCCAGAACCCCCATGACGAACAGAGAATACTTAAGGCCATCCAGTCCAACTATCTTCACCAGGGCAAGAAAACAGAGAGCCATCCAGCCATAGATATAGATAGATATGATTCACACACAGAGAGATAAAGTACCATAGATTTGAAAGAGACCCTTAAAGAAGGACTATATGTTGCATATTCCAGACAATCTCTACACCAACACTGTCAAAGAAACATCAAGAAATGCTGTTTACCCACAAGCATAAAGACATTACATATATTAGAAACCAGCACTTTCTAATTACTTTATTTTCCATATCACCAGACTGGGCCACAGCAACACGTGGCAGGAGACAGCTAGTAATAATAATAATAAACCGTTATACCCCGCTAACATCTCCCGAAGGACTCGGTGCAGCTTACAAGAGGCCGAGGCCCAACACATCAATAAAACAACAGCATAACAAATACAACAATAAATAAACTCATAAAACATGTAATAAACATTAAAACAATAGCAATAAACATTAGACAATTAGACCACGACACATTTAAAGCTAAGGCCGTGCCAAATGTAATGATTAAAAAATTTAAAAATGCTGGGCATGACAGGTGAAATGGATAGGATTTTGGAGATAGGTGCGGTGTGCAGACAATCTTAAATCTCTAGTAAAGTGCATTTGGGACATGATGCTTGGAGTTTCCAATTCTGGGAAGGCACATTGGAACAACCACGTCTTCAAGCTCTTCCTAAAGACTGCCAATGTTGGGGCTTGTCTGATGTCCTTGGGGAGAGAGTTCCAGAGTGGGGGGGCTACCACGGAGAAGGCCCTGTCCCTCGTCCCCACCAATCGCGCTTGCGACACAGGTGGGATCGTGAGCAGGGCCTCTTCCCTCTTTTATTCAAGGGGCCTCAGTTGACAAGGAAGCCTCTCTTTTAACAAAGGCATATCGCCTTTTCCTCCTCATCCTCTTTGCCTTGCTAGGGAGGGCTTTTGACCGTTCTTTTTCTAAAGATTAATCTTTTTTATTTTCAATTTACATAGTCATACAAAGCAGTGAAATAAATTTATATACATGTATATATGCATGAACCAATGCAATACTTTCTAACATCTATACTAAGGGTCCTCAAACTTTTTAAACAGAGGGCCAGGTCACAGTTTCTCAAACTGTTGGAGGGCCGGATTATAATTTGAAAAAAAATGAATGAATTCCTATGCACATTGCACATATCTTATTTATAGTGCAAAAAAAAAGTAAAAGCAATGCAATAATTAAAATGAACAATTGTAACCCATTTTCCTAGTTCCAATCATCTGGACCAATGAGCAAACAATGTGATGTGGCGGCAAAAAAAAACCAATGGGATTTTGGCCTGCATCAATAGGAGCATAGTGTGTAGATCTAGGGAAGTCATGCTACCCCTCTATTCCGCTTTGGTTAGACCACACCTGGAATATTGTGTCCAATTCTGGGCACCACAATTCAAGAGAGATATTGACAAGCTGGAATGTGTCCAGAGGAGAGCAACTAAAATGATCAAGGGTCTGGAGAACAAGCCCTATGAGGAGCGGCTTAAGGAGCTGGGCATGTTTAGCCTGAAGAAGAGAAGGCTGAGAGGAGATATGATAGCCATGTATAAATATGTGAGAGGAAGCCACAGGGAGGAGGGAGCAAGCTTGTTTTCTGCTTCCCTGGAGACTAGGACACAATGGGAACAATGGCTTCAAACTACACAAGAGGAGATTCCATCTGAACATGAGGAAGAACTTCCTGACTGTGAGAGCTGTTCAGCAGTGGAACTCTCTGCCCCGGAGTGTGGTGGAGGCTCCTTCTTTGGAAGCTTTTAAACAGAGGCTGGATGGCCATCTGTCAGGGGTGATTTGAATGAAATATTCCTGCTTCTTGGCAGGGGGTTGGACTGGATGGCCCATGAGGTCTCTTCCAACTCTTTGATTCTATGATTCTATGATGATGATTATTATTAAGGACTTTCCATAGTCAATCAAGGGCCCAAATACTGCAAAGGGGAGTATGGATCTGATATAGTGTCTCGTGCTGCGGATGTTATTGTGTGTCTTAGAGGTCTTGGGACCCTGCCTTTGTTGAGAGAATTGCCTTTGCTGCCTTTGCATCCCATGGTGCAACTCATAAGGCTGAAACTATGACCCTTGTGGCATGACACCTGGGAATCAGTCCTGTACCTCAGGACTTTGATCCAAGCGAACAGGCATGGGACTCTATTAATCATTGCATTTCTTTATTGCATTTCTATATACATGGAAAGAATGCTTCAATTTTTGTAGTTAATGAATTAATTAATGAGACATAATTGATCATTAACATTTCAAGGGATTTTCTTCTAAACATAAGACAAAATGCTTCCAACTGCATAGAAGAATAAATGTTCTATAACCGTAGATAAAGCTGCTAGCAATTTCCCTTCCTTGAGTTTAATATTAACTGAGACGTTTATGCAACAGTTAGAAAGGAAAGTTACCATTTTGCAAGAGAACATTCTGAAAACCAGCAAAACACCAAAGAGAAAATGCAGATTTCTATTTTCACCGTTGATGCGTTTACAGATCAACCATTTCGTGGCAACCCTGCAGCCGTTTGTCTTCTTGAAGATGTAAGTTTTTGACATTTGCCTTTATCTTAAACATGACAATTGTTCAGTCATTTTCTGACTTAGTGCAGTTTTTATTAATTTCAATATGACTTTAAAGTGCAGTTTTTATTAATGTCAATATCATAGAATCAAAGAGTTGGAAGAGACCTCATGGGCCATCCAGTCCAACCCCCTGCCAAGAAGCAGGAATATTGCATTCAAATCACCCCTGACAAATGGCCATCCAGCCTCTGCTTAAAAGCTCCAAAGAAGGAGCCTCCACCACACTCCGGGGCAGAGAGTTCCACTGCTGAACAGCTCTCACAGTCAGGAAGTTCTTCCTAATGTTCAGATGGAATCTCCTCTCTTGTAGTTTGAAGCCATTGTTCCGCGTCCTAGTCTCCAAGGAAGCAGAAAACAAGCTTGCTCCCTCCTCCCTGTGGCTTCCTCTCACATATTTATACATGGCTATCATATCTCCTCTCAGCCTTCTCTTCTTCAGGCTAAACATGCCCAGCTCCTTAAGCCGCTCCTCATAGGGCTTGTTCTCCAGGACCTTGATCATTTTAGTCGCCCTCCTCTGGACACATTCCAGCTTGTCAATATCTCTCTTGAATTGTGGTGCCCAGAATTGGACACAATATTCCAGATGTGGTCTAACAAAGCAGAATAGAGGGGTAGCATTACTTCCCTAGATCTAGACACTATGCTCCTATTGATGCAGGCCAAAATCCCATTGGCTTTTTTTGCCACCACATCACATGTTGGCTCATGTTTAACTTGTTGTCCACGAGGACTCCAAGATCTTTTTCACACGTACTGCTCTCGAGCCAGGCGTCCCCATTCTGTATCTTTGCATTTCTTTTTTTCTGCCAAAGTGGAGTATCTTGCATTTGTCACTGTTGAACTTCATTTTGTTAGTTTTGGCCCATCTCTCTAATCTGTCAAGATCGTTTTGAATTCTGCTCCTGTCCTCTGGACTATTGGCTATCCCTCCCAATTTGGTGTTGTCTGACTTTAACTAGTTACAGTTAAGGTTACAGAGACCAATCATGTGCATTATTTATTCAGAAATATAAAATTTATTAAATTAACTAATTAAAAAACCCAAACATTAAGACCCTTATAGCACAGAATCATAGTATCATAGAATTATAGTTGGGGAGACCATATGGGCCATCTAGTCCGACTCCCTGCCATGCAGGAAAAGAACAATCAAAGCACCCCCGACTTTTGTCAGGCGCGCGCCGGCCCGTTACTGTCCGTTGCCCCGCTCTCTTGTAAAATCTTACAAGGAAAGAGCTTCGGCCAGACACCAAACCTGAGAGTTCCACTTCTGAACAGCTCTTCTTACAGTCAGGAAGTTCTTCCTAATGTTCAGGTGTAATCTCCTCTCCTGTAATTTGAACCCATTGCTCCATGTCCTAGTTTCCAGGGCAGCAGAAAACAAGCCTGCTCCCTCTCCCTTATGACATACTTATCTCCCTTTTGCATATTTATCCATTGCTCATGTCTCCTCTCAACCTTCTCTTCTGCAGGCTAAACATACCCAGCACTTTCAGACACTCCTCATAGAGTTTCACCCTAAAGAGTTGTTTGTTCTGCCTGCATTTCAGTGAGCAACCTGATGACTCAGTCCCATAATACGCTATGTCAGATAACAGTTGCTTCTGACAGGTGGTTATACAAACAAGACATAATTTGATAAGTATTTAACTTCCCATCTCTGCATTGCATTGCCTTTAAAAAATAAATGCATAATAACTTGTGTGTGTGTATTTTTGCTTAATTTTGGGTTTGTTTACAGAAGTAGCTGTGACTCCTTCATGCATAAAGGAACAAAGAAATAAATGCAACCTGGGTGTTTCAGAGAGTAACGTCAGATAAGCTTGACATAAACCTGCAGAGCTGACGTGGCATAACCATGCTAAGTTCCCTCTGCTATCAAGAAAACATTTTCCAGCAGGGAACACATTTCTTAACTTTTATATAGAGCTGAAGTAGCAATTTATGTACCTTCAGATATTGACAAACTATAACTTCCATAATTCTTATCCAATGCACTTCTACAGTTGGGATGAGTAACACCTGCCTCACAGGCCACCACAACACTCTCCCCAAGCCCTAATGTCAAAACCTGTAAGGAAGGGACTGCAACGGCCCCGAATCAGGGTCAGTGCTCTGACTCAGTAAAAAGGAGTTTATTTTCCTACAGCCTGCTTTGCTCACTTTACCTAGATATGAAGACCCAGGCATGGGGCCTCCTACACTGAAAGTTTGGAAATGCTCCAGTGCTGTCCAAAGATAGATTGTGGGATTAACAGAACTCAAAAACCACTGGACGAATTGCAATAGATTTGGGGCATACCTCCCACACAGAACCCCCATGACCACCAGAGTGGGCCACAGCAACGCATAGCAGGGGATGGCTAGTCTATATAAATTAAAATGTAGTGTTCATTTGTGGGATTAACAGAACTCAAAAACCACTGGAAGAATTGACACAAAATTTGGACACAAGACACCTAACAACCCAATGTATGTCCTTCACTCAAAAAATTGATTTTGTCATTTGGAAGTTTCCAATCTGATATCAAGTGTTCTGACCCTGCTGAAAATAAAATCCAGTCCAACCCATCTTTTATTGGTTCTGTCAACAAATTCAGTATTTCAAGTTGCAGCATCATAATTTGCCTCCAATCATCCTCTTCTGTTCCTTTATTAGTCATCATTTACAAATCTATTCTTCTGGCGTTTGGGCTGCTTGAAACACTGTGAGGGTTATCCACTTATCCACTAGATGTCATCTTCTGCTCCTGACACAATAAAAAAATCTTCTGCTATCGTCCTGCTGACTATCTGACTGCTAAAAAAAAAAGATCCCTATACATTGTTGTAATTGTGTATAATTTGTGGTGATTCAAGTCCTATGTACTTATCAGGGGCGGCTCAACCCATTAGACAAAGTAAGCTTTGCAGTATAGTTGATTTTGCCCAGGGGCGCTCTTGAGGCGCTCTTGGGGGAAAATAGGCCTTGACATATGCGTGTTGTAGTTACTGGGATGTATAGTTCACCTACAATCAGAGAGCATTCTGAACTCCACCAATGATGGAATTGAACCAAATATGGCACACAGAACTCCCACGACGAACAGAAAATATATATCAGTGATTGGTGGGGGGGGGGGGCACAAAATACTGTTTGCTTACCGTTGAAAATTACCTAGGCCCGCCTCTGGTCCTTAATCCCTTACTTACATGTTCTGGCAGTCCTTGGCGCAGGCACAACACACCAGAGTGCCTTGTGCATAAATTTAGCTTTGTTCAAGTTATAATGTTGGGCTAGTTCATAGAACATTAGGGGCTGGTTAAAGACGTTTTCTGAGAGGTGAACTGATAGATGGAACAGACCATCCATCCCAGTTAAGGTACATAATAAACAAACACTTTTATGGCACATGAGGAAGATAATTCCGTCCTGGGCCCCGTCCTGTTCAACATCTTTATTAATGACTTAGATGAAGGGTTAGAAGGCATGATCATCAAGTTTGCAGACGACACCAAATTGGGAGGGATAGCCAATACTCCAGATGACAGGAGCAGGATTCAAAACTATCTTGACAGATTAGAGAGATGGGCCAAAACTAACGAAATGAAGTTCAACAGAGCAGAGGCGGCCCTAGGTAATTTTCAACAGTAAGCAAACAGTATTTTGCCCCCCCCCCAACTAATCACTGATATATATTTTCTGTTCGTCGTGGGAGTTCTGTGTGCCATATTTGGTTCAATTCCATCATTGGTGGAGTTCAGAATGCTCTTTGATTGTAGGTGAACTATACATCCCAGTAACTACACTTGCCGCACTTGCTCCCTTGCCTGGCCCGCTTTGGGTCCGGAGGCATGCCTGAAGACCCCGGCGTGTGCACCAAAAGTCACCTCTTCTCCTGACTTTCTCCTCAGCCATTGGGACCGAGAGAGAGAGAGAGAGAGAGAGAGGTGGAGATGCCCACCTTTCCTGAAGGTAGGCGCAAAAACAAAGGAGGGAGCGGAGGTGGGAGATACCTCCAGCCGGAGGGGCTCTCTCTCTCTCTCTCTCTCTCGGTCCCAATGGCTGAAGAGAAAGTCAGGAGAAGAGGCGACTTTTGGTGCGCACGCTGGGGTCTTCAGACACGCCTCCGGACCCGAAGCGGGCCAGGCGCGGCGGCTCCGCCCCTTGGCCCACCCGCGGATTGGGGAGAGGAGAGGAGGTGGGTGGAGCCAGGGGATCAGGAAAGGGAGCCGGTCATGGGGAAGGGATCTAACACGGAGAACAATTGAGCGCCGGCTCTGCTCGCGCACCCGGTGGCCGGGTGGAGCAGGAACGAGAGGGGCTAGGCGAGGCTCAAGGGCCCGGCCCCTTTGGGAAGAGGATCGCCCGGCAGCGAGGCAAGAAAGCCGAGGCTAGGGCTCTTGTGAGCTGAGGGGGCGCTCCTCAAGTGGCAGTCAAGGGGCATTTACAGAGGTGCCTCTGCGCCCCTGGCAAAAAAAGTGTTCTGCGACCGCTTACTTCGCATAATGGACGAGCCGCCCCTGCAACAGAGACAAATGCAAGATACTCCACTTTGGCAGAAAAAATGAAATGCAAAGATATAGAATGGGGGACAATGCCTGGCTTGAGAGCAGTACGTGTGAAAAAGATCTTGGAGTCCTCGTGGACAACAAGTTAAACATGAGCCAACAATGTGATGTGCGGCAAAAAAGCCAATGGGATTTTGGCCTGCATCAATAGGAGCATAGTGTCTAGATCTTAGGAAGTAATGCTACCCCTCTATTCTGCCTTAGTTAGACCACACCTGGAATATTGTGTCCAATTCTGGGCACCACAATTGAAGAGAGATATTGACAAGCTGGAATGTGTCCAGAGGAGGGCGACTAAAATGATCAAGGTTCTGCAGAACAAGCCCTGTGACGAGCGACTTAAAGAGCTGGGCATGTTTAGCCTGAAGAAGAGAAGGCTGAGAGGAGATATGATAGCCATGTATAAATATGTGAGAGGAAGCCACAGGGAGGAGGGAGCAAGCTTGTTTTCTGCTTCCCTGGAGACTAGGATGCGGAACAATGGCTTCAAACTACAAGAGAGGAGATTCCATCTGAACATGAGGAAGAACTTCCTGATTGAGAGCCGTTCAGCAGTGGAACTCTCTGCCCTGGAGTGTGGTGGAGACTCCTTCTTTGGAGGCTTTTAAACAGGCTGGATGGCCATCTGTCAGGGGTGATTTGAATGCAATATTCCTGCTTCTTGGTAGGGGGTTGGACTGGATGGCCCATGAGGTCTCTTCCAACTCTTTGATTCTAATTACAGAAGGTTCTCTTCCCATCTCTGCAAGCCAAAATAAAGTGATAAAATAAATCTTAAAAATTTGCTCTTTCATGACATCCAAACTTTGCTTTCTCAGGCAGCTGCCGCACTCCGAAACAGTCAGACTGGAACTACTGAAGATCTATAGTCTGATGTGATCTAATGCTTATTTCAGTGTGCCAGAATTAAATTCCTTTTTTACTTTGTTGTTTATTAATTCATTTCTTAATCATTTTATCTTTGCCATAAAATGTTTTTCCCATTTAGAAACTGGAAGAAAACCAGCACCAAAAAATTGCAAATGAAATGAACCTTTCAGAAACGGCATTCATCAGAAAATTGCACCCGACAGATGACTTTACCAAAAGTAAGACCCTTTCAATAAATAAAAAGAAAGTGTTCTGTCACTTTTGATTTCAGATAAATGATGTGATATTCCATGTTGAAAAGAAAAAGTGTTAATATTAATCCTTGAAAGAAGATAAGTCAACCCATTTTTTTAAAAGTTGCAATTCAGTAACTGAAAGTACAACTCAAACTTTCAGCATTCAATTGTTACAAGGGATTTAGATAAGGCACATGTCTTGGGGATTTGCTCAAAGATCTGCTGCCTAAGGAGGCAGATAAGGTAAAGGAGGTAAATGGTGGGGAAGCTGGGTCATTCTTGATCCAAAATTCACAGGGGCACAGCCACAATGTTGAAACAAAGATAGACCTAGGTTGTCATAGTCTTGAGTAAATTTTCCACAGCTCTTGGCTCAGTGTGGCTTGGATTCAGTGCTCTTTCAGCTGTTGGCCCATGGCTTTCTGGGCCAATAAGGACAGTGCTTCATTTAAAGGACATGATCCACAGCATTTTGTTATGTATTGTTGAGGTATATAATCTAATATGCCATAGAAGCATTAAAACCCCGCTTCTGTGTTGTTTTTGAATAGGTGTATTATGGCCTAAATGTAGTTGCTACTTCTGGCTCTCATCACTTCTTTTCTTAGGCTCCCGTTTTGGACTGAGGTGGTTTACCCCAGCCAATGAGGTTCCTCTCTGTGGCCATGCCACCCTCGCATCAGCTGCTGTCCTCTTCCACGCTAAAAGTAAATCGCATTGATCCATTTGGTATTTGATATTGTGAATACTTTGGAAGCCTGTTACAGTTATGTTTTGTTCTGATTTTAAAAACAGAAAATGTGAATCCCACCCTCACATTTATAACTCTGAGTGGAGAATTGATTGCCAGACAAGAGGAGGACCATATTATCCTGGATTTGCCCCTTTATTTTACCCATCCACAGGTTAGATTTAAGCAGTTCTTTTTCCAATTGCCAGCATGCCCCAAAAGAAAAAGAAAAGCCATACATTATTTACATTTTTCTCTTTTTTCACTCAGGATATTAAGGAAGTGGAAGAGTTGGTGAAGGTATGTTCTCATATCACATTTTAGTGATTGTATTGTACTGCATAGGACTGGGTTGCTGTAGGTTTTTTCGGGCTATATGGCCATGTTCTAGAGGCATTTTCTCTTGACGTTTCGTCTGCATCTATAGCAAGCACCCTCAGAGGTAGTGAGATCTGTTGGAACTAGGAAAATGGGTTTATATATCTGTGGAATGACCAGGGTGAGACAAAGGACTCTTGTCTGCTGGAGCTAGGTGTGAATGTTTCAATTGACCCCCTTGATTAGCATTTGATGGCCTGGCAGTGCCTGGGGCAATCTTTTGTTGAGAGGTGATTAACAACCACCATGTCAGACTGCACAGAGAAGCCATTGAAATCCATTAGCATGTGGACAATTTCAACAGAAAGGAGGAAACCATGAAAATGAACAAAATCTGGCTACCAGTATTAAAAATAACTCTAAAATTACAACAGCAAAACAACAGAGAGGAAAAAATGAAGCACATCTAATCACCTCTCAAAAAAAGATTGCCCCACACGGCCCTCGCTCAGGGTCAACCTAAGTCTGGATCGACTTGAAAGCACACAACAACAACAATCCTATCTCATCAGCCAAAAGCAGGCCCACACTTCCAACTGAAATACTAATAAGTTGATATTTGTTAAAATTGTTCTTCATTTTAATTATTGTATTGTTTTAAGTGTTTTTTGCACTACAAATAAAATATGTGCAGTGTGCATAGGAATTCATTCATATTTTTTTTCAAATTATAATCCGGCCCTTCAACAGTTTGACGGACTGTGACCTGGCCTTCTGTTTAAAAAGTTTGAGGACCCCTGTGCTAGACACATATCTGAAGTTCAGACACACACCTTCCAATTTTGTTTCTCCCACCTGAATTTTCGAATGTGTTTTCTTAACTCAAACTATCCCTGAGTTGTCCAGAGGAATTATGGGCCATTTATCACATTTTTTAGCTAGTCTATATTGGGCCCAGGAAACTCCTTTTTCAAACAAGGAAATAACCAAAAATCTTTTCTGGTATTGAAAATATACCCCATAAAGCAGGTCTAGGGAGTGATTCCTTTGTAAAAAATGTTTGCCATGCCTTTTGGGAATGCAAAGGAGCACGTGATGTAAAAACAATATTGGGAGCCCTTTTGGCTTTAGGGGGGACTCTCTCTCCCGCACATAGCCACTAGAATCATAGGGGAGATTTTACTGTCAAGGCTGCCTGTATTATAACTTTGTTTTTAATAAAATGGTACATGAAAATGCAGTGTGAAGAGGATGTGTGAAGATGACTTATATTTTTTCTTGGTTAATTCTGATGCATTTTATCTCCAGGCAGCTGTAGGTGATAAGAGTGTTCAGGATGTTCGCTATTCTTCTGATACAAAAAAGCTTCTTATTCGTCTCAGTGATGCTTATGAGAGGTACTTGGATTTATTTTATACATTTTTGGGAAGTTCATTTGTTTATTGACTCTACCCCACTCTTTTCTTTCTGGGGCTTCTTCAGTTTATTTGGCACTAAAACACAAAATTGTAGGAGCCAAAGAGGTCCCCTATATCCCTGAGCAATGAATCCTTTTGTACCACCAGCACAATTTTTCTTGCTGCAGTTGGTGTTTAGGTTGGCTCCTTTCTTGTCATATAATGAGCCTTGTTACCTGTCTCCCCTTTGTTACCTCTAGACTGGATTACTGCCATTCACTTTACGTGGGGCTACCCTTGAAGACGGCCTGGAAACTACAACTTGTCCAACGTTTGGCAGCCAGATTAATAACTGGGGCAACTTACAGGGAGTGGTCAACCCCCCTGTTTAAGGAGCTCCACTGGCTGCTGTTTATTTTCCGGGCCCAATTCAAGGTACAGGTTATCACCTATAGAATGGTTTGGGACCCGCTTACCTTCATGACCATATCTCTCTCCATGAACCTTCGAACTTCGGGGGAGGCCCTCCTTTCGCCCCTGCCAGTCTCACAAGCTCGTCTTGTGGGCACAAGGGAGAGAGCCTTCTCCTCTGTGGCTCCCCGACTCTGGAACTCATTACCTGGAGAGATCAGGAAAGCCCCTAGAAACTTTTTAAAAGAACCTTAAAACCTGGCTCTTCCGCTGAGCCTTTGGCGAGTAGGTGTACAACATGACACTACTGCTCCCCTCAACGCTTCTGTCACTGGAGTACACGCCCCCCTAATGGGAAGTTTGGTTTCACAACCCTGTGTTTCTTGAAGAGCTCCCTGCAAATAATCTTGCTCCTCTTCTTATCTCATTTGAGTTTTTTAACATTTTATCCTGCACATGTGGCCCGCCCACTGTCACTGTGATTGTGTTTATTGTAATGTTATTTTGTTACTGTACTCATATGTTTTTTAAATGTAATTTTGATGCTATTTCTTGTTGCTTATGTTTTGGCTTTATCTTGCTGTAATATGTTGTCCGGGCTTGGCCTCATGTAAGCCACCCCAAGTCCCCGTTGGGGAGATGGTGGCGGGGTATAAATAAAGATTATTATTATTATTATTATTATTATTATTATTATTATTATTATTATTTGTACTTCTTTGCCACCATTATTCTCAGGGATAATGACACAATGGGGGTGGGAGTGTGGGGTGGTATGCTCCCTGTATGACGCTCCGGTGAGTAATCTGGCTGCCGCCCGCTGGACTAATTAAAGTTTCCGAGCAGTCTTCAAAAGCAACCCCACGTAGAGTGCGTTGCAGTTATCTATTCGGGATGTAACAAGAGCGTGGACCACTGTGGCATGTTTGGTCGTTATTGTTCTTTTTATTTCACATTCAATGCTTAAACATCAAGGGCTGATCTGGAGAAACTGAAAGTGGATGCCGAAAAACTTCTGTCAGCTGAGAAGACTGGGAGAATAAAAGGAGTAATCGTCACACTGAAGGGAGATGGCCGTGGGAAACAGGAAAGCTATGACTTCTACTCCCGCTACTTTGCACCTTGGTATGGTGTTTCGGAAGATCCAGTTACAGGTGTGTTTTTTTGCATGTGAACAGAGAATGTTTGCTTGACAGAGGTCATGGAAAAGTTCTTAGTTGATGCTTCGTTTTGTCAAGTTTCTGGATGAACAACCAAACTGATCATTTTCAGCAAAGGACAGAGCCCTGTACCATCTTCAAGTAGGGATGGGCACCTTTCTATCGTATAAGGAATAGGGAATGCACATGATGTGCCTTTCTATAATTTCTAGGTTGCAAAGCCCTCTTTGATGGGTCTAATGTGGGGGTGGGCTGCTGAGGCTGGAATTATACCTACAGACGACGGATGTGTCTTTGCAGCATTGCATCCTGGCCATTCTTTGCAATGATCTTTGGCAAGTTTTGTGATTAGGGATGTAGCTTATGATTTTTACAATATCCCTTCATACACTTTCCTTATCAGTCAAGTGTCCCTAGTTTTTCAGGTCATCATGATCCTGCAAGACCAATCAAGCGATCTCAGGGTGGGGCTATGTAGGCAAAGGGGTGGGGCTGGGATGCTGAGAGCCAAGCCAGGGATGCATTTTAGTGCCCTCCTTCCTGTCACATTCCTGGGTGCACTTACTTTTAAAATCTGAATTGCTAAACCCTCATTGATAGACCTTGTGTGTGGGTTGACAGCTAGTTAGAACTACATCAGGATCCCATGGACCCACAGAGGGTCCCCGAGAGACCTTCGCAGTGCTTTCTGTTTCTAAGTTCATACCCACCTTGCTATAAAGTGTTACTTTCTTTTCAGTCATTTCTTTTTTTTTAAGAATTTTATTGAGTTTTATATAGAATACAGCGAAAGAGTGAGAACAGCAAAGTATAGGAAAGTAAGGAAAACAGGGAAAAAAGAGAGAAGAGAAAAAAAAACATGAAAGAAGCCCTAAAAATCCCTAAAGAAAAAAAATCTACAAAAATACATCCACACACATAAAAAAGATGACTTCCAATCCATCTTCTTGGTTATTGTTTTCTTAATACTCCAAAATATTACTCAAAAATATATTACTCAAAATATTACTCAAAAATGGTCTCTCTTGTTATTTATTTTCCCAAATTATCCAGATAGTCATGAAGATCGTCCCAATTCGTTCTTCTTATTATCTTGCCTGTGTTTTTCTTTAACAAAAATGTCAATTCGTCCATGTCCTTTATTTCTCTAATTTTCTCCTGTATGGGTGGGACTGAGGCTTGTTTCCATTCTCTAGCAAAGACAAATCAGTGATTTCTGAAATGAAGTATGTGATGACATTTAAATGCCTACATGCTACATAAATACTTAGAGCTACTGTTACTGCTACTACAGTCTTACCTGCTTTCAATTTCCTTTTAAGGATCTGCTCATGCGGTTCTAAGTAGTTACTGGTCACAACAACTGGGGAAGAGGGAAATGTGTGGTAAGAATCCCTATTTGTACTATTTTTATTCTGCTTCTTTGACTTAAAGGGTTTCCAAAGCAGCTTGGGAACAACCAATTAAAAAAAAAAACAACCACCAGACCTCCAACTTCAGGCTAATAAGCTGAAAAAACAGAACTACAAATAGAAGACGGGATGTGGAGAAAATGAGTGGGAAAGATATTGGGGGCTCCTTCTTTGGAGGCTGGATGGCCATCTGTCGGGGGTGCATTGAATGTTCTTGCTTCTTGGCAGAGGATTGGACTGGATGACCTACAAGGCCTATTCCAACTCTATGATTCTATGATCCAGGAGGGCTGGAGAATGTCCATACTTCCCCCATCGCCTTCTAGATATTAGATAGTATAGCTATTTCCTATGATTTAGATATTTCTCCTCTCAAGGGGGAGAAATAGGTTCTGACCTACAAAACCCTGAACGGTTTGGGGACCGCATTTCTGTGTACGAACCCACACAATCTCTTCGTTCATCTGGGAAGTCCCTGCTCTCGCTCCCACCTTCCTTGCAGGCATGATTGGTAGGGACGAGGGAGAGGGTCTTCTCCATGGTTGCCCCTCAACTCTGGAACTCACTCCCCAAGGATATTAGACAAGCTCCCACATTGGCAGTCTTTAGGAGGAGCCTGAAAACGTGGCTGTTCCAGTGTGCCTTCCCTGAATAAAGGAAACAATCCCCTGCAAATACTCTGAGAAGCACTTTAATTACCCGTTGGGTTGCTCTTTACTTTTGATTTAAAACACTCCTAATAGATACATCCTCTGTTCATGTCCAGCATTTATTTTTAAAGTTTTTAACTATTACATCTGGCCCAGCCATAGGTTTTTAAATTCTTGTGTGTTATATTAATTGTATTGCTTATTTTGTTTATTGCTTGTTGTTTTATTATTGCTTGTTGTTTTTGATGTGTTGTTGGGCTTGGCCTCATGTAAGCTGCTCCGAATCCCTTGGGGAGATTGTGGCTGGGTATAAATAAAGTTTTATTATTATTATCCTTCAAGATCAATGCCACACCAGTCAAACCTTCAAAGCAACCTTGCGTTTAACTTCCAGTGCGTTACCAAAAAACAAAGCATGGCTAAATGTAAAATACATGACTAAGGAAAATCATGCTGTGTGACAAATCGATGTCTTTCACTGTCTGAAAGAGTCCCTTATTGAAAAAATGTGATCAGTGTATGGCCTGGTTTAATTCTTGCAAGAATATCCTTCTTATAACTTAAAATCGATTAATGTAACCTGTAAAAATACTCCAGTGAAACAATTTCTATTAAGTGTCCCATAAGTTTGATAAATATATGAATGCTTTGAGGTAAGGTGTGCCGTTTCTCTCAATAAGTGTTGAGAGGTGCAGCTACTGGCAAATTAAGATTTATTTATTTATTTATTATTCAAACTTATATGCTGCCACTCCCCTGGGGCTCGGAGCGGCTTACAAGAATGGCTAAAATCTAACACAATTTTAAAACAATTTAAAACAATTTAAAAACAGCAATATCAAAAATCAAAGGCCTGTCGAAACAGGTATGTCTTACATGCCCTGCGGAAGGCTGATAAGTCCCGCAAGGCACGGACTTCAGATGGCAGAGTATTACAGAGTGATGGTGCCACTGCTGTAAAGGCTCTGCGTCTGGTTGCTGTTAGACACAAGGTCTTCATACTGGGAATTTCCTATAAATCTTGGTCCTCAGAACGGAGGGATCTCTGGGGTTGGTAGGGGGTGAGGCGGTACCTGAGATCTCTTAAGATTTATGGGAGTTTTCTTTTAAGGGTGAAGCCAAACAAGTATTTTATGTGAAACAATGGATTGTGTTTAAATATAATCATAACTAGTAAATTAGGAATAAATCTGGATCAAAACCACTGAAATCAATAGATCTACTCAATATGATTCAGTCTAAGTCAGAACCAGTAAGTACTGTAGATGCTTTTGTTTGATTGGTTCTGATTGACACAGGAGACCCACAAGGGCTTTTCCTTCCTCAGCCATCTGCTTCTCGGTGATGACAATCAAGTACTATGATGTATACCAGGGGCCCTCAAACTTTTTAAAGAGAGGGCCAGGTCACAATCCCTCAAACTGTTGGAGGGCCAGATTATAATTTGAAAAAAGTATGAATGAATTCCTATGCACACAGCACATATTTTATTTGTAGTGCAAAAGACATTTAAAAACAATACAATAATTAAAATGATGAACCATTTAAACAAATGTAAACTTATTAGTATTTCAGTGGGAAGTGTGGGCCTGCTTATGGTTGATGAGATAGGATTGTTGTTATTGTTGTGTGCTTTCAAGTTGTTTCAGACTTAGGTTGACCCTGAGCGAGGGCCGGGTAAATGACCTTTGAGGGCCGTATTCAGCTCCCGGGTCATAGTTTGCGGACCCCTCGTGTATACAGTTACTTTCCAAGTATAGACAGAAAAAATTGATGTACAAATACAACCTTTCCTCTTCTCTTTGTTCAGCATTTCAGTGTTCTACTCGTGGGGGAAGGCTGAAGATTTCACTCCGGCAGGATGGAAGAGTAGACGTTGGTGGCCAATCAAGCATTGTGTTAAAAGGTTTTCTGACTATTTGAAGAAAACCAGAAACACTTTCCAGCTATCAGATTGTTCAGATTATTGCTGATGCGGATGCATATCTTAATTGGCAGAACATGACTACTTAATTTCAAAGGCATAATATTCATAATTTAGAAGCATTTATTGTACTGTAATTAAGGAGATAGTCAATCATCAATATAAAATCAGTATCATAGTAAATACTGATATTAATGTTTATGCTTAGATAATCATTTTAACATAATTTTAAGTACAAAGGTGATTTTATTAATTAATAGTGAAAATACAGAAATACTGTTGGTGCCTTATGCCTGAGTGGACTTAATGTCTACAGGAAGTAGAATTATGCATTATGTCTAATGTCCATATCCAGTAGAGGGCAGTTCTTGAGTCACTCTGTTGTAGTGCCAGCAAAGTGCCTGGTGCTCTTGGGTGCATGCTGCGCATTAGTGCCCAATGTCTCTCATGCCATTATGTCCTTGACACCCTTGACAATGTCCTGTTACACCATTTCATGGGTCAGTAAAGGAGTTTTTACCACCCCTCCTATATAGCTAGTTGTAAGTAAAGTCATGTAGCATTCCATCAAAGTTTTCAAAATAACTAAATGAATATGGTTATGTTTTTGTTTTTTAATGCGGAGAAATTTTATATGGTAATAATGAAATTTAAATATACAAATAAAATGCATTGAATAGTTATCTGCCTTTTTTCAAATTAAAAATGTTCATTAAGCCCAACATCGCTGTCTGAAGCAATAAATGTACAGCACAATTCTCTTCATTTCTATTCAGAAGTTTGGTTGGATTTAATTCTAGGTCAATGCTTTCACAAATGTAAATAATGATGGCTGCAGAAGTAGGTAGAAGGCTTTGTTACTTCCCATGTCACCACTGAAAAAGCTGTAGGTGAAGCATTATCAACTTAATAATCGCATTTGACCATCCCATGAAAACCCTGCATTACTGGGATGTGGACTCTGGTCCGAGGAAACTATCATACCTGCTACAAAGTTCACGTTTACCTTGTAAATAATAAGAAAACAAATGTAACTTTTGCAGGACTGTAAATGTATCAATAGATCAATCACCCACCCTAGGGTCAATTCCCATGAGTTGGCTGTTTTTTTGTATGTTCTTATTGCATTTAAAGTGGCATGACACTGACACACAATGTTAAATTCTGTATTTAATTTACCCAAGTCATGCTGAGTCTTTAAAATTACTTTATTTTTAACAAAGCACAAGGTTACAACATTTTGTATTTAAAATGACAAAAAACACCTTCATGTTAAAAAATTATTACAAAAGTTACATCAGTATATTTTATGTCTTGGCACAGATGTACCACAAAAATTGCAAACCTGTAAAGAAATAATACATTTTTTTAGCTGGAGGAATGGAACCTTTGATCGGAATGCTTCTCAGATTCTGATAGTTACAAGTAGACCAAATGTAACACTTGGGATTGAAATACTGTTTATGCAGCCTTTAGAAAATGCCAATCAGATTTTAATCTTGTAGCGAATAGTATTACAGCATAAGATGTGAGTTGTAAACTGGAATAGGAAACTTCATTATAATGTGTTCTAAGAGTCTGGAATGTTACTAGATCATGGTGAAATTGGATTTACACGTGTTTGGTGTCAGTATTAACTGAAATAGTTCGCTGTGATCAACTGCTACAACATATACAGGGTGAGGCAGTATAACTTCCTTTTTAAAATGCGCACCATTCAGTCGGTTGAAGACGTAGTGGAGCGGTAGTGGTCTCGTTCAAGAAGCAGAGTATAATGTTTTGTCCTGACACAGTTCAGTCGCCATCATGCGTTGGAACAGTGAGGAGCGTGCTTTTGCCATTGAGGCCTACTTTTCGAGCAGATTTGGAGTGGCCAGCCCGCTCTTCAGATTTGACCCCTTGTGATTTTTTTCTATGGGGTTTTTTGAAATCCCGTGTTTATGTGAACCATCCAAGGACCCCACAAGATTTGAAGACCAACATCCAGGAAGAAATTGCCAACATAACGCCTGCTATGCTGGCAAGAGTCATGACAAACGCCAGAAATCGGTTTACTCAGTGTATGGAGAATGGGGGACGTCACCTACCTAATTTGATCTTCAAAACTACGTAAAACAAAATTTTAGGTATGCGCCTACATTATAAAACAAATTTAAAAAATTCTGATTCATACAATGGGTTTTATTAAGTTTTGAAAAAAGGAAGTTATGCTGCCTCACCCTGTAGTATAATTTTATGGGCATTTGTTCAAACAATACATAGTCTTTACAATAGAATTAAATGTTTTTCCAGTGTATAAATAAGTCCTAGGTCTCCAGATCTCCACTTTAAAGTACTTTGGCAAATCTCCATTCTAAGAACATTGAAACCAACTATAGTGATAATGATGCACTTCTCCAGCATAATTTTGGAAGGAAAAGTATCAGACAGTTGGGTTGTTGTAGGTTTTTTCGGGCTATATGGCCATGGTCTAGAGGCAATCTCTCCTGACGTTTCGCCTGCATCTATGGCAAGCATCCTCAGAAGTAGTCACCTCACTACCTCTGAGGATGCTTGCCATAGAAGCAGGCGAAACATCAGGAGAGAATGCCTCTAGACCATGGCCATATAGCCCGAAAAAACCTACAACAACCCAGTGATTCCGGCCATGAAAGCCTTCGACAATACATATCAGTTTTCAGGCAAGCACTTTTCTGGTAGCAAGAACTGAACTGGCCCTGTAAACCTAGAGCTTGTGGGAATAAGAAAATGTCCAGTGCATCTTCTCCTGTTGTTTCAGAGGGATTAATATATGGAAACAGGATTTCCCCCTTTGAACAACTATATAAAAGTAGTCTCCAGAACAACTGTAGTGATTTTCAATTGGTAGAACAGTAGTGTAGTTTATTTCTGAGCAATTCATCAAGTGGCTACCCATTTCTACGTTTGCAATATGTTAGAACAGTAGTTCTCAACCTGTGGTCTGTGGACCCCTGGGGGAGCCACCATGTTGTCACAGAGAGTCCATGATAGATTGAAGAAATGTTATGATTTTTTGCAATTAAATCTGAATGAATGAACAAGTGAATGAATGACAGCAAACTGGAAAGGGACATGCAACAAACCTTTCCAGGCTTCTTTTTGGAAAACTTGGCTTTTTTGACCTATTACCTCAATTAAAAATATCCAGGGGTGGAAATTGACTAGGAGACTAGCTGGGTGAGAAATGTATATCATCTCATTTTCTAGCTATTACCTCAATTAAAAATATCCAGGGGTGGAAATTGACTAGGAGACTAGCTGGGTGTGAAATGCATTTCATCTCATTTTCTAGCTTTTGTTTTCATGTGACTTTTGTATGTGTATGTCATTAATGGTTCCATGTGCTTGTAGTTTCGCTGATAGTATGGCTAGTGGGTATCACTTTAATATGGTGGTTTTTTTCTGGGTTGTTGTAGGTTTTTTCGGGCTAAATGGCCATGTTCTAGAGGCATTCTCTCCTGACGTTCTGCCTGCATCTATGGCAAACATCCTCAGAGGTAGTGAGGTGCTTGCCATAGATGCAGGCGAAACGTCATGAGAGAATGCCTCTAGAACTTGGCCATATAGCCCGAAAAAAACCTACCACAACCCAGTGATTCTAGCCATGAAAACCTTCGACAATACATTGGGTTTTTTTTTCCTGTTAAAGACATTTTCTTAATCCAATGGCTCTCTTTAGGGCCACAATGTGGGGCTGAAATCTGTTCCTCCAAATGATGGCCCTGGTCACATAAACAAAAATATACGATGTGTGGTGACTGAACACAGACAAACAATGTAGTGTGTGTGTGAGAGAGCAGAATGGTAAAAACTTTTCATCAAATTTTAAACACTGGAGGGAAGTTTTTGAAAGATCTGATTACATTTCACATTTTTGCACAAAAATGTGAAATGCAAATTTAAGATGAGCGTGTCAGAATACCACAAAAATTGGCCATTTGTGAGAAAAAATTATTATTGTTATTATTACTATTAATGCTACTGTTATTATTATTGTGGGTATTTTAGAACCAGTAGAAGTAGGAGTGCCATTATTCTTTTATAGATATTGCTATTACTGTTGCCTTTATTTGTCTATTAATGTTATAACTGTTCTGCTATCACTACTACTATTATTACATTATTAACTACTATTAGTGTTGATGGCAGGAAGTTGGACTAGGTGGCCCAACTCTGTGATTCTCTGATACTACGAGGGGTATTTTTTAAGTAAGGTCCGTTTTGTTGTAGACACTAGTAGTTCGCGCGCATACCGCAACGAGCGCGTGCGTCATGTACCGGCATGCCTCAGGAACAACTGTGCTCAGTTTCCGCTCTGTAGCTAACCTGTACAGTTCTGTTCTGTGCTTTAAAAATGTTTAAGACTATCAACTCACCCGCCGCGTGTGAAGTTCGCTCAGTGATACGGTTTTTGTCAGCAAGGAACCTGCCTGCTGCAGAAATTAATCGACAGATTTGTGAAGTGTACGGTGATACTGTTATGAATGAAAGCAAAGTGCGTAAGTCGGTACAACAATTCAAAGATGGCCGTGACAACATCCATGATGAAGACCGCTCCGGTCGCCCTTCTTTGATTACAGACGATTTGGTTATCGGAGCAGGCGGCAAGTTTTTATGAAGAGGGTATTTTAAAATTGGTTCAGAGGTATGATAAGTGTTTGAACAAACTTGGCAACTATGTCGAAAAATAGAGTGAAGTATGCACTTTCTGAAAATAAATTTACTTTTTGGAAATAAACTTTCATTGTGTACTTATGTTCCAATGGACCTTACTTAAAAATACCCCTCGTATTATTTTAAATTTGTATGGAATGATTATATTATATACTATATTATGAGTGTGTGCATTAACAGATTAACTTATATCCCCTTCTCTCTAATCTGAAGGAGCTTCATGAAAAAATTGAAATAATTTTCTGATGCAGTCTAGGGCCTTAAATCTTGAGTTAAGTCTTGATGGTGCGCAGAAACAAAAGGTATTTAAAAGTGAAGTCCAAGGTGAAGAAAAGGTTGAGAATCACTGTGTTGGAAGACTGGAAGCTACTAGATTGAGGTTTAAGCCTCTCCCTTTTCAAGCTATTTGGGGAGTAAGGAAGTGATCAGTTACATCAGCTATTTGCACTTATTTGATTTTTATATACTGTATTTTTGATGGTAATAAACATCCAAATATACACCGGTACTGCTGAGCTATTAGGCATGTGCAGAGTTCCTGTCCTTTAAACAGTTAATTGGCTAGCAGAAATTCAGCAAGTGGAACAGGAGACAGCTTCATTTTTAAAAATGTCTTTACATTATGACGTTAAAGCCTGGTAACAGCATTAGTGCTGGAGAGAAAAGTTAGCAACCCCTCGTATATTATTCTATAGTTATAATTCTCATAATTAATTTTTTTTTTGTCGTGTCAGGAGCAACTTGAGAAATTGCAAGTCACTTCTGGTGTGAGAGAATTGGCCATCTGCAAGGACGTTGCCCAGGGGACGCCCGGATGATTTGATGTTTTTATCATCCTTGTGGGAGGCTTCTCTCATGTCCCCGTATGAGGAGCTGGAGCTTATAGAGGGAGCTCATCCGCCTCTCCCCGGATTCAAACCTGCAACCTGTCAGTCTTCAGTCCTGCCAGTACAAGGGTTTAACCCACTGCGCCACCGGGGGCTCCACATTCTCATAATGTTAGAGCACAAAAAGGGACCATCTCTTCTAATCAATTCACATTTTCAGGCAACAGCCATCAAAAATCATGTTGGGCACAGTTGCTCTTTAAAACGAAACAAGGTTAATCCTCCTATATTAGATGAGCAAGTGAAATGAAGTATCACAAATAATCCATTCCTGATTTCATTACCTTTACTGTATTAAAAGATTTTTTATTGTGTTTCGCAATCTAACAAGGCAAATCATGTTTCATAAAAAGGTGGTTTTTTACACACTTAGTAAGTGTGAAAACAGGGGATTGAAAACTGGCTTGCTAGATGCTGCACTGCAACACTGTCAGCTTTAGTCAAAACAGGCAATGGTAAAAGAACACAGGATTTCAATGCATCTAACAACAGATCCCCAACACTGGGTGTATGTGTATGACTTATAATATAAATTATAATGACATTTGCACTGCAACTCCCAGTCTACACAACTGGGTTTGCCAACAAGGACTGCTAGGGTCTGAAATGCAGCAACATCTGGAGATAGGTTAGATTTCTGCTCATAATGTAAAGCCAAGGAATGAGATTGTATGCATCTGCAGAGGTTTTGGTAGAGTCACAAAGTTGCTTTTGGAGCCACAACATGGACACCTGAACATCAGCAATTCAACTCTGTTACCGTTGTTATTATGTATATGTCATTTCTACACAATCCACATTAAGGCACCCTAACAAACATATATAGCATATTTACATATATGATTGTATAAAGTGTTACTCAGGTTATCTAATCACATATCTACTGTCCTGCATAGAAAAAAAATAGGCACCCCTGAATTAATGTCCTAACTACACCAAGTCCCTTCCTATTGTATTATTTAATAGGTTTTAGAATTTTGGAATTGCACATATTGGGGGAGAGGAAATTAGAATTAGATTCTAACTGGATGTAAATTCAGGACACACTTTCCAACATGTTTTCTCAGAGTCTCAAAACGAAGATGCTGTAGAAACATTACACATATTACATCTTTTTCTCACTCATAGCACACTTGACACATTCCTTCCTTAGGTGGCCTTCCTTCTTAGTCCTTCTCCTGAACTCATTAAGCTAATTCAATTGTTCCTTTCAGTCAAATGAGAGATTTCCAAGTTCAGTCATTCTTAGCTGTTAAATACGTCCTTCCAATCGCTTTAACATCTTTTCCTATATCACCTACCAGGCAAATGGCAAAGAGGTTGGGATCTTCTGCACTATGTCGGTGGACAGGAAAAGAGATTTAAAGATGGGCTCAAAGCCAACCTTAAAAACTCTGGCATAGACAATGAGAACTGGGAAGCCCTTGTCCATGAGCACTCCAGCTGGAGGTCAGCTGTGACCAGCAGTGCTGCAGAAATTTGAAGAGGCACGAATGGAGGACGAAAGAGAGAAGCGTGCCAAGAGGAAGGCGCGTCAAGCCAACCCCGACCGGGACCACCTTCCACCTGGAAACCAATGTCCTCACTGCGGGAGAAGATGCAGATCAAGAATAGGGCTTCACAGTCACCTACAGACCCACCAGAACACTGATCCTGGAAGACTATCCTACTCGGTCAACGAGGGATTGCCTAAGTAAAAGTAAGTAAGTATGTTACTCAGTCCTTTCTGCTAGTGGTTGGGATTTTTGGAGGTTTCCAAAGGGCAAGGAAGTGGCAGCAGCTGAAATACAAAAGGAGGAGGCAGCAGACTGCAAGCCACTTATTTATCAAGGAACCACAGAGTCCATCAAGGGAATGGGAATGGTGGCTTAGACAAAGGCACTGAAGAAGCAACAGTCCAAGCTGTCCCTTGCATACTGTCTTACTTCACTGGGCCTCTCAGAAGGCAGGCATCTAAGAAATAGGCAACCTTGAGCAGCAGCTTCTTCCCATTGTGTTGCAATGGCCTTTTCCATTCTTGCTACCACCGTTGTCATTTTTGCCTCCACTATCTGGAGAATACAGAGACTTAGTTTAAATTAATTTTTACATATATTTATACAAGGTGTGGCAGCATAACTTCCTTTTTTAAAATGAGCACCATTTAGTCGGTTGAAGACGTAGCGGAGCGCTAGTGGTCTCGTTCGAAAGGCGGGAGTATAAAGTTTTGCCCTGACACAGTTCAGTCGCCATCTTCCGTTGGAACAGTGAGGAGCGTGCTTTTGCCGTCGAGGCCTACTTTTTGAGCGGATGTTCTGTGATTGCAACCCAGCGCGCCTTTTGAAATCGCTTTAATTTAACCCCATTGGCCCCTGTCCCAGACCGGAAATCAATTGTGACATCAGTCACTACATTCAGACAAACTGCAAGTGCGACAAGACGAAGAACTGGAGTCCCTCGGCCCATTAGACCACCTGAGAACATTGAGGCAGTGAGAGCTTCAATGCTGCGATCACCACGGCGTTCTGCGTGCAAACATGCGTCTGCCCTTGGATTTTCCGATCGTTCTGTGAGGAGAATTCTTCATGATGATCTTCATTTCCATCCTTACAAGATGGCGATTGTGCAGAAACTTTCTGAACATGACTTCAATTCTCGGAGGAATGCGTGTATGCTGCGATCTCGAAGTCGTTCCTGAGGACGCTATTGTTTTTTTTAGTGATGAAGCCCATTTTCATTTGTGTGGATCCATCAACAAACAAAACATGCGCTACTGGGCTGACAATCCTCGAGAATTGCATCAAAGGCCTTTGCATTCACCTAAAATCACAGTGTGGTGTGTAATTTCCTCAGCTGGAATTATTGGTCCCTGGTTCTTTCAGGAAAATGAAGTCGCAGTGACAGTGAATTCGGACCGGTATGTAAACATATTACAGGAATTTTTTCCCCCATGGCTAGGTGGGTTGGACTAAGGGGACATTTGGTTCCAACAAGATGGTGCAACTGCACACACTTCAAGAGCATCGATTGCTGTTTTGAGGGAACACTTCCCAGAGCGCTTCATCTCAATTAGGGGGGGATTTGGAGTGGCCGGCCGGCTCTCCAGATTTGGCCCCTTGTGATATTTTTCTATGGGGCTTTTTGAAATCCTGTGTTTATGTGAACCGCCCAAGGACCCTACACAATTTGAAGACCAACACCCAGGAAGAAATTGCGAACATAACGCCTGCTATGCTGGCAAGAGTCATGACAAACGCCAGAAATCAGTTTACTCAGCGTATGGAGAATGGGGGACGTCACCTACCTAATTTGATCTTCAAAACTATGTAAAACAAAACTTTAGGTATGCACCTACATTGTATATATATAAAAATTCTGATTCATACAATGGGTTTTATTAAGTTTTGAAAAAAAGGAAGTTATGCTGGCTCACCCTGTAGCAGGGATATTATGTATCTCCCCATCAAGGCAAATTATGGTTATTTTTTTCCCATTTGATAGAGGTGTTACACTTCGAGTTCCATTTGCTTATGCTTCTATCTTCTTGTTTAAATTTGTCTTCACTTGATGGACAATTTAAAGATCTGAATACTAAACATGATAGTATACATTAAAAGCCTGCTAAATGCCTCTCTGACTTCTAGGCTTTCTAAACCACAACCAACTTATTCCCAAATTACGAATGGGTAAAAACTAAAGTGACAATGCAAAATTCTCCATTTTATACTGGAATGGTTCAGCAAAATGATAAAATGTTCCCATCTGTGTCTTTAAATGCGGAGGATAAGATGCATTGCACAAGCAGATGCATACAAGTCACTGCATTAGCACAACCTCACAAAACTTGTCATCATGCTGGTACAGCAGGAATACATCACAATGGCACAAAAAAAATTAGCAGTGGATATTCCAAATTTTTTGATAAGAGAAACATGGTGCCGTAGCAGAAGTACATATGGCAATATTAGGATACTCATCCCAGTTGGGAGGCAACCGTTTATAAATCTTCAGAGGACTCTTATGGCACATTGGAGGAACACCTCTGTATGAGCAATGCGTGGCAAGTATCACAGACCCGTACAGGCTTCGGCGAAGAGGGCAAAGGCAGTTCATTGTCTGAGCAGGCATTACAGAAAATTTCACCACAGTTCCTACAATGATGCTTAAAAACAGGTATTTAAAAAAAAGAAAACAATTAGATCAATACAATCTGTGAACGAAACAATTGATAAGCATCTGAAAATAAATAGAGTAAGGCCCCTGTAACTGCAAACCTATGTCCACAGTTTCACTTACTCAAGCCTGGAGAAAATGATATCTCTAGGAATTTGCCAAGTCCTCCAGTGCAGTGTTTCTCAACCTTCCTAGTGCTGCGACCCCTTAACCTAGTTCCTCATGTTGTGGTGACCCCCAACATTATTTTCATTGCTACTTTATAACTATAATTTGGCTACTGTTATGTATTGTAATGTAAATATCCGACATGCAGAATTTATTTTCATTAACTGGACCAAACTGGGCACAAATACCCAATACATGAGGTTGGGGGGATTGATTTTGTCACTTGAGAGTTGTAGTTGCTGGGATTTATAGTTCGCCTACAATCAATGAGCATTCTGAACTCTACCAATGATGGAATTGAACCAGCCTTGACACACGTGAACTACAGAAAATACTGGAAGGGTTTGGTGGGTATTGACCTTGAATTTGGGAGTTATAGTTCACCAACCTCCAGAGAGCACTGTGGGCTCAAACACTGATGGATCCGGACCAAATATTGGCACAAATACTCAATATGCCTAAATGTGAACAGTGGTGGAATTTGGGGGAAATAGAGCTTGACATTTGGGAGTTGTAGTTTCTGGGATTTATAGTTCACCTACAATCACAGAGCATTCTGAACCCCACCAACGAGAAAATTGAGCCAAGCTTCCCACGCAGAACCCCCACAACTAACAGAAAAATACTGTGTTTTCTGATGGTCTTTGGCGACCCCTCTGACACCCCCTCGCGACCCCCCCAGGGGTCCCGAACCCAGGTTGGGGGGGGGGGGGGGGGGGGGGGGGGGGTGAGTCTGAGTGAAAGAGGGTCTACCCTAGCAAACCTTTTGTATCGTTACCCCAATACCCCCATGCATATGGGATATATTGAGCATGGTGATCAGATCATGATATGAATAAACATAACAGTTTAAATAATGTACCAGTAAGGCCTTCTCGCGGACCACCATGAGAATTTCGGGGGGCTGGGTGGGCTGAAGCCCCCCAAGTCCCCCCCCCCGGCTACATGCCTGCCCCCAGGGGTCCCGACCCCCAGGTTGAGAAACGCTGCTCCAGTGAAATTCAATGGTAGAAGTTACCATGGACTTAGTTTTGCTAGCAAGTTTTGCTATAAGAATCTCTAGGTCTACCAGTACAACCCTATGGTATGCTGGAACTGGAAAGCATACCATACAATGGCTTTTGGTCATATTTATTTATTTACATAATTTCTACCCCGCCCTTCTCACCCTCGGGGGGATTCAGGGCGGCTAACATGGGCAACAATTCAATGCCATAATATCAATACAACAATGTAAAATCAAATACATAGAAAATAAAACAATAACATTAACTAAAATCACATACTCATATACTAACATAGTCGCCTACAGGGTGAGGTAGCATAACTTCCTTTTTTTAAAAGTCGGTTGAAGACGTCATGGAGCGCTAGCAGTCTCATTCGAGAGGTGGGAGTATAAAGTTTTATCCTGACAGTTCAGTCACCATCGTTGGAACAGTGAGGAGCGTGCTTTTGCTGTTAAGGCTTACTTTTCGAGCGGATTTGGAGTGGCCGGCCCGCTCTCCAGATTTGGCCCCTTGTGATTTCTTTCTATGGGGTGTTTTGAAATCCCATGTTTATGTGGATCGTCCAAGGACCCTACAAGGTTTGAGGACCAACATCCAGGAAGAAATTGCCAACATAACGCCTGCTATACTGGCACGAGTCAGACAAACGCCAGAAATTGGTTTACTCAGTGTATGGAGAATGGGGAACGTCACCTACCTAATTTGATCTTCAAAACTACGTAAAACAAAACTTTAGGGATGTGCCTACATTATAATTTTTTTTTTTTAAAAAAAAAAATCTGATTCATACAATGGGTTTTATTAAGTTTTGAAAAAAGGAAGTTATGCTGCCTCACCCTGTATTTGCAGTTTCAAGCCCAGCCAGGATCATATCCTCCATGGCTTATACTCTCTGTAAGAAGGTTACTGTCAAATCCAGTTTGGGTTGTGAATGGAAAATATAAGCAGCGTCATGGCTGAGTGAACACTTTAATACTAGATTAGACGTTTACTCCAGGAACAATAAAACTTTTCTGATAATTTGTTAAAGTATCTATATAATAAATGTTTTAATTGAATAAACCAGATGGCTTGAGAGCATTTCTCTAGCATAGTTCATAAGGAACAGTAGTGCTCATTTCACTGATAATGAAAGACAAAAGTTTCATGTACCTTTATAAATGAAAATATAGATAACTAGCCGTACCCTGGCCACGCATTGCTGTGGCCTCAAAAAACAGGAATCCCAGACAGAGGAGATATGATAGCCATGTATAAATGTGTGAGAGGAAGCCACATAGGGAGGAGGGAGCAAGCTTGTTTTCTGCTTCCCTGGAGACTAGGACACGGAACAATGGCTTCAAACTACGAGAGAGGAGATTCCATCTGAACATGAGGAAGAACTTCCTGACTGTGAGAGCTGTTCAGCAGTGGAACTCTCTGCCCCAGAGTGTGGTGGAGGCTCCTTCTTTGGCAGCTTTTAAACAGAGGCTGGATGGCCATCTGTCAGGGGTGATTTGAATGCAATATTCCTGCTTCTTGGCAGGGGGTTGGACTGGATGGCCCATGAGGTCTCTTCCAACTCTTTGATTCTATGATTCTATGCATGGTCTGGGCTAGGGAACATCTCCCCACAAAGATTTCCTGTAGGCAGGAAGAAGTCAGGCTTTTAAGCTGTAAGGCTTTTCAAAGGTTATGAAGGTAGGCAATGTATGTGTATATGTATATGTGTATATATGTGTGATGTGTATATATGTGTATATTTGTGTGTGCATGTGTATATATGTGTTATGTATGTGTGTATATATATATGTATTTATGTGTGTATGTATATATGAGTGCATATGTGTTTGTGTAGATATGTGCATGTGTGTGTTGTTTGTATATGTGTGTAGGCCTGGCTTACTTGGGCCCTCCAGACATTTTGGACTTCAGTTCCCACAATTCCTAATAGCCAGAACAGCTTGGCTGTTAGGAATTTGTAGGAGTTGAAGTCCAAAACGCCTGGAGGGCCCAAGTAGGCCCATGCCTGGAGTATGAGAAGTTTGGAGGCCAAATTTGATGTCAGTTGGCCCCATAGTTTGTTTGTTTTCAGGCTACTCACGACAACCAGAAGCTTTTTATATATTAAGATAAGTATTGTAAAATGATACCAAACTACACAACCAGCTTTTTATCCCTGTTAGTAAACAGAAACCAAACTTACCTTCCTTCTGGAAAGAGAAAACTCTGCTTCACATAACTTGCAGTGGGTAGCATCTTTGTCCTTTAGCCAGACTTGCCCCTATTTGGGAGGGAATGTGTTCCAAGTTATTATTTACATCAAATGCTAAGCACCACTAAAGCAGGAAAGTGATATACCTCGGTTTTTCCTAAAATAAGATCTTGTAATCTTATACATGAACACACACACTGGGTTATAGGCTGCATCTATAGTGCAGAATTGATGCAGTTCGACACCACTTTAAATGCCATGGCTCAATTCTATGGAATAATGGGAGTTGCAGCTTTACAGTCTCTTTATAGACTTCTCTGCCAAAGAGTGTTCGTGTGTCACTAAACTACATCTCCCATGACTCCATAGCATTGAGCTATGGCAGATGAAGTGCTGTTAACTGCATTAATTTTATACTGCAGATGAACCCTTACATAAGTATTCACCCCTTTGACTTTTCTGCATTTTGTTGTGTTACCACCTGAACGCAAATGATAGCTTATCCTTTCTTAACTGCTCTTGTTTTACTCTCTACAGATTGCTGAGAAGCTTGAAAGGAGTAGGCCAACACTCTGTCTTCAAACATATATCAGTGTTGAAGTGATTCATAAACAGAAACAAATCTAGTACTAAAAAATATGGGTTTATTGCCTTGTTTAGATTATACAAACATTCCCAAAAGATAAACAAAGCATAGGAGTAATGTTGTATGTACCTTGGACAATAATAGAATAGGCTAGTTCGTTTCAAATGCAACAACAAACCAATCATTTTGGTTAAAAGCTAAGCTACACCTTGATATTTATGTTATCTGGTGCATGTGAGTAGAATATTAAATATTTTAATGAGTCACATCAGGAACAGCTTAGAAAACTGGGTATGTTTAGCTTGATGAAAAGGTGAGACAATAAGCACCGGGATTGTGGCGTAGCTGGCTGAGTATCAGCTGCATTAAGATCACTCTGACCAAAAGGTCATGAGTTCGAAGCCAGCCCGGGTTGGAGTGGGTTTCCAACCAATTGTGTGTAGCCTGTTGTCGACCTTTGAAACCTGAAAGACAGTTGCATCTGTCAAGTAGGAAAATTAGGTACCACCTTAAAGTGTGGGGAGGCTAAATTAACTGATTTATGAGGCCATAAAGAATACTCCAGCAAAGCATTCCAGCGGGGAAGCATGCGGGGAATGCGGAAGTGCTTCATCAGCGTCGCAGATGGACGATGAAAGCGACAGCTCCCCTGGCGGCCAGAAAAAGTTAAATAGCCTCTGTGTATGTCTGTATATGTTTGTATGTCAAAAATTGGCATTGAATGTTTGCCATATATGTGTACACTGCAATCCGCCCTGAGTCCCCTGTGGGGTGAGAAGGGCGGAATATAAAAGCTGTAAATAAATAAATAACTAAAAATAAATAATAAATATCTGACTGGACATCATGTAGAGGATGGACTAAGTTTGTTTTCGGCTGCTCCAAAACCCAGAGAATGAACCAGTGGATTAAAATTAGATGAAAAGAGATTAAACATTACAAAGAAATTATTTACTGTTAGAACTGTTCAATAGTAAAACAGACTGGCTCAGAAATCTTCTTTGTTTTGAATGAGCATCTTTCCTGACTGCTTTAGTTGTGTATTCCTGTATGTCAGAGAGTTGGACTGCATGGCCCATATAATCCCTTCCAACTCTGTGATTCTATGATGAACAGATTTTACCTTGAAGTCTGTCTCTTTTGCCCCAGTTTACTAACCTGTAAAGCTTTGTTTGCTTCTTTTATATCTTCTATTTTAAGCTTTGATCTGAATAGAAGACACAATTGAGAGATCGAGTATGAATAATGGCAAACGAAGAGAAAATATACTAGTTCTTTCAGAGATAATAATAATAATAATAATAATAATAATAATAATAATCTTTATTTATACTACCCCGCCACCATCTCCCCAACGGGGACTCAGAGCGGCTTACATGGGGCCAAGCCCGAACAACAAATTACAATACAAAAATACAAATTGCAGTAAAATACACAACATAACAATAAAGTATAAAACATCAAAGCATATAAACAAAATGGGCAGAGTTTCCCTCACTTCTTGTTGTCTCACCCTTATTCTTCACTAGGAGTTAGATCCAGAGATGCATCTGGATTTGAAAGATGGAGACGCACATTCCTCCTTCGATCCACAGTATACATAATAATAATAATAATAATAATAATAATAATAATAATAATAATTACAACAAACGTGTCCTCTGTGTTGTCAAAGGCTTTCATGATCGAATCACTGGGTTGCTGTGAGTTTTCCAGGCTGTATGGCCATGTTCCAGAAGCATTCTCTCCTGACAGTTCACCCACATCTATGGTAGGCATCCTCAGAGGTTGTGAGGTCTGTTGGCATTTGGGGTTTATATATCTGTGGAATGATCTTTTTCCCACCCTGGGCATTTTAGAGATATATAAACCCCACTTGCCTTGTTTCCAACAAACCTCACAACCTTTGAGGTTGCCTGCCATAGATGTGGGTGAAATGTCAGGAAAGAATGCTTCTGGAAAATTGCCATACAGCCCTGAAAATTCACAGTAACCCAGATGTGTCCTCATTTAGCAAGCATTTCCTTGCATTTTACATAAATGCTCCATCTATGGTCTCTCCTTCTGTGCACCTCACTTTCTAAAAGGCTGAGAGAACAGCCATGCCTAATATTTGTAACAACGGGCCGAAATGTCTTTTTTAGTAAATAATGGATTTAAAAAGTATATTTGCCCTCCCCTTACAAGAAAAGAAAAAGGGACATTACTCGCTAAGTTTTCCAGCCAGTTCTTGGAGAGCTTCTTCTTGATCGTGACAGAGATTTCTCAACTGCTTGTTCTTTTCTTGTAACTTTAAGAACTCCTTTAAAATAAAGAAACATATACATTAGATGTAATTCATTAAGAGAATTAAATGATTTGAGCTGCCTTTTTGTCACATTCCCCCAGTCAACGTGGGTGAGTCCACTTCAAAAAAGTATCAGTTCCATTTTCTTGTTTTAACTCTTTTGTAGAAATTTCATATTAAATGCAACTGGAGAAGAAATCAGAAGAGATAGGGAAGATTAAAAAATGCAACACTATATCCCCATCTTAACATCTTCTCTGGGTTATAACCTTTTCCTTTTCAGTCACTAAAGTAGAGTATGGGGTACAGGCAGTCCCCAGGTTACAAACAAGGTAGGTTATGTAGGTTTCTTCTTAAGTTAAATTTGTATGTGAATCAGAACAGGTACATTTTTAAGTGTAACTCCAGCCCAACTTTTTGAAAATTTGGATAGCATAGGGAAGGGTTCACACCCCTGTGGTGCTTGTTTTGCTGTCTGTGCCTCTGTTCAGAAGATTTCATTGTACTTTCTGTCCCTGTGACAATTTAATTTTGAAAAATTCGGCTTGTTGTGAAGACAAGGACTGGTGATTAAGCTTCAGTAGAGGCACCTTTTCCCCATTATTTATTTATTTACAGTATTTATATTCTGCCCTTCTCACCCTGCAGGAGACTCAGGGCGGATTACAATGTACATATACATGGCACACAACATATATAGACAGATACACAGAGGCTATTTAACAGTCCAGCTTTTTCATGAGGGTATTCTGGCCACCAGAGGAGCTGCCGCGTCACCGTCCATTTGTGACACTGATGAAGTACTTCCCCATTCTTTGCATGTTTGCTGGAGATTTTCATGGCCTTGTAAGATAGTTAAATTAGCCTCCCCACATAAGTGGTACCTTGATTTCCTACTTGGCAGATGCAACTGTCTTTCGGGCTGCAAAGGTTGACAACAACCTTCTATGCCCCACCTCGGAGTCTTCTGGGGAGGCCCTGCTCTCAGCCCCACCTCTATCACAAGTGAGGCTGGTGGGGACGAGGGACAGGGCCTTCTCAGTGGTGGCCCCTCACCTGTGGAACTCACTCCCTGGGGAAATTAGGTCATCAACATCCCTCCTCTCCTTCAGAAGGAAGCTGAAAACATGGATATGGGACCAGGCCTTTGGGTAATCTGGCAGACTGACAAGGTAATGACGACCAGAATTTGGAAAGGACTATGGTAATGCTGAATGGACTTACGGATTTTAGAACTCAGTGAACGTTGGCCACTAGATTGGCTTTTTAGTTGTTATTGTATTAATTGAATGTTTTAAATATTGTGGTTATTGTTGTTATGTATTTTATCTGTTGAATTGTTGGCATCGAATTGTGCCGGTTGTAAGCCGCCCTGAGTCCCCCACTAGGGGGTTGAGAAGGGTGGGGTAGAAGTGCCCGAAATAAATAAATAAACAAACAAACAAACAAACAAACAAGCTATCCATAACTCTTCCCTTCCAATGGGTAGAGTTTCCCTCACTTCTTGCTGTCTCACCCCTATTCTTCACTAGGAGTCAGATGAAAGTCATATGTTTGTAATTTGGGGACTGTCTGTACTCTATCCTTTAGTATATATTATTTTTATTTTTAAGATGTACTCTTGAGACTGCCTAGGGCAGGGATCCACAAACTTTTTAAACAGAGGGCCAGGTCACAGTCCCTCAAACTGTTGGAGGGCCGGATTATAATTTGAAAAAAAATGAACGAACTCCTATGCACACTGCACATATCTTATTTGTAGTGCAAAAAACACTTAAAAACAATACAATAATTAAAATGAAGAACCATCTTAACAAATATAAACTTATTAGTATTTCAATGGGAAGTGTGGGCCTACTTTTGGCTGATTAGATAGGATTATTTTTGTTGTTGTGTGCTTTCAAGTTGTATTTTTTAAAAAGCAGTTGCATCACCTTTAAAAGGTGTTTCTGATTTGTGATATTTTAATATCTGACCCTGAGCGGGGGCCGGGTTAATGACCTTGGAGGGCCGTATCTGGCCCCCAGGCCATAGTTTGAGGACCCCTGGTCTAGGGCAACAGAATCACTACTGCTCCTCACAGTGCTGCCATCTCATATTTATTATTTATTTATTTATTTACAGCTTTTATATTCCGCCCTTCTCACCCCGCAGGGGACTCAGGGCGGATTACAGTGTACACATATACACATATGTGTACATATATGGCGAACATTCAATGCCAATTTTTGACATACAAACATAGACAGACATAGACAGAGGCTATTTAACTTTTTCTGGCCGCCAGGGGAGCTATCTCTTTCATCGTCCATCTGCGACACTGATGAAGCACTTCCGCATTCCCCACATGCTTCCCCGCTGGAATGCTTTGCTGGAGTCTTCTTTATGGCCTCATAAATCAGTTAATTTAGCCTCCCCACACTTTAAGGTGGTACCTTATTTTCCTACTTGACAGATGCAACTGTCTTTCGTGTGGCAAAGGTCAACAACAGGCTACACACAATTGGTTGGAAACCCACTCCAACCCGGGCTGGCTTCGAACTCATGACCTTTTTGGTCAGAGTGATCTTAATGCAGCTGACACTCAGCCAGCTGCGCCACAATCCCGGTGCTCACTCAACCCCAACAATCCAATTCATTTGAAAAGCTCGAGAAAGTTAGAATAGTTCAACTGCAAATTAAGTACTGCACCCCTGTGAATGTCTGTGAATAAATATCAAAGTTGATGTTATGCAACTCTCTCTTAAGGATGTAAATTAGATGTGTTGTGTATGTGGAAGTGTATATGTGTATGTGCTTTCAAGTGACTTGTGTACTTATGGTAAAATCATAAATTTCATAGGGTTTTCTTAGGCAAGGAATACTGAGAATAGTTTACAACACCAGGCATTTGTTAGTTGTCTTCCATCCAAGTACTAACCAGGGCTGACCCCGCTTAGCTTCTAAGATATGATGGATATGCGTTTAGGGAACTCCTTCATTCAACAAACCACTTGCCTCAAATGATTATAGGATATGAAGTAAGTATTTCAAGAGGACACAATCATATAGATCAGTAGTTCTCAACCTGTGAGTCCCCAGATGTTTTGGCCTTCAATCCTAAGAGCTGGTAAACTGGCTGGGATTTCTGGGATTTGTAGACCAATACACCTGGGGACCCACTGATCTAGACAGACTGTTGTACCAGTCACCACCAATAATTCAGAATCAACAATGCTCTAACAATGGTCCACGCTCTTGTTACATCCCAAATAGATTACTGCAACGCACTCTACGTGGGGTTGCCTTTGAAGACTGTTCGGAAACTTCAATTAGTCCAACGGGCGGCAGCCAGACTACTCACTGGAGCATCATACAGGGAACATAACACCCCTCTGTTATGTCAGCTCCACTGGCTGCCGATCCAATTCTGAGCACAATTCAAAGTGCTGGTTTTGACTTACAAAACCCTATACGGCTCTGGCCCAGCGTACCTGTCCGAACACATCTCCTTCTACGTCCCGCCTCGGAGTTTAAGATCCTCTGGGGAGGCCCTGCTCTCGACCCACCTTTATCAAAAGTGAGGTTGGTGGGGACGAGGAGCAGGGTCTTCTCAGTGGTGCCCCCTCGCCTGTGGAATTCGCTCCCTGGGGAAATTAGGTCATCGACATCCTTCCTCTCTTTCAGAAGGAAACTAAAAACATGGATATGAGACCAGGCCTTTGGGTAATCTGGCAGTTAGACAAAGGACAATGACGACTAGAGTTGGATAGGATTATGATAATGCGGAATGAACTTACGGATTTTGAACCTGGCGAAGGTTGAACACTAGGATTGGCTTTTATTAGTTGTTATCGGATAATTGGATTGTTTTAACTTTTTATAATTGTTGCTGCTATGTATTTTATCCTACTATGTGTATTGCTGGCACCGAATTGTGCCTTTTGTAAGCCGCCCTGAGTCCCCCCTCAGGAGTTGAGAAGGGTGGGGTAGAAATGCCGGAGATAAATAAATAAACTAGAAATTGTAAGTAATTTTTCACTGTCTATTTTCACTTCTCACTGGTATTCCACATCATTTTACTGCCTTATAATCTACTATTTTGTTAAATCCATGAAAGCAATGAAAAAAATTGCTGCTGAATTTACTTTTTTAAGTGTAATGATTTGTTGGGTCTCGGTCTTCAGAGAAGATGCCATTTCTTTTTCCTTTCTAAGGTCTTCTTCCATCGTTTGTCGCCATTCTTTTTCTATTTTCAGATCTGTTTCCAGCTGACACCTAGACAAACAGAATATAAATAAAAAGTCACAGAAGCCAAAATCATACTTTTAAAATATCATAGTCATATTTTAGTTATCCTGTGAAGACTGCTTAAGTATCCTTTTTGAAATAGCTTGGCATATATTCCACAGACATACTCATGATTTCTTAGAAAGTCATTATTAATTATTTTAAAGAGACTTTTGAAAAACTATATCACAGTCTATGCTCAATTCTACTTCGAAAAGGTTCAACCACAAGGTAATTTTTCAATTTGACTCAAACAACACCAAAGCTGATGCACTGTACCCGTCTGAAAAAGTTTCAGAATCCCCCCCCCCCCCGACAAATTCCTTCTCTTTGCAAAAATAGTTTTCTGAGAGTTTTGTGGCGAGTCAGACACTGCACTGGATCCCTTCTGTTCTGTTCTTCATTTATTTTTTTAGGGGACTTATATCACATTGGTTGTGGTTGGGGATTATATTATATCATAAGCTACCTTGGGTAGAAATGGCAGAATTTACTGTATATACTCGAGTTTAAGTTTTTCAGCCCTTTTTTAGACTGAAAAAGTCCCCCTCAGCTTATACTCAAGTCAAAGTTATTTATCATTTTACTGGATTATTATTATTATTTTATTACATTTATTATTTTACTCTATTATTATTATTTTATTATTATTATTAGATGTATTATTTTACTCTATTTTTATTATTAGATTTATTATTTTACTCTATTGTTATTATTACATTTACATTATTTAACTCTATTATTATTATTATTATTATTATTATTATTATTATTACATTTATTATTTATTCTCTTTATTAGAAGGATGCGTAAACACATTTTATTTTTTTAATTTGTCTCTTTTATAACATGTTTTTAATCTGCTTTTATACCTGACCTACTTGGGAACTGTGATTCATTTCCTTGGGCATCAGTGCCCCATTTTATACTGTGCTGGTCAAAGACCGTAATAAATCATTGATTGATTGATATTCTCTTTATTGGAAGGATGCGTAAACACATTTACATTGAAAGAGATTAGAATAAATTGTTTAACAACAGTTGGACACTCTTATCTTATAGTTTTATGTAAATATTCAAAAACATTTAACCTACAATGGCTTCAAACTACAAGAGAGGAGATTCCATCTGAACATGAGGAAGAACTTCCTGACTGTGAGAGCCGTTCAGCAGTGGAACTCTCTGCCCCGGAGTGTGGTGGAGGCTCCTTCTTTGGAAGCTTTTATGCTAATCAAGGTGGTCAGTTGAAACATTCACACCTAGCTCCAGCAGAGAAGAGTCCTTTGTCTCACCCTGGTCATTCCACAGATATATAAACCCTTTTGCCTAGTTCCAACAGACCTCACTACCTCTGAGGATGCTTGCCATAGATGCAGGTGAAACGTCAGGAGAGAATGCCTCTAGACCATGGCCATATAGCCCGAAAAACCTACAACAACCCAGTGATTCTGGCCATGAAAGCCTTCGACAATACTTTTAAACAGAGGCTGGATGGCCATCTGTCAGGGGTGCTTTGAATGCAATTTTCCTGCTTCTTGGCAGGGGGTTGGACTGGATGGCCCACGAGGTCACTTCCAACTCTATGATTCTATGATTCTACTGATGCCTCAATTAATGTAATTTCATTGGTATCTATTTTTATTTTGAAATTTACCAGTAGCTGCTGTATTTCCCACCCTCAGCTTATACTCGAGTCAATATGTTTTCCCAGTTTTTTGTGGCAAAATTTGATGCCTTGGCTTATACCCGGGACGGCTTATACTTCAGTATAAACGGTACATATGTCACATAAATCCTTTTCCTTCTTTTGCTTATAGAAAAACAATGCAAGTTTTGAAGATCTGCAAAGGGGCAAGAATATATATTATTTTCTAGTATAACTTTATGGTGGATGGCTTTTCGTATAACTGTACAGCTTACAACTGCTTTCATAAACTGTTCTGATGTTTTCCAAACCAGAGGTTTATCCTTCCCCACAAACGTTGATGCCTTTGAAATTCTGTCAAATTACCGTATATTCCGGGGTACTAGACGACTTTTTAGGCATGTAAAACCTTATAAAATTTTGGAGATCGTCTAGTACGCTGGGTATAAAATTAAAATAATAAAATTACATACTATGGCTGCCTTGGCCTCGGGCTCCCCTCCTCCTCCTCCTCCGCCTTGGTTCATGGCGGCCTCCCGGGCAGGCTCCCCATCCTTCCTCCCTTCCTGGCTGCCTTCCTTGCTCAGGCCCAGGCCTCTCCTTTGTTGGCGGCTGGGCCCCTGGGCTGCTTCCCGCGCTGCTCAGGCCACTCTCCTTTCTGTCCAGGCCTTGTGAGAAACACCTCTTCTCCCATGAGACAAGGTTGTCTCGCAGGAGAAGAGGTGCTTCGTGTAAGGCCTGGCCAGGAAGAAGGAGAGCCTTCCCGGAATAATGATTCCATAGCACTTTGTCCCTTTACATTTTTAGGTCTGCTCGTATGTCTTTCCACAAACGCCACTATCACCTTTTCGTCCATGCTTCAGCAGTATTTCCAATTTTAATTTTACATTTGGCCTTCCCACAGTTTTAATTGTATGTTGTCTTATTGATAATGTTATATGTTTATTGTCTATGTTTTTATTTTAATTGCTTGTATTGTTGTGATTATTGCTTGTATTGTTGTGTTTGGGCTCGGCCTCATGTAAGCCGCACCGAGGCCCATGGGGAGATGATAGCCGGGTACAAATAAAGTGGTGGTGGTGGTGGTGGTGGTGGTGGTGTTGTTGTTGTTGTTGTTGTTGTTGTTGTTGTTGTTGTTGTTATTATTATTATTATTATTATTATTATTATTATTATAGAGCGGCCTGAGGAGCACTGGAGGCCCTTCTGATCAGGCCACTCTGCTTCTTCCTGGCCAGGCCTTGCGCGAAGCGCCTCTTCTCCCGGAGACAACGTTGTCTCGCGGAGAAGAGGCACTTTGCGCGAGGCCTGGACAGAAAGGAGGAGAGCGCCTGAGGAGGGCCGAGGCCCTTCTGATCAGGCCGCTCTCCTCCTTCCTGTCCAGGCCTCGCGAGAAGTGCCTCTTCTCGCACGACATGCCTCGGGAGAAGAGGCACTTTGCGCGAGGCCTGGACAGAAAGGAGGAGAGCAGCCTGAGGAGCGCCGGAGGCCCTTCTGATCAGGCCGCTCTCCTCTTCTCCTGCGAGACAATGTTTCGCAGGAGAAGAGGCACTTTGCGTGAGGCCTGGACAGAAAGGAGGAGAGCGGCCTGAGGAGCACCGGAGGCCCTTCTGATCAGACCGCTCTCCTCCTTCCTGTCCAGGCCTCGCGAGAATTGCATCTTCTCCCGTGAGACAACGTTGTCTCGCAGGAGAAGAGGCACTTTGCGCGAGGCCTGGCCAGGAAGAAGGAGAGTGGCCTGAGGAGTGCTGGAGGCCCTTCTCATCAGGCCGCTCTCCTCCTTCCTGCCCAGGCCTCGCGAGAAGTGCCTGGTTTGGAGTCGTCTTAAACAGCAAGTATATCCCCAACTCTCTATTTTGTTAGTTAAAGTTGGGGGGTCGTCTTATAGCCCCAGTCGTGTTGTACCCCGGAATATACCATACATACGTTTCTGCCTGCCCTTTCTATCTCAGTTGAAAGCTGTGTTCAGCTTTATCCCTTTTATTTATCTATATAAATAAAAAAATGTAATGTTCGTTTGTGATACCATCAGAACTCAAAAACCACTGGGGGAATTGACACCAAATTTGGACATAAGACACCTAACAACCCAATGTATGTCCTCCACTCAAAAAAAATGATTTTGTCATTTGGGAATTGTCGTTGCTGGGATTTATAGTTCACCTACAATCAAAGAGCATTCTGAACTCCACCAATGATGGAATTGGGCCAAACTTGGCACACAGGGCTCCCATGACCAACAGAAAAAACCGGAAGGATTTGGTGGACATTGACCTTGAGTTTGGGAATTATAGTTCACCCACATCCAGAGAGCACTGTGGACTCAAACAATGATGGATCTGGACCAAACTTGGCACGAATATTCCATATGCCCAAATATGAACACAGATGGAGTTTAAGGGAAATAGACCTTGGCATTTGGGAGTTGTAGTTACTGGGATTTATAGTTCACCTACAATCAAAGAGCATTCTGAACTCCACCAATGATGGAATTGAACCAAACATAGCATACAGGACTTCCATGACCAACAGAACACACTGGAAGGGTTTGGTGGGCATTGACCTTGAGTTTGGGAGTTGTAGTTCACCTACATCCAGAGAGCACTGTGGACTCAAACAATGATGGATCTGGGCCAAACTTGACACAAATATTCCATATGCCTAAATATGAACACAGATGGAGTTTGGAGGAAATAGACCTTGACATTTGGGATTTGTAGTTACTGGGATTTATAGTTCACTACAATTAAAGAGCATTCTGAAACCCACAAACGACAGAAATGGGGCAAACTTCCCACACAGAACCCCATGACCAACAGAAAATACTTAAGGCCATCCAGTCCAACTCTCTTCACCAGGGCAAGAAAATGTAATCAGAGCCCTCCTGACAAAGAGCCATCCAGTCATAAATATAGATAGATATGATTCTCTCACACACACAGATATAGTATCACAGATTTGAAAGAGACCCTTAAAGAAGGACTATGATATGTTGATATTCCAGAATAGGCAAACCAGACACTCTCCACATCAACACTGACAAAGAAACAGCAAGAAATACTGTTTACTCACAAGCATAAAGGAATTACATATATTAGAAACCAACACTTTCTCATTACTTTATTTTCCAGATCACCAGACTGGGCCACAGCAACACGTGGCAGGGGACAGCTAGTATTTATATAAATCTTTTGATGAAAAGTGCACTTATGATATCATTTCATCCCATGTTGGTTCAAGAAATTAAGAACACATTTTGATATTTTAATTCAAAAGTAAAACAAACCATGTAAACATATTCACACTTCTCCCAACATGTAAATTACTTACACTTGCTTCTCCTTTTGAGTAATTTCTTTCTGAAGACTTTCAGATTTACTCATATAATCTTGCTTATATTTCTTGTCCTCACTCTCTGCCTCCGTTTGAGACTTCTCTGTTTGCTGCAATCTGGTGTAATTCAAATCAACTTTGGGTAAAACTGAAGCTAGAATTTGGGTGTAAAGGGTGAAGAAGACAAATAAAAGGAAAAAATGGGGAAATAGAAATATTTCTAAATGAAAACAAAGTTTGGGGTAAACTCACAAACTCAAATGAGAGACCCAGACAATGCCTAGAAATCCAGATTATTTTTCTCACTATAACAACAAAAACATCTATATATTTCTCCAGTTTTTTTATTTGATGCTTTTGAGTAACAAATGCCATCAATGCAGAGCTATACAGATTTTGTGATTCATACATACAGAGCTTTGACTTTGCATTTTTGTGTTATTAAGATTAGTTACTTTTCTTTTTACAAAAAGCAGGGCTGACCTCTGCAACTAGTTGTGCGTTAACTACACATATTCACCCGCACCACAAAATAGAGAAAGCAGTGGTCTAAAATTCAGAACACAACATGGAATAATGCAATATAATGTCACCATGTGTCTAACATTGCGCACTTGGTAAAAAGAAAAATATCTATATAATTTGTATTCTCATTCCAATAAGGTAAGTTTGGGGTCCAAATGGGGATGGTGTATCCTAATGTGCTCTTGAGCCTCTCAGATTGATAAGAACTACCCAGTTGTATTAATTTATTTAAGAACAGGCAGCTCCGCACCTCTGTATTTCTTTGTGCACAGGGGGGAAATCCCTCCAAAGTTTTGTCAAGCATACAGGAGGTCCCTACACATTAAAGAGTGACTGAATGATTAAATTACAGTCATTCAATGGTAGGCGAATATGTGGTCCACAAAAATATTATTTCAGTCCATTTATTACCGAAGAATTGGTGCAAACTGAACTGGACATGCCTGAGGTCTTTACAAAAGAGGAGCTACTGTGTAACTCGAAATACAGTTACTCTGTCTTTCTAATAAACAGTAACCTGAACCATTTTACCTATACATTTCACTGAGCATAATAAAAATTGTGCCAGCTGAATTTAAAATAAGTATCTATTTATTATTTAAAAAGCAGTAGCATCACTTTTAAAAGTTGTTTCTGATTTGTGATATTTTAATATTTGTGAAATACGGCAGTTTATCTGTAAAACAAAGTAGTAGTTGTGCATCAAATACACTGATTAATCAGAATGCAAAAACGATTTAGCTACATTTACACTCTGGTCCACAAAGCAATTAAACCAGAGTACATGGACAAAAAGGCTGAAATCCAAGCATCGTGGCTTAAAAAGAAATTCTGGATTGTTTTTAACTCCATTCAAGTTGTCAAAATGATATATCTTTAACAAGCTTGTACTGCTGCTGCCCCTCATTGCTGGCACATTTCACCAAGGACATTGCAATGGTCCTCGTTTGGGTTAACAACTCTTTGTCACTTCAGATGGGCAATGGACAAAAACCAAAGACAAATAAAGGTAATAAAAACATCCAATAATGTAGAAATTGGGAGAAAGGAGAAAAGAAAAAGAAGGAAAAAAGGATGTCAATAAAAGAAGATACATGCCACTAACGCTTTAATACAGAATTATGTTTTTGTTGTTTTTGTTAAGTAGATTGGAACAGAAAAGAAAAAAACCATGGCAAGACATGTCAACAGCCACGTGATGAGGCTATGGATGTTAGTTTTTAAAAAAATTCAGAAAACGAGCACTGTATATTAAAACAAGAATTTCTGTGGATTTTACACAATAAGTGCATTGACAACAATGAACTGATGCTATACATCAGTGTTTCTCAACCTTCCTAATGCCGCGACCCCTTAATACAGTTTCTCATGATCCCCAACCATAAAAGTATTTTTGTTGCTGCTTCATAACTGCAGTTATGAATCAAAATGTAAACATCTGATCTGTAGGATGTATTTTCTTTCACTGGACCAAATCTGGCACAAATATCCGATACACCCAAATTTGAATACTGGTGGGGGGGGGGGTTGATTTTGGGAGTTATAGTTTCTGGGATTTATAGTTCACCTGCAGTCAAAGAGGGCTCTGAACTCCACCAACGATAGAATTGAACCAAACTTGGCACACAGAACTCCCATGACCAACAGAAAATACTGGAAGGGTTTGGCGTTGACCTTGAGTTTTGGAGTTGTAGTTCACCTACATCCAGAGAGCACTGTAGACTCAAACAGTGATGGATCTGGACCAAACTTGGCAAGAATACTCAATATGCCCAAATGTGAACACTGGTGGAGTTTGGGGAAAATAGACCTTGACATTTGAGTTGTAGTTGCTGGGATTTAGTTCACCTACAATCAAAGAGCATTCTGAACCCCACCAATGATAGAATTGTCAAACTTCCCACACAGAACCCATGACCAACAGAAAATACTGTGTTTTTCTGATGGTCTTTGCAACCCCTCTGATACCCCCTGACGACCCCCCCAGGAGTCCCAACCCCCAGGCTGAGAAACAATGCTATACATCATCTTTCAGTTGATACAGCCTCAACTCAAAAAGTGACTTCGGGTTCTTGGCATTCACTGGTGTTCGGTTTAAGGATCAGCCTTGGATACCAACATTTGTGGATGCTCAAGTCCCATTATACACAATGCCATAATAAAATGGTATCCCTTATACAAAATGGCAAAAGCAAAGTTTGCTTTTCAAATACATTTTTGGAGGGGAGAGATATTTTCAAGCCATAGATGGTGGAACCTATGGGCAGGAAATCTGACTGTACTTTAAAAGCAAGCAAGAATTTGCACATGTCTTGGACAATATTTGATCTTAAAATACTATCACAACCACTGTGGTGACATGAGAGAAGTCTCCTACAGGATAGTAAAAATCCAGGAGCCTCCTGGCAACGTCCCTGCAATCAGCCAATTCTCTCACACCAGAAACGACTTGAAGTTTCTCGAGTCGCTTCTGACACGATAAAAAACAACTGGGTTGTTGTAGGTTTTTTCGGGCTATATGTCCATGGTCTAGAGGCATTCTCTCCTGACGTTTCACCTGCATCTATGGCAAGCATCCTCTGAGGATGCTTGCCATAGATGCAGGCAAAACATCAGGAGAGAATGCCTCTAGACCATGGCCATATAGCCCAAAAAAACCTACAACAACCCAGTGATTCCGGCCATGAAAGCCTTCGACAATACAAAAGACTTCAGTTTCAGGAGTAGTTTGCTACTCAGGGAGGAAGAAAATCCTTTAAAAAGCCACATTTAAAAAAAAAACGAAGAAAAAACACTATTGGGGACATAGTACTAGCTGCAGAATTCTCTGGAACACCATGCAAATCAATGTTAATGAAAACACATTTCTAAGTAATGTTTCTCCAGCTGAAGAGAGGGATCACCAAAAGACTCCAAAGCTGCTATATATGGCAAGACTAACACTACATAACGCACTGAAAAATCTGAAATCAGCTCCTTTCCATGCTTTTATTTAAAGCAGCTATGGAAATAAGATATGCTTTCTGTAGGTACCTACAGAAGGCACCTCCCAACCAATTTGTGGGAGCACTCTTTCCCCTTACTCCCTAAAACCACAGACAGTCATATTCAACTGAATACCCAACCCTCAGTATGCCATTATTTTCAGGAGAAGGAAAGAACGGCCAAGGAGTAGGAAACTCCACTTCTATCAGATCCATTCCATATGCTGAAATCAGGATCCTTTGTAATACAATCATTCTATACAGAACTAAGAAAGTATTGCGTTAGGACTGTATTTAAAACATGTATTTTAAAAAATGATAGAAAACATACGAGGGGTATTTTTTAAGTAAGGTCCGTTTTATTGTAGACAGTAGTAGTTTGCGCGCATACCGCAATGAGAGCGTGCGTCGTATACTGGCATGCCTCGGGAACAACTGTGCTCAGTTTCCGCTCTGTAGCTAACCTGTATGGTTCTGTTCTGTGCTTTAAACATGTTTAAGACTATCAACTCACCCGCCGCATGTGAGGTTCGCTCAGTGATACGGTTTTTGTCAGCAAGGAACCTGCCTGCTGCAGAAATTCATCGACAGATTTGTGAAGTGTACGGTGATACTGTTATGAATGAAAGCAAAGTGCGTAAGTGGGTACGACAATTCAAAGATGGCCGTGACAACGTCCATGATGAGGACCGCTCCGGTCGCCCTTCTTTGATTACAGACGATTTGATTTGATCGCACACTCAAATCTTTGGTTTTTGTGGTCCTCTGTTAGGAGTTTCGGGACCCAACGGGAGCACAGTTTCCTAAACTTTAGGTGTTCAGAAACAATGTTGTAAAGCACTGATCTTGACACGTTAGGAAATTCGTTTGAGAGACCTGTTATTGTGAAGCGCCTGTTCTCACGAATCCTCGCTTCAACTGAAGCCACCAAATCATCTGTAATCAAAGAAGGGCGACCGGAGCAGTCCTCATCATGGACGTTGTCACGGCCATCTTTGAATTGTCGTACCCACTTATGCACTTTGCTTTCACTCATAACAGTATCACCGTACACTTCACAAATCTGTCGATGAATTTCTGCAGCAGGCAGGTTCCTTGCTGACAAAAACCGTATCACTGAGCGAACCTCACATGCGGCAGGTGAGTTGATAGTCTTAAACATTTTTAAAGCACAGAACAGAACCGTACAGGTTAGCTACAGAGCGGAAACTGAGCACAGTTGTTCCAGAGGCATGCCGGTACACGACGCACGCGCGTTGCGGTATGCGCACGAACTACTAGTGTCTACAACAAAACGGACCTCACTTAAAAAATAAGTCAGCTGTAAGATACATTTGGATCTTTCCTCAAAATGGAAAAACTTTTATTCAAAATAGCATAATATTTCAATGGAAACTACATGACATTGGTCTAGTTCGTATATAGCTCTAAACCAAGGTTTTGTCTTACACGATTAAGCTGGAACAAACCTGAGAGAGACTCTGGTTCACAATATCCCCATTTCCCCTTCTCCTCTCATGCAGCTGGGACAACTTCACCAGTGTTTAGTTTTGCTTCCACGCAATTTCACTGTATCTTACATATGAAACACAAACTCTGCTTTATAATGATATAGATTTCAAAGTATAGGTTATTATTATTATTATTTGTCATGTCAGGAGCGACTTGAGAAACTCCAAGTCGCTTCTGGTGTGAGAGAATTGGCCGTCTGCAAGGATGTTGCCCAGGGGATGCCCGGATGATTTGATGTTTTTATCATCCTTGTGGGAGGCTTCTCTCATGTCCCCGCTTGGGGAGCTGGAGCTGACAGAGGGAGCTCATCCGCCTCTCCCCGGATTCGAACCTGCGACCTGTCAGTCTTCAGTCCTGCCGGCACAGGGGTTTAACCCACTGCGCCACTGGGGGCTCCATAGTATAGATTAGGGTATAGATTATGTAACTGGCTTATTTAATCAGTTTGTTATAAAGCTGGATATCAGATTTGTGGACAACAACAAAAAACCTGAGATTCTAATTCTCAGGAGCATAGAAGGCAATGGGTAAAGAGCATGCCTCTCAAGTCCCATGTGGGATTACACATAGCCATGGTTTAGTGTTACATACAAATGCAGTCAACCTGGCAAATGAAAGGGGGCAAAAGAAATGGATGTAGAAGAAAAAAGCGCCATAATAAAACAAGATGCTGTACCTTTGCTCCAACTGCTTCATAGTGGTATTAATCTGACTGGTTTTATCCTCCAGTCGACCAATTATTTCATTCTTTTCTTTCATGTCCTCATCTGAAACCTATTATTAAAACAATTGAGGTATTATAGTACATTATTTTATCTGAGTAATAACTTAGTAATACTAAGTTCAACAAACTTGATGTATATAGTAAGACTTTCTCTATCTGTAGGCAAAAGGTTCCAAGATCCCCCCAACAAATTTTTATTTATCGTGTCAGGAGCAGACCAAAAAGTTGCATTGCATTTTTTAACAAACAAACAAGCAAACAAATCACAAAGTTTGCAAGCTTGGTAGTTGTTCTTTGACCGGTAGCTGGCCACTTGGAATGCCTATGGTGTTGCTGCAAGAAGGTCCTCCATTGTGAATGTGGCAGGGCTCAGGTTGCATTGCAGCAGATGGTCTGCACTCGCATATCGTAGTTCCACTTTGTGGCCCCATTTCTTAAGGTTGGCTCTGCATCTTGTGGTGCCAGAGTGCAGTTTGTTCAGCGCCTTCCAAGTCGCCCAGTTTTCTGTGTGCCCAGGGGGGAGTCTCTCATTTGGTATCAGCCATTGATTGAGGTTCTGGGTTTGAGCCTGCCACTTTTGGACTCTCGTTTGCTGAGGTGTTCCAGCGAGTGTCTCTGTAGATCTTAGAAAACTATTGCTTGATTTAAGTTGTTGGCGTGCTGGCTGATACCCAAACAGGGGATGAGCTGGAGATGTCATTGCCTTGGTCCTTTCAGTATTGGCTGCTACTTCCCGGCGGATGTCAGGTGGTGCAATACCGGCTAAAGAGTGTAATTTCTCCAGTGGTGTAGGGCGCAAACACCCCATGATAATGTGGCAATTCTTATTAAGAGCCACATCCACTGTTTTAGTGTGGTGAGATGTGTTCCACACTGGGCATGCATACTCAGCAGCAGAGTAGCATAGCGCAAGGGCAGATGTCTTCACTGTGGCTGGTTGTGATCCCCAGGTTGTGCCAGTCAGCTTTCGTATGATATTGTTTCTAGCACCCACATTTTGCTTGATATTCAGGCAGTGCTTCTTGTAGGTCAGAGCATGGTCCAGAGTGACTCCCAGTTATTTGGGTGTGCTGCCTGAAACTGCAGATAGGATCAAATTCTATGTATTTTCATAGAATCATAGAGTTGGACAAGACCTCGTGGGCCATCCAGTCCAACCCCTTGTCAAGAAGCAGGAAAATTGCATTCAAAGCACTCCTGACAAATGGGCTTCCAAAGGAGCCTCCACCCCACTCCGGGGCAGAGAGTTACACTGCTGAACAGCTCTCACAGTTAGAAAATTCTTCCTAATGTTCAAGTGGAATCTCCTTTCCTGTAGTTTGAAGCCATTTTTCCATGTTCTAGACAACAGAAAACAAGTTTGCTCCCTCCTCACTATGACTTCCTCTCACATATTTATACATGGCCCTCATCATGTCTCCTCTCAGCCTTCTCTTCTGCAGGCTAAACATGACCAGCTCTTTAAGTTGCTCCTCATAGGGCTTGTTCTCCAGGCCCTTGATCATTTTAGTCACCCTCCTCTGGACACATTCCAACTTGACAATAGCTCTCTTCAATTGTGGTGCCCAGAACTGGACACAGTATGATTCCAGGTGTGGTCTGAGCAAGCCAGAATAGAGGGGTAGCATGACTTCCCTGGATCTAGACACTATGCTCCTTAAACTTAACCCACTACCATAGAGTTAAAGCAGGCTCATAAACCAAACTTCCCATGGCTGGGTAGAGTTTCTTCCACTCCTCATCTGTTGTCCCACAGAAGAAAAAGGGACCAATCTGCTCTTCTCTCACTGCTTCCTCGACCAACACACACGAACAGAAGGTGGGAGGCCTAAGTATACTATAGAATTGCACCGGGGAACCACGAGATGGCCACAAACACTTCTGACAGGAACATTGGCAGGTAAACGAACCCACAGATAAGAGTGTCTTATTTAAAGGAGGGATGGGCTGGTCCTTTGTGTTCAGATAGGACCAGAGATTGCAAAACCAGTTTGAGGGAAACAAGATTCCCACTTCAGTTCTAAAATAACTCTTAATAACTGTGAGAAGTCTAGTTTTCATAAATAATAAAATAGTAATAAAACTTTATCTGTACCCCGCTACCATCTCCCCAAGGGACTCTGTGCGGCTTACACGAGGCCAAGCCCGCAGTACATCAATAAAACGAAGGCAATAACAAAATAATCAATACAAACCAGTAAAATAAATCTCATAAACAAAGATAAACAATCTATATAAATAAAAATGTAATGTTAGTTTGTGGGATTAACAGAACTCAAAAACTACTGGACGATTTGACACCAAATTTGGACACAAGGCACCTAACAACCCAATGTATGTCCTTCACTCAAAAAATTGATGTTGTCATTTGGGAGTTGTAGTTGCTGGGATGTATCGTTCACCTACAATCAAAGAGCATTCTGAACCCCACCAACGATGGAATTGAACCAAACTTGGCACACAATTCTCCCATGACCAACAAAATACTGGAAGGGTTTGGTGTTGGAGTTGTAGTTCACCTACACCCAGAGATCACTGTGGACTCAAACAATGATGGATCTGGACCAAACTTTACACAAATACTCAATATGCCCAAATGTGAACACTGGTGGAGTTTGGGGAAAATAGAATCTTGACATTTGGGAGTTGTAGTTGCTGTGATGTATAGTTCACCTACAATCACAGAGCATTCTGAACCATACCAACGATAGAATTGGGCCAAATCTCCCACACAGAACCCCCATGTGGGCCACAGCAACGCATGGCAGGGGACGGCTAGTAAACAATAAGTTTTAGTTTCCAAGTTACAAATACTGACGTATGATTTTTACCTTAATCTTTTGGTACATTTCTACATTTATTGCTTTGACTTCTTCCAACTGTTGCCGTAGATTTATAAGTGTATCCTGTTTTTCATGAATGTCTTTCTCCAGCAACTTCATTGCAAGTTCTATCTCATGCTTCATACCAACTTGGACCATCAGCTCATTCTCTATATCCTACAAAACAAATCAAGGTCCAAAGTATTAAACACACATGGGAGGGCTGGGACCAAGAGTACATGCATGTAGCAGAAGGAATAGCCTAATGAGCACACTGGAAGAATAACGTATCGAGGGTGCACGCACTTGTCGTAACTGTGATTCTTCTCTAAGTTGTCTATGTGCCTCATTGTACATTTCATCCAGGCTTTGTCTGGAGTGTTTGTATGTCTGAAGTTCCGCATCAGTATCCACTTTGTTGACCTATGAAGAAAATACAGAACTTTGGTGACTAGGTATACAATCTCACATTATTTCTCAGTCTCAATGTTCTGTCATTGGAGTATGCGTCCCCCTCTCGTGGGAAAGCCTGATTCCACAACCCCCGCTATAATGAGCCCTCCTCCGCAAAAAACCTGCTTCTCTTTTATTTTGCCCGAGTTATAGTTTTAATTAGTTTGTCTTTTAATCATTACATGTAGCCCGCAATTGGAGCCCCTGGTGGCACAGTGGGTTAAACCCCTGTGCAGGTAGGACTGAAGACCGACAGGTCGCAGGTTCGAATCCGGGGAGAGGTGGATGAGCTCCCTCTACCAGCTCCAGCTCCTCAAGCGGGGACATGAGAAGCCTCCCATAAGGATGATAAAATATCAAAACATCCGGGCATCCCCTGGGCAACGTCCTTGCAGACGGCCAATTCTCTCACACCAGAAGCGACTTGCAGTTTCTCAAGTCTCTCCTGACACACACACACAAAAAAGCCCGCAATTGCCATTGTACTTGTGCTTAGTGTAACTTTTGTATTGTTATGTGTTCACATGTTTTATGTAACTATGATGTTGTTGTGTATAGTTTGCGTTTTCGGTTTGCGTTTTCGGTTTTTCTTTATTGTAATTGTTGTTTGGGCTTGGCCTCATGAAAGCCGCTCCAAGTCCCCATCAGGGAGATGGTGGCGGGGTATAAATAAAGATTATTATTATTATTATTATTATTATTATTATTATTATTAACTTCGTTATACTGAAATCACTGGAATTGGAAGCAAGAACCTAGAAGAGTAAAAACATATACTTCAAAGATTCCTTGGTGCACACTAGTGACAAATTTTGGAAACAACCATGTGTTGTTGAAAGCTTTCATGGCTGGAATCACTGGGTTGCTGTGAGTTTTCCAGGCTGTATGGCCATGTTCCAGAAGCATTATCTCATAACGTTCCATCTACATCTATGGAAAGCATCCTTAGGGTTGTGAGACCTCACAACATGGCCATACAGCCTGGCAAACACACAGCAATCCAACTTATCCATGCTTTCAAAAACTGGGGTGTACTCCTCTATCTGAGGATCCTAAATGTATCCTGACTCACACAATCCCCCAGCCAAAATGACCACGCTACCCAGAGCATTCTGGGAATTGTAATCCAAAAACTTTCCTAAGCATTGTTAGTATTATGACTAGCAATGATGAATTCATTCTAACCTAATCCAATTTGTGATCACAATATAATTCAGATTAGACTGTTATCTGTCTTTCGCCTTCCCTCTTCCTTTTCTGAGTACCATTATGGGAGAAAGACAAGGTATAAACTAATAAATAAATCAAGCAGCACATTAATAAATATTTCAATCACTTGGCCTCAAGAAGAATTTTGCAGAGTTCAAAGGTTTGCATCTTATTATGTAACATTCTGGATGGTTCTAGTAATTATAGATTTTGGGTGCACCAACCTTTTAGTACACAATTTAATAATTTACCAGAATTGTTTCTCCAAACCCAATAACCCAAAACACTGAAATTATTTAAATATTTATATAAAATAATATCTCATTTGAGAATAAGACACACAACCATTTAAAGATTTTTCTGTCATGTGCTTGATGACATTACTATGTCTACACAAAATTGAATCATACCTCTAGATGACGCTGTGTTTTCATTAAAATGAGTGTGTTTTCGCTTCTTAAGTGATGGTTTTCTTCTTGAAGTTTAATGATGTTGTTTTTGGCTATTGCTAACTAAATAAGAAAAATGAATAAATAAGAAAAAATAAGAACATTCAGGCAATCAGCAATAAATCAAAATTATTCCTTGAGAGACTGTTGACTCCTCTCTATTTACAGTCAACACCAAAACATAAAATACAATTAAAACAGTTAATTCAAATATTAAACCAGATAAAACAATCAATATCAATAAAAAAACATTGTCAAGTCAATTTGGACTATACTTCGCAGAATTGGCTGCACTGGAAGGTTAATTCTGGGATGTGTAGGCCCAACATGCCAATTTTCTTGTAGTATATTTATTCATTCATATAGATATATAAATATATACGTATAAATGATATATATTATATCATATACAACGTGACCTCTGTAACAATGGGCCAGTACCTCTAGTTTTACCTGTCCACATCTGGGGGGAAAATGTCCTTTCTAGGAATTCTCTAGGTTGTTCAGGTGATTCCATGACATGCCTCCACTGAAAGTATGAATGGAGTCACCGTGGAGGATTAGAAAATTTCTAGTGAGGTTAACTCGCCAGGAATTTTCTAGGTCTTCCTAGCAGATTCCATGATAACACCCAGTGGATGTTGTTTATTTCAATAGGATTCACGATTATCCTCAGTGTAACTTCTTGAAGGTGTCAACATATTAGACTAAGGACTATTCCAGCCTTCCCAAAGCTGGGTACCTTTTGTAGTATATAATAAAAGTCCCCAAATACTGCATATACTCGAGTATAAGYCTAGTTTTTCAGCCCCCTTTTTAGGCTGAAAAAGTTCCCCTTGGCTTATAYTCGAGTCAAGGTTAYTTATTATTTTACTTTGTTATTAGTATCATTTTATTACATAAATTATTTTAATATATTAATTATTATTATTCTATTTACATTACTTTACTCTATTATTACATTTATTATTTTRCTCTATTTATTATTAGTATTATTATTTATTTACTCTATTATTATACTTATTATTTTTATTTTTATTGTTAYTGCATTTATAATTTTACTCTGTTATTACTGTTATTACATTTCCATTATTTTACTCTATTATTRTTGTTGTTGTTGTTGTTACTGTTATTATCATCATCATCATSATCATCATCATCATCCTGACACAAAAGCACAGTATGACACAGCAAATGAGGTATATATGCTGGATTTCATTATWATWATWATTATTATTATTATTATTATTATTATTATTATTATACTATATTTATTATTATTGGAAGGATACATAAGCACATTTACACTGAAGATTAGAATAATRATTCAATCAGAGCTGGRCAGTCTYAYCTTAAATTACAGTTTTATGTAAATATTCAAAAACATTTAATTTACTGATGCYTCAATTAATGTAATTTTATTGATATCTATTTTTATTTTGAAATTTAYCAGTAACTCCTGCATTTCCCACCCTCGGCTTATACTCGAGTCAATAMGTTTTCCCAGTTTTAGTGGTAAAATTAGGTGCCTCGGCTTATATTCGGGTCGGCTTATATACTCGAGTATATACGGTAATACTTATTTTAACATAAAATTATACAGTGCTAAAATACAGTACCTCTTCAATCAGCTTGGTGTTTGACTTCTCTAATGAATCAACGCGTGTGTGGAGGCCGCCGACTGTGCTGCTGAAAACCATAAAGAAATCTGCATTTTAAATGACATTCGAAGTCCTACAACTCTACGTCACACCCTCCCACTTACAAAACAACCTAGAATTTACCTAGATAGCAACTGATGAATGACTTTGGACCAGTCTACAATGTCATATAAAATACAGATGATCTGCTTTGAACTGGATTATATGACAGTATAGACTCATATAATCCAGTTCAAAACAGATAATGTGGATTATTCGTTTTGATAATCCGGATTATATAGCAGTGTAGATCCAGCCCTTGTCAACCACCTCCACCATCACACACTTTTTAATATGATGTTTTGCATTGTCATCACATTGTCCTTTCCCTGTCAGAATCTGCCAAACAGCAGTTTTCATTCTTCCCTCCCTGTGTCATGATCCAGCTATTTTCTTACTAGCCTTCTCTGGTGGCACTGATAACAAAATTATTCTCTCTTAACGCTCGTTCTAATCATCACCTCACCTAAATGATGTACTTCTAGATCACTAGATCCTCAATATCCGGTAGACTTTAACAACCGTGTTGCTGCTTACATGAAACAAGGCTAAGCACTCAAAGCACATGTATCACAAGCCGAGCAGCGTCCACATTCCATAGAGCCAATCACCAAACTGTGCATGAACCTGGATCTCACAACTAATCAACACAATGAACAAAAAATCACACATTTATGCAAACAAATCTCTGTGCAGGACAGGACGCAATGATATGATTTTTTTGTTTTCCCTTTAAAAAAATCATAGCTCACCACTGCCTGGCAACCCAAAAGAAAACCCTTTGCAAGCCATGGGTTGGGAACCACTGCTCTAGAGATTATTATTTACTTAATTACTTAGGTGATCCCTCGTAGTCCGAGGATGATGGTCCTCCAAGTGTAGTATCCTGGCAGTGAGTCCGTAGGTGACTGTGGAGCCCTATTCTTGACCTGCATCTTCTCCCACAGTGAGGGCATCGGTTCCAGGTGGAAGGCAGTCCCGGTTGGGGTTGGCTTGACACGCCTTCCTCTTGGCATGTTTCTCTCTTTCGCCCTCCATTCATGCCTCTTCAAATTCTACAGCACTGCTGGTCACAGCTGACCTCCAGCTGGAGCACTCAAGGGCCAGGGCTTCCCAGTTCTCAGTGTCTATGCCAGAGTTTTTAAGGTTGGCTTTGAGCCCGTCTTTAAATCCCTTTTCCTGTCTCCAACATTCTTTTTCCGTTCTTGAGTTTGGAGTAGAGCAACTGCTTTGGGAGACGGTGGTCAGGCATCTGGACAACGTGGCCAGTCCAGTGGAGTTGATGGCAGAGGACTATTGCTTCAATGCTGGTGGTCTTTGCTTCTTCCAGCACGCTGACATTTGTCCGCTTGTCTACCCAAGAGATTTGCAGGATTTTTCGGAGGCAGCGCTGATGGAATTGTTCCAGAAGTTGCTTATGACATCTGTAGACAGTTCACGTTTCGCAGGCATACAGCAGGGTTGGGATGACAATAGCTTTATAAACAAGCACCTTGGTATCCCTATGGATGTCCCAGTCCTCAAACACTGTCTGCTTCATTTGGAAAAATGCTGCACTCGCAGAGCTCAGGCAGTGTTGTATTTCAGTGTCAATGTTGACTTTTGTGGAGAGGTGGCTGCCAAGGTAGCGGAAATGGTCAACATTTTCTAATGTTACACCATTAAGCTGTATTTCTGGCATTAGAGAGGGATTGGCTGGTGACTGCTGGAAGAGCACTTTGGTTTTCTCAATGTTTAATGACAGACCGAGCTTCTCGTATGCTTCTGCCAAGGTGTTTAGAGTGGCTTGTAGGTCTTCTTCTGAATGCGCACAGACAACGTTGTCATCAGCATACTAGAATTCTATAACAGATGTTGTTGTAACGTTGGTTTTGGCTTTCAGTCTGCTGAGGTTGAATAGCTTGCCATCTGTCCAATAGATGATTTCCACTCCGGTGGGAAGCTTCCCATCAACAAGGTGAAGTATCATAGCGATGAAGATGGAGAATAAAGTTGGAGCAATAACACATCCCTGTTTGACACTGATTCCACCTTAAATTGCTCACTTTGGGAGGCATTGCTGTCCAAGACTGTTGCCATCATGTCATCATGGAGGAGCCACAGGAATTTCACAAATTTGTTAGGACACCCGATTTTTTGGAGGATGGTTCAGAGAGCGCTGTGATTCACTGTGTCGAATGCCTTTGCAAGGCCAATGAATGTCATGTACAGAGGTTGATTTTGTTCCCTGCATTTTTCTTGGAGCTGTCGTGCAGTGAAGATCATGACCACTGTTCCTCTGGAGGGGCGGAAGCCGTTCTGGGATTCTGGGAGGGTGTCTTCTGAGAGGGGAAGAAGGCGGTTTTGCAAGGTTTGCAATCTAGAGATTATATCATGGGTATAAACACACATATACTGCTGATATAATCTCCAGAGCTCTGCAAAAATGAGGGGCCTTTATGAAGGAAATACCAGTGTTAATTAGATGTTTTCTACAACAAAGATGTATGGTATAAAAGGAAAATATGCATGAACAGCATCTTTCAAAAGTCATGTATATGCATCCCGTAAAAAAGTGTATTGGCTCTTATTTCTACCTGGCATATTCCTTATGGAAAATGCAAGTGTAATACAAAAGTTTCCTCCATTTTAATGTATGATTCTAACTTCATTTAATATCTCCCAAATAGTCTTCCTGAAATGACTGCATGACACCTAAACCAATACATTAAATGTTTTATCCCTCTTAGCTTGCCCAGCAGTAAAAGCCACTTCCAAAAGGACCACTCACTCTACTTCTCTTTTTTCTTTCTATAATTATCAAACTGAGCCAAGCAAGGATTTCAGCACCTCTACTAATATAAATGAGAAAGTTTTGCTAGAAGACTGTAGTCAGATAATGCCTCCATATGCATTTAACAAGGCTCTCTATAAATACTTACTTCAGTTGTCGATTTAATTCTTCAACATAATTCTTTTGATCCAATATAGCAGCAATGTGGTCATTCCTAAAAGGAGTTGATAATATATTTAATGAGGCATTTCATTCAATCTTGATGATGATGATGATAATAATAATAATATATTTATTTATATATCACCTTATCTCCAAAAGGGACTCAAATGCTATATGTAAGCATGCAAGCATTTTATTTGGAAAGCTATTTAAATTAGAAAGCTATTTAAATTGTGTTATCATATAGTTAAGAATACCACACCATTGAATCATAGAATCATAGAATCAAAGAGTTGGAAGAGACCTCATGAGCCATCCAGCCCAACCCCCTGCCAAGAAGCAGGAACACTGCATTCAAATCACCCCTGACAGATGGCCATCCAGCCTCTGTTTAAAAGCTTCCAAAGAAGGAGCCTTCACCACACTCCGGGGGAGAGAGTTCCACTGCTGAATGGCTCTCACAGTCAGGAAGTTCGTCCTCATGTTCAGATGGAATCTCCTCTCTTGTAGTTTGAAGCCATTGCTCCACATCCTAGTCTCCATGGAAGCAGAAAACAAGCTTGCTCCCTCCTCCCTGTGGCTTCCTCTCACATATTTATACATGGCTATCATATCTCCTCTCAGCCTACTCTTCTTCAGGCTAAACATGCCCAGCTCCTTAAGCCACTCCTCATAGGGCTTGTTCTCCAGACCCTTGATCATTTGAGTCGCCTCCTCTGGACACATTCCAGCTTGTCAATATCTCTCTTGAATTGTGGTGCCCAGAATTGGACACAATATTCCAGATGTGGTCTAACCAAAGCAGAATAGTCTGGTCTGCATTGAACATAGTCTGGTCTGCAGCTTGCAGTACAGAATATCCTAACTAAGAACAGAGGGACAAACTACTGTAGATCACTCTCTATTATCTTCCATCTCTAAAAAACCATGGAATTAAAAAAAAACAAATTTAAGATTATTTCTCTTAACAAGCATTCCAATCCCACATAAAGGACTGAGGCTGAAACCGCTATCTTGCATACATTCCAGAGCAATCCTGAGTTGTTGCAGGCAATACCAATGGAACTGGGGAGAAGCGGGATTGAGGAAACCAGAAACAATGATGAATGGTGAAGAACAACTTTACAAGTTGTTGAGTGAGCTAATCGTGAGTGTAACAGAAACAAAGTATCTTCTGTACAGTAAGACCCCTCATACTTGTGGGACTCACATTCATTCTTTCAGTTATCTGTAACAAGGGGGAAATTATCTCTCTAGAAAACTGATAAATTATCCAGGGCCTTTTATGGCATGCTTGCCTTAGAACTGTCACAGAGTTGTATTAGGAGATCTATGAAACTCTAGATCAGTGTTTCTCAACCTGGTGAGGTCGCGGGTGTCAGAAGGGTCACCAAAGACCATCAGAAAACTGTTGGTCATGGGAGTTCTGTGTGGGAAGTTTGGCCCAATTCTATCATTGGTGGGTTTCAAAATGCTCTTTGGTGAACTACGAATCCCAGCAACTACAACTCCCAAATGTCAAGGTCTATTTCCCCCAAACTCTGCATTTGGGCATATTGAGTATCCATGGCAAGTTTGGTCCAGATCCATCATTGTTTGAGTCTACAGTGCTCTCTGGATGTAGATGAAGCACAACTCCACAACTCAAGGTCAATGCCCACCAAACCCTTCTGGTATTTTCTGCTTGTCATGGGAGTTCTGCGTGTGAAGTTTGGTTCAATTCCATCATTGGTGGAGTTCAGAATGCTCTTTGATCCCAGCAACTACAACTCCCAAATGACAAAATCCATCCTCCCCAGCCCCACAAGTGTCCAAATTTGGGCGTATTGGGTATTTGTGCCAAATTTTGTCCAGTGAATGAAAATACATCCTGTGTATCAGATATTTACATGATGGTTCATAACTGTAGCAAAATTGCAGTTATGAGGTAGTAATGAAAATAATGTTATGGTTGGGGGTCACCACCACATGAGGAACTGTATTCAGGGGTCGTGGCATTAGGAAGGCTGAGAAGCACTGCTCTAGATCCTACAACACAACTCTATTGTGTGCAATTTAATGGCATTCAGTCCTATTCAGTTTCAGGTACCTATGGTCCACCCAGGAACCTTCTATAGATATGGAGATTTTACTGTACAATGTTATTTTGTCCCTCTGAGCATTAATATGGGGAAATTACCATTTAAATTAACAGGTCTTGCCTTTGAATAGAAATGCATAGGACACAACTGTCAGGATGGTTTTGTCAAATATTAATGTTTCAAATATTTAATAAGTATGCCTATCATCAATGCTGACAAAGAAAACACAAACTGATTTTTATCAATATTTTTGCCTTCTATGATAACATGTGCTGTTCATTATTCATATTTGTCAATTTTTAATAGTGATGCACCAGTGAATGAATTGTTTATGGTTCCCCATCCATAGGCCATGGCCTCAAATAATATACAACCTTTTAAAGTACAATAAGCATTTTCCAATGCAAACATTAGAACTTATTCCATATACTCGCTCTTTAAATTTACAGTAGCAGTGACATGATAACAATAACAATGTCTGATTTGTATCTTCCCAAATGGTGAATGGGTTAAACCTTGTGCCAGCAGGACTACTGACGGAAAGTTCTGCAGTTTGAATCTGGGGAGAGAGTGAGTTGAGCTCCCTCTGTCAGCTCCAGCTCCCCATGCAGGGACATGAGAGAAGCCTCTCACAGGGATGGTAAAACATCAAACATCTGGGTATCCCCTGGGCAATGTCCTTGCAGATGGCCAATTCGCTCACACCAGAAGCAACTTGCAGTTTCTCAAGTCACTTCTGACATGATTTTTTTTTTTTACCCCAAATAGTGATGCTTTAAATTGCTTTTAATTTTATTGGTAGGTAATTTAAATATATTTAAATTTTGTAAGCAATCTGAACAAAGAATAAAGAAAGTTATCATTAAATATACTGTAATCATCTCCACCATCATATTAAACTTAAAAATCCATTTTAAAAGACAAACCTTTCTTTGCTTTCTATATCATCTTCATTCTTTAAATACATAGAAAAATCTATCACACCAACCTAGAAAGAAAGAAATGTATTAACATAGCAAACACTCAAAACATTAAAAGTAAAAAGGCATTTACAAGTCAACAGGGCTGAGGTAGTGTCCAAGTCAGAGTGATTTAAGGTGCTGGCCGAAGAAAATTATTATAGGACCTATAATAATAATATAATATAATATAATATAGTAATGACTGCGCTCCATGCAGTCATGCCGGCCACATGACCTTGGAGGTGTCTATGGACAACGCTGGATCTTCGGCTTAGAAATGGAGATGAGCACCACACCCCAGAGTCAGACATGACTGGACTTAATGTCAGGGGAAAATTTATTATAGGACCTATAGGGGTCTAGTTACCATCCCCCTCCCACACCCGCCTCCCCATAATATCCACCCCCATTCTTTATGCCCTCCCAGAGATTCCCAGATCCTCACAATTAAGGAGTCCTCTGAATACTGTTTAAGGACAGGAATGCAACCCAGCTCTTCATGGGGGGGGGGGGGGGATATAAACCGTGGTATGATGTCCTTTGGGAGGCAGATGGGGGGTGTTTTTTCTCATGATGGCAAGGTGTCTCTATCCATGTTGGTAAAAGTCCTATACTGCCAAGATTTTATTAATTGGCTTAACATAGTTGGATTGCAAAGCAGACTCTGGGTCTAGTGCTGGCTGTTTTATCTGCTGCTGGCGTCAGGTGTGATGGCACAGCTGTGGGGGCCATGCCCAGTATGTTTGGAAAGGCTGGCCCCAGGCAGGAGTTCAAATGGATCCACCAAAATAAGGAAGTTATTCTTGTCTTTTAAGGGAGTTTAACTTTTTTATCCTAGTCCATCAACTTGGTTTTATCCCCAATTACTCAATTATGTTCCTGAACATATATACATTTGTGGTGGCAATGTAAATATGTAAATAATTTTTGTGGGAAAGTATTTAGAGAAATAGAAGATATAATGAATATTAAAATAGAAAGAAGTCCTAGTATAGCTTTATTATCATTATATAATAATAAACAATTGAAAAAAGAGGATAAAGATGCAATAACAAATTTATTAACAATAGCAAGACTGCTTATTCAAAGGGGTTGCCTTTGAAGACTGTTCAGAAACTGCAACTAGTCCAACGGTCGGCAGCCAGACTGCTCACTGGAGCGTCGTACAGGGAGCATACCACCCCCGTTATGTCAACTCCACTGGCTGCCGGTCCATTTCCGAGCACAATTCAAAGTGCTGGTCTTGGCCTATAAGGTCCTATACGACTCCCAGCTTACTTGTCCAAATGTATCTCCCTCTACGTTCTGTCTCGTAGTTTAAGATCTGCCGGGGAGGCCCTGCTCTCAGTCCCACCAACTTCGTGAACACGACTGGTGGGGACGAGGGACAGGGCCTTCTCGGTGACTCCCCGCCTGTGGAATTCGCTCCCCAGCGAAATTAGATCAGCGCCCTCCCTCCTTTCTTTTAGACGAAAACTGAAGATGTAGTTGTGGAACCAGGCCTTTGGCTAATGGATATAACGGCACCTGAATAATAAATTGGACCGGACAACGATTGTTATAATGGAAACGTTTTTATGATTGATAATTAATGTTGTTTCAATGTGTTGTATTAGTATGATTTTATTCTGCTTTTATAATTGTAAGTATTGCGGCATCGAATCGCTGCCATTGTGAGCTGCTCTGAGTCCCTCTGCAGGAGTGAGAAGAGCGGGGTAAAAATGATGTAAATAAATAATAGCAAGGAACTGGAAAAGAGAAATAAATATACAAATAGAGGAGCGTTATAAGGAAGTGTGGAAATTGGCAATAAATTATAAGCTGACATGTATATTAAAAGTTAAAAGAGGTATATGAAAACAAAGTGATTTTGATGATGTATGGAGAACATTTATTGAAAAAGGATTTTAAAAAAAGAAGGAAAGTTACCTCCACAAGAAGAATTGATATGTAAAAGCTGTGGCTTGGGAAGGGGGGGGAGGGGAGCACAGCGGTGAGGGATAGATAATATGTATAAGCAGAAAAATAACACTAGATGCCAAAAGTTAAAGTATGGTAGGTGTTGAATAATATGTATCTGCTGTAAAACAAACAATGTAAAACAAATGTATTGAACCATGATAAAATAATAAAAAATATATTTTTAAAAAATTACTCAGTTAGACTTTCAGCATCCCCTATTTGGAATTCGAAATCTAAAACACTCCAGAATTGTCCACATAGGTGACAGCTTTGCTTTCTGATGGTTGGTGTACATAAACTTTGTTTCATGCAGTACTTAATTAAAATACTATTTCAAACTACATTCAGGTATATATGAAAAATAAATGAATTTGGGGTTTAGACTTGGGGCCGATTTCCAAAATATCTCATTATGTAGATATATGCAGATATCTGTGCAGGTATTACAAAATCAGAAAAAACCTGAGATCCAAAATATCTCTGCTCCCAAGCATTTTGGATAAGAAATCTCAGATTGCTGAAGAAAAAAAAAACTCCTTAGATTTCCAGGCCATATATGAGCTGATAACTATATCGGCACTTACTTGTGAATCCAAGTCTTCTCCTTTTACACACAGGTTTGCGTCAATTACATTTAACCCAACGAGCAACCCGACGATAACTACGCCTTCTTCTTCCATCATCAGTGCGTGATTTTCATAAAATTCACTGTAAAAGGCATTTTAAATAGTTTCTATTTTACAAACTTTAAAACTTTTTAAAAGTTTCAGTCAACCCTGTGATTAGCCTCATTTTCAAGTGTTATCTTAAAATCTGATTCTACCTTAGTACTCTAAGGGGTTTCAAAGCTCAGGCCCACCATAGTAAATTACAGAATACTGTATGTCAACTTAAAAAAGATTAAAGATCTGAAATACACAAAAAAATCCAAATTCTAAAAAAGATCAAAATTTTATCTTGCATAGTTTATGCTGATAATACAATCTCATCTTCTGCCCCGTCAAAACTTTTAAAAGGTCAGGATAAATACAATTATTAGGTCCAACTAGATGCAACCAACAGAATCAATGGAACTTAACATTAGTGCTAACTTATCTCCCCCTATGAACCATCGCAGAGATTAAGATCCTCCAGGGAGGCCCTGCTTTCTGTCTCACCATTGACACAGGCGCGATTGGTGGGGACGAGAGACAGGGCCTTTCTGGTGATTGCTCCCCGGCTATGGAACTCGCTTCCTGGTGAGATCAGGTCGGCCCCCTCCCTCCTGTCCTTTAGAAGCATGGTAAAAACTTGGCTGTGGGACCAAGCTTTCGGGACAGGGCAATAAAGCAGCAATAGGAAAGATGACCAGGCCAATTAGATTTGACGCGGATGACTAGGACGGTTTCAAATAGTGTATTTTAATATTTCGATAAATGTTTTTTAATGTTTATGTATTGTATGTGAATTTGTGTCCCGGCATTGAATGTTTGCCGCGTATATGCTGTGCTCCACCCTGAGTCCCCTTCGAGGTGAGAAGGGCGGAATATAAATGTTTTAAATAAATAAATAATCATGTAGCCACTGATTCAATGAGGTGCTGTAGTTGGGACTATTTTATTTTATTTACTACATTTATATCCCATCCTTCTTACCCTGAAAGGGACTCAGAGCGGCCTTACAGAGAAACAGTAATTTGATGCCATAAATATACAGACAAAGAAATAAACAAATACTTTAAAACCAAAAAGTTGAAACATATCAATATTAAAACCAATTATTAAAATCATGCTGTCTGAAATTGTAATCCAAGGCCATTTCATTTGTCATTTCACTATTCCATCTTCTCATGTTGCACAATATCCAAAAGTTTGAATTGGCCTTAGCCCTTATGCTAAAAGGCAACCATTTATTCCACCTCGCTTTGAGTAATTTTAGTGAAATAAATTTGGCGCTTATTTCCAAAAGGTAACAAATCCATATGAACAAATTTTTACAAAATAAAAAAGTGCTGAGGACATGCACCATTTTGCCATAAAATGCCGTTTTCCAACCCTTGTACTAAAGTGATGTGATAGATTATGATAGGTTTGATCTGTGTATAATATTCTTCTCCTAGCCAACAATGTGTTACCACCTTTAAAATAATTGGTACCTTTTGGAAACAAACTCTACGTATACAGTAGGCTACTTTTTGTGCTCTTCAAGTAATTTATTTGTAAAGCTAGTCTACATTTTTAGCTAGATAGAAATAACCTGGCCTAAGTAGCAAGAACGTGAAGCATTCAGACTTGCTGTGCAAACAAATCAAATTTAAGATTTTGTTTTTAGAAATTCAATCATATGAAGACACCTCAATGAGTTTAGGATATATCTTTATGAGAATGTGAAAGTAACTTTTTACCAAAATGATTATTTCTTATTAATTCTTTTTTCAGTAACTTAGGCTTCATGATAATAATTTAACAAGTATAACTTGACTAATTGTGTGATGTTACTGGGATGTTACTATTATATCTACAATGGACATGCTTTCACTAATAAGAGATGTTTTATACTACGACCTAGCAATCCATAGCACTCTGGTAGGTTTCTTTTCAAAAGTAGTTATTTAGATGTATTTTTTCTGAAGAACAAAAAACTAAAGATTTTCTTTTTTTTAATGTAATTATAATTCCAAATTGAGATTTTGGTAATGTGGAGCAGTAATAGCTTTCTAAACTCTGATCTTTACTATCATTGAATAAAAGACCCCTGTACAATTCAGATAGCAATTACAACTTTGACTTTCATTTTCTTCATAAAAATCTGGAAAGGCGCTCACCTAAGGAGATCCTTGCGGAAGATAAGACACCGTAAATAGTCAGCCATCTTTTTTTGCATGAGTGCTAATCGTAACCAGGCCCGAGCACGTCCTAAGGAAGTCCTGATGAAAAAAGACGATAGTTCAAAAAGGTATCCAAATATTGCGTTCCAGGTCAGGAAAAAACCCTCTGACTTTAAAACTCACCACACGATGAGTGAAGAAACAAATCCCCTTTTATTGAAGCTTAGTAAATAGCCAGTAAAAATAAATGCTTGTAAGAAAATAAGAAGGTTCCAAAAAGTAATAAGTAAGTAAAATGCAATAACACAAAACAATGTCCACACAAGATATAAAAGGCAGTGTTTATCCAGACAGGAATCAACAGGAAGCAAAGACAATCCAAAAGGCTAAAATTCTCCACATGAACAAGACCCCATGAACAGGATTTCCATGGCACAGGAACTTGATTTCCAAACAATGCCTGATCTAACAGGTTTTCCCTTGAAGCAAACCTTATATCCCCAAACCCAGAAAATGGTTTTACTTTCCCCCACACTTGCCCCTTATCTGACAAAGTCTTTCGGAGCAACATAAATACTGTTTGCTGTCGATCCTGGCTGATCTCCAGCCGCCTATCCTTCAACTCCCTATCTGGCTGCTCATTAAAATTTCCAGGTGTCAGATTGTTTTCCAAACCCAAATCTTGAGAGCTCACAAAAAGAGGGAGTAAACCATCATCCCTAGGCTCAGCAGGAATATTCTCATGAGAAACTGCCCTTTGCACTGGGGCCTCTCTGTCATTGTCTGTATGAAAATCATTGACCAAATCATCTCCATCTTGCACCTCAGCCTCAGCACCATCATTACTCTCATCATAAGCATCATGATCCTGGAACACAAACACAGGCTGATTCCCAACACTAAACAGCATTTTGGTAAATAAACTAATATTTATTGGATTTCAGTTGGACAATGGTAAATGAACTAATATTTATTTTGAATTTCAGTTTGGACAATGCCCTCCAAGGAATTCAAAGTAAAGCTGGCTCTAGTTATCTTTGAAGGCTAAATCAAAGAGTGTTGGTAAGAAAGTAAAATAGTTCCAATTGATTTTAACAGATGTTTGAAATAGCCCCAAAGTTATAAAATAAGATAAAAGTTGTCATGTATTTATCTTGAGCAAATATTTTGAATACCTAGACTGAATCCCTCCCATCCAGGCTCTAGAGAATTCCCAACCCAAGCACAGTGTAATACTTTCCCACACAAACCAAAGAAACTAGAAATTACCATAGTTCTTTCCACCATAAAGCTTGATTAATTAACAATTAATTCATTAACAATATTTTACCATTAGGTATAAATCTTTAAAAAGAAAATGCCTTTATCACAGTTCTCACTACTGTGCCCATGAACACAGAAGCAGCTAGAAGTGCAGCAGAAACACAGGGCACTTCCACACATAGTTAAAACCCACACCGAAACAGGTTAAAGTAACAAGTTCTAGTAAAGCAATGCATTCCAGTAAACAGGTTCTAGTCCCCACCCCCATCCCAAGCCAAACTCCAGATTTTCCCTGGGGGTATCTAAATGCCATCCCAATTAAAATCGGGATGGCATGAAGCCACCCCCAAGCCCTGAATTTAGCCCAAATGTGTGAGATGACTGTGTGCATTGACCCTTGGTGTCACAGAACATGCCCCTGAAAGTCAATCCCCACAGGCCCATTACCTTATTAGACTCGGATCTTTAACTAAGAGGTATTTAATTAATGCGGAGTAAATGGACAAAACACAGTTTACTCCCAATTAATTTACTTTTACCGGATGCATCATTTGGATGCCTCTGGTAAAACCAAGACAAATCCCACATTTTTGGCCTGTCTGGACGGGCCCACAATTATCCAGTAACCACTTGTCTGATGCTTCACAGATGTCCAAAAATATGTTTCTATACTCCAAATGAAATATTTATATAGCTCTGTGTATGAGTCTTTAGTTACTCCTTACCATCTTAGAAATGGGTGTAGGGGACAAGCTAGGTCTTCAATATAAAATATAGGACTGTGCCCTGAACTAGACATCCCATTTTATTCCAATATCTTGAAGTTTTAGAACATCCTAGGTTTGATTTTGAATTTTACTTCTCCTGTGTGAAACTGAGGTTTTATATGTAAACAAAGCACTAAAAAAAAAAAACAGGCCAGATTTCAAACCAACAATAAATAACATTTCTATCCATTTAAACTTATTGGGAGGGGTGAGTTTTAAATGCTATTTTAAGTGTATTTATTGAATTTAATCTGTTTTTACCACACTTACTATTTAATTGTTTTTAACTTTTGTATTACGCTTTTAAAACTTGACTAAGTGTGGGATTGTTAGCTGCTTTGAGTCCCCATGGGGAGAAGGACAGGGTATAAATGGAGTTAAAAAATAACAATAATTAAAATGAGAGGGGTTTTTATGAGTTTCATCTTCTGGACATCTGAAATAGTCTTCCACATTTTCTGGTTTAACTTTTTCAGATTTGATTATTTGTGGATTTGATTAATATGATCTCTCTAAGAATCTCTTGATACTCCAGCACAATTCAATGAGTCGCACTGAGGACCAAGTGCTCTCTTAGGTAAAAAACCCTCTGTTTTCCATTTGCATTTTGGGTTGGAGTGGATAGTCCTTGTGGTTCCTTCCAACTCCAATGAAATTTTATAATTTCATTAGAAGGAAACAGAATTAAGTTCCTAGTTTTCCAATTTTTTAATGCTCAAACACTGCGTCTTTTCCCTTAAGGACAGCTGAACTTCATGTCACTTTATTTTGATGACCTCACTCTTGATATATAAGCTGTAAATGGGTCCAGGATTCAGAAGGTCCTCTCCCAAACACTGTTTTAAATCAATTTAGCCATAGGGAGGGTGGGTAAAAGAGGAATCTGACCCAGTGAGTTTGTGTCTGGTGTAATCTGTCCCCCACAATAAGATTCCTTGTCTCATTGCCCAGTCTCTTCCTGGAAGGAAGGTGAGATATAAATTACATAAATGAAAGAATACACATTTACGTAAGTTAGGTTCCATTTTAGTTTAATTGTAAGCACAACTTACTTGAGCCCTGGTAAGTCTCTAACACTAGCAGCGATTTCCTCAGCTTCTGGGTACAATTTCTCCACAAGCTCCAGAGGTCCCCAGATTGTTTTATTGTAACTTAGGAAAGATTTTTTTACTAGAAGGAGGAAAGCAGAGCATTTTAACATTTTTAATTTGTCCACCCAGATAACTCCATAGAATCAATAAATTATTCCTTCTAACAGTAAACTTTATTTACAGGCACTTGCAGAGAATCAATAAAATAGTAAGGATGACATTGATAAAACATAAAGTAATGTTTTACACTTCTGGAGCATCAGCAAGTTAAATCTGCAATCCCTTGGAAATGCATGTACTCCAATATTGTTTCAGAGGACAGTTGCTGTTTTTACAGCCCTCAATCCCTTCAGATGCCCCAAACAAACACAAAGACTGGGGAAGAGGATAAATGTCTTGCCCTAGCCTCAAGCAGCAACTCACTTTGTAAACTGTTTACAGAATCCCTCCAAAGCTGAACATCAAACTTGTCTGTTATTCCTAATAACATTGACCAACACACATGTTGGTGTCTCAAATGTTAAATCTGTTTCTGGGTATATCTGACCGGCTGATTCCAAAAATGACACCAGTTTCTCCCTTTCATCTCTAGGTTTTGAAATATTTATTTATTTATTTGTGACATTTATATGCCGCCCTTCTCACCCCGAAGGGGACTAGGAGCGGCTTACAAGACATATATACATATAATAGTTTATATTATTAGCATAGCACAATATTAGCATTATTTATTACTATATTGTACTATACCACCACACCGTAATATCATTAGTAATAATACATGTAATATAAAATATATAACTATAATATTGTATTATTATTAGTATTATATTGTATTACATTATAAAATTATAAATATATGTATATACAATATATTATACTATATTACATTATTTGAATCTGCACATGCTCAGAGGTAGAACCATAACTCTTTGCACTCGCAATGTGCGGTTCAGTCTTTCTGGCAGCCTCCCCAAAGGCACCCTCCCCACTTTCCTGCCTCAGTGGTTTCCCCTTCACCGGATACCAAACCTGCCTCGACTTCTGTTGACTTTCACTCCTAACCACAGCTGAGCAGGCTGCATCTATGATGTGGCCGGCCGCTTTGTCACTTTGCTCAATGCTTTCAGGGGCATGGATTCCAGCCACCCAGGCCCAGTCCGACCTGCCACCAGACTTAAGCATAGTAAGGAAATGGGCAAGAGTGGCAAAGAAGATTGGGAGAAGGGATTTTGTCTTGGCGCACTTTCAAAAGCAACCTCCTGGCCTTCTTCATACTCAAAGATCTTGGGGTCTTCGTGGACAACAAGTTAAACATGAGCAAACAATGTAATGCGGAGGCAAAAAAAAGCCAATGGGATTTTGGCCTGTATAGTGTCTAGATACAGGGAAGTCATGCTTCCCTGGATACAGAACATATACTACTTGACCACAGAAAACAATTGATAACCATATCTAAGAAGCTAAAGCTGATCCGGTCTATCTAATGCAATTTTATGAATCAGTGCCCCAAATAACCCCAGGAACAGGCTTAAAAATCATAACATCAAGAAAAAAAATGTTGGGCTGTATAATTTATGAACACATCCAGATCTGCAGGGTTTTTTGTTTGTTTGTGGGGTTTTTTAGCAATCAATGCAACCTGTGGAAGGTTCCACGGGCAGAAAGTTGGCTGTTCTAGAAAACTGTGCATGCAACTGCAGCTCTTGCGCTATGCTACTCTGCTGCTGAGTACACATGCCCAGTGTGGAACATCTCACCACACTAAAACAGTGGATGTGGCTCTTAATGAGACATGCCGCATTATCACAGGGTGTCTGCGCCCTACACCACTGGAGAAATTACACTGCTTAGCCAGTATTGCACCACCTGACATCCGCCGGGAAGTTGCAGCCAATAGTGAAAGGACCAAGGCAGAGACATCTCCAGCTCATCCCTTGTTTGGGTATCAGCCAGCACGTCAACGACTTAAATCAAGAAATAGTTTTCTTAGATCTACAGAGACACTCGCTGGAACACCTCAGCAAGCGAGAGTTCAAAAGTGGCAGCCTCAAACCCAGCACCTCAATCCGTGGGTGATACCAGATGAGAGACTCCCCCCTGGGCACACAGAAGACTGGGCGACTTGGAAGGCGCTGAACAGACTGCGCTCTGGCACCACGAGATGCAGAGCCAATCTTAAGAAATGGGGCTACAAAGTGGAATCCACGACATGCGAGTGTGGAGAAGAGCAAACCACTGAGCACCTGCTGCAATGCAACCTGAGCCCTGCCACATGCACGATGGAGGACCTTCTTGCGGCAACACCAGAGGCACTCCAAGTGGCCAGATACTGGTCAAAGGACATTTAATCAGCTACCAAGTTTGCAAAATTTGGGTTTTTTTATATCTGTTTGTTTGTTTTGTTCTGTTAGAAATGTAATACAATGTTCTGGTTGCGGATGACACGATAAATAAATAAATAAATAAATAAATAAATAACTGCAGCTCTGCATATAATTTTGTACAGGAATTTCCATAAGCCCTCACTCTTGACCATATTCAAAGGGCTGATGGAAGTAATAAGCCAAAAATATTTGGAGGGCTACGGCTGCTCTAAAATCACTCCAGCCAATTATAATAATGGTGGTTACTAACAGAAACGTAAGAACCAAATGGGACTCCACAAAAGTTTTTTTAAAAAAAACAAAACCAAAAACCTGCCAATGTATTCCAATAAGCAAAATGAACCACTTCCCCTTGAATTGACTGGAGTGTGCTGATTGCAGTGGGTGCCTGTACCAAGTAAATCATCAAATTCAAAAAAGTTACACCTACAAATGTGGAGGGTCAGATCCTTTGATAAAAAGAAAATACATTTTAACACAATTTGTCCGTACCTTTAAGGCCATGTTTCAAGCAATGCTCCATGACGACAAAGAATTGCTGCAGAGGAGGATAGTCGGAATCAAGAGTTCGTCCAAAGCTCAGAGCAGATTCAATGAGTCCCTTGATACTCAGTTTAGCCATATTTAATAAATTTGCTCGTTCAACAGCTGTAGGGTCTTTTGCAGCTTTTTTAAAAAATGGGAAAAGAAAAAAAAATCCAATAATTACTTATTCATCAAAGCACAGCAATCTTGTTGAAATCTCTGTGACACAAAATGAAAAGCATATAGCAACCATGATGAAAGTATAATGCTATGAAATATGCCATGTGACTGTCTGAAGCTTTTAATCTGAAGGAACAGAAAAGCCATTTTTCCCTACAGCATTATAATATCCTATTCTATATCAATGCCAACAGCATGTTTACTTTAGAACATCCCATATTTCTTGGCATTTCCTAAAATGGATCTCCATTAAGTAACCTGCTGGAGGTTTTTTCTTCCTTTCCTTCCTTCCTTTTTTCCTCGTTTTTCTTTTCGCAAAGAATGTATTAACGCTATTCACAACAATGTCAAGTTATGACAATACTTAGATCTAAGATTAGAATATTTTTCAAAATGTTTATTAGGATGTCCTTGTTTTCTGCTTTCACATTTTTATCATTGCGGTGTATTGAACTGTCAATTCCCCGGTGGCGCTGTGGGTTAAACCCCTGTGCCGGCAGGACTGAAGACCGACAGGTCACAGGTTCAAATCCGGGGAGAGGCAGATGAGCTCCCTCTATCAGCTCCAGCTCCTCATGCGGGGACATGAGAGAAGCCTCCCACAAGGATGATAAAACATATCATCCCAGCGTCCCCTGGGCAACGTCCTTGCAGACGGCCAATTCTCTCACACCAGAAGCGACTTGCAGTTTCTCAAGTCGCTCCTGACACGACAAAAAAAAAAAACTAACCACGGTGACTCTGCAAGATGATATTAGAATCATAGAATCAAAGAGTTGGAAGAGACCTCATGGGCCATCCAGTCCAACCCCCTGCCAAGAAGCAGGAATATTGCATTCAAATCACCCCTGACAGATGGCCATCCAGCCTCTGTTTAAAATCTTCCAAAGAAGGAGCCTCCACCACACTCCGGGGCAGAGAGTTCCATTGCTGAACGGCTCTCACAGTCAGGAAGTTCTTCCTCATGTTCAGATGGAATCTCCTTTCTTGTAGTTTGAAGCCATTGTTCCGCGTCCTAGTCTCCAGGGAAGCAGAAAACAAGCTTGCTCCCTCCTCCCTGTGGCTTCCTCTCACATATTTATACATGGCTAGCATATCCTCTCAGCCTTCTCTTCTTCAGGCTAAACATGCCCAGCTCCTTAAGCCGCTCCTCATAGGGCTTGTTCTCCAGACCCTTGATCATTTTAATCGCTCTCCTCTGGACATATTCATGCAATTAAAGCTTAATTTTCAAAAAAAACAAAAACCTTTCCACTTTCTACACTGAACTTTATGACTCTGGAACTCATTACCTGGAGAGATCAGGAAAGCCCCTACACTAGAAACTTTTAAAAAGAACCTTAAAACCTGGCTCTTCTGCTGCGCCTTTGGCAAGTAGGTGTACAAAATGACACTGCTGTTCCCCTCAATGCTTCTGTCACTGGAGTACATGCGCCCCTAATGGGAAGTTCGGTTTCACAACCCTGTGTTTCTTGAAGAGCTCCCTGCAAATAACTTGCTCCTCTTCTTATCTCATTCATTTTTTTAACATTTTATCCTACACATGTGGCCCGCCCACTGTCACTGTGATTGTGTTTATTGTATAGGTCTTATCTGCTTTGAATTACTTTGCTTGCATTGCAAGATTCAACCATTGTACTGTTCCAAACCATCACTTAATATGCCTCAATATAGATACACCTGCAAAAAAGTGGAATATAAATAAATGTAAGTAAACTAATAACAACAATACTAACAGCATGACAGCCGGTGCAAATTCTCATAGTAAGCATAGTAAACAGTCTGAGGTCTTTAGGACTGTTACTAGCATGCATAGATATGTTCTTTGTGTGTTTTGGATGTATGCCAATATTAAAGTTTATTGGTTAGCATTTCACTTGGATATATTTACAAAAGATAAAACTACCCGTTAAACCAGGAGTTGGGGATGTGTGGTGGCCCTGAAGATACTGTCGCACTGCAACTCCTATCATATAGCCATGTATAAATATGTGAGGGGAAGTAACAGGGAGGAGGGAGCAAGCTTGTTTTCTGCTGCCCTGGGGACTAGGACGCAGAACAATGGCTTCAAACTATAAGAAAGGAACATTGGGAAGAACTTCCTGACTGTGAGAGCTATTCAGCAGTGGAACTCTCTGCCCTGGAGTGTGGTGGAGGCCCCGTCTTTGGAAGCTTTTAAACAGAGGCTGGGTGGCCATCTGTCAGGGGGTGCTTTGGATACAATTTTCCTGCTTCTTGGCAGGGGGTTGGACTGGATGGCCCATGCTGTCTCTTCCAACTCTAGGATTCTATGATCCTCTCTATGAACAAAGCCATGCTGGGAAAACCCTGGATGAATCAACACTGCCACATATATTCCAGGACCTAATCCCAGATTATATGATTTGAACTGGATTATATGGCAGAGTAGACTATGCACGGGCAAACTTTGGCCCTCCGGGTGTTTGGACTTAGGAATTGTGGGAGCTGAAGTCCAAAACACCCAGAGAACCAACGTTTGCCGATGCCTGGTGTGGACTCCTATAATCCAGTTCAAAGCAGATGAGAATTATCTGCTTTGATCATCTGGATTACATGACATTGTAGAAGGAGCCTGAGTGTGGATTGCTATAATCCAGTTCAAAGCAGATGAGAATTATCTGCCTTGATAATCTGGATTATATGGCAGTGTAGAAGGAGCCGGAGTGTGGACTGCTATAATCCAGATCAAAGCAGATGTGAATTATCTGCTTTGATAATCTAGATCAGGCATCCTCAAACTGCGGCCCTCCAGCTGTTTGGGCATTCAATTCCCAGAATTCCTTACAATAGAACAAGTTCATTAGGGCTTCTGGGAGTTGGAGGCCCAAACAGCTGGAGGGCTACAGTTTGAGGATGCCTGATCTAGATTACATGGCAGTTTAGGAGGCGCCTGAGTGTGGACTGCTATAATCCAGTTCAAAGCAGATGTGGATTATCTGCTTTGATAATCTAGATTATATGGCAGTTTAGAAGGGGCCTGAGTGTGGACTGCTATAATCCAAAACAGATGTGGATTATCTGCTTTGATAATCTGGATTATATGACAGTGTAGAAGGAGCCTGAGTATGGATTGTTACAATCCAGTTCAAAGCAGATGAGAATTATCTGCCTTGATAATCTGGATTATATGCCAGTGTAGAAGGAGCCTGAGTATGGACTGCTATAATCCAGTTCAAAGCAGATGAGTATTATCTGCCTTGATAATCTGGATTATATGCCAGTGTAGAAGGAGCCTGAGCGTGGACTGCTATAATCCAGTTCAAAGCAGATGAGTATTATCTGCTTTGATAATCTGGATTATATGGCAGTGTAGAAGGAGCCTAAGTGTGGAGTGCTATAATCCAGTTCAAAGCAGATGTGGATTATCTGCTTTGATAGTCTGGATTATATGGCAGTGTAGAAGGAACCTGAGTGTGGAGTGCTATAATCCATTTCAAAGCAGATGAGAATTATCTGGTTTCTTGTGGGTTTTTTCAGGCTATATATCTGTAGAATGACTGGGGTGGGGCAAAGAGCTCTCTGCTGCAGCTAGGTGTGAATGTTTCAGCTGACCACCTACATTAGCATTTGAAGGCCTGGCTGAGCCTGGGAAAATGTTTTGTTGTCAAGATGTGCCTGGTTGTTTGTTTCCTCTTTGTTGTTTTCTGCTTTGATAATCTGGATTATATGGTAGTGTAGAAAGAAGGAGCCTGAGCGTGGACTGCTATAATCCAGTTCAAAGCAGATGACTACATGGCAGTGTAGAAGGAACCTAAGTGTGGAGTGTGGATTGTTATAATTCAGTTCAAAGCAGATGGGAATTATCTGCCTTGATAATCTGGATTACATGGCAGTGTAGAAGAGCCTGAGTATGGACTGCCAGACCATCTGGGATAAGCAGATAATCCGGGATCAAATCTTGGAATATAGGGAATCGTGGAAGGGCCTCCTCCATCCTTGCTAATCCCATTCTCTCAGAGGGAGGCATGAAGCAGCATTTCTTCCAGTCCTTCACCTCCCTCCACAAAAAGGCGCCCCACAGGGTGGCCCATCCCCCACCCCACCCCCTCCTCGCTTCCAAGGAGGCCTTCTTCATGAATCAACATAGAGTCAAAAGAGGAGGGGAGGCCTGCTGGAGAAGGGTGGGCCCTCCTGCCCCTCAGACACGAAGATTGAGGGAAGACCCACCCCCCGCCCCCCTCCTGGCTGCCCCTTCTTCCCCTTACCCATGGCCAGGGCGGAACAGCAGCTCCCCGAGCAGCTCAGCGCCGAGCCGGCCCTCGCCCCCTTCGCAGCCCCCTTCCTCCACCTCTCCTCCTCATCCTCCATCGCCGTCTCCAGGCTCTGCCTCGGCCTCCTCCGCCGCCTGCCTTTCGCCCGCTGCGCCCCCTGCCGGGCGGAGGACTCCTCGCCCTTCCCTTCGCAGCCACTCATGCCAGGAGGGCCCAAGGCTAGGGAATCAAGGGGCTGCAGTTCAGTGGGGCCTTCTACACTGTCATATCACCCACATAATCTGCCTTGAACTGGATTATTGAAGTCTACACTGCCATATAATCCAATTCAATCCAACAATGTGATGTGGCGGCAAAAAAAGCCAATGGGATTTTGGCCTGCATCAATAGGAGCATAGTGTCTAGACATAGGGAAGTCATGCTACCCCTTTATTCTGCTTTGGTCAGACCACACCTGGAATATTGTGTCCAATTCTAGGCCCCACAATTGAAGAGAGATATTGACAAGCTGGAATGTGTCCAGGGGAGGGTGACTAAAATGATCAAGGGTCTGGAGAACAATCCCTATGAGGAGCGGCTTAAGGAGCTGGGCCTGAAGACGAGAAGGCTGAGAGGAGATATGATAGTCATGTATAAATATGTGAGAGGAAACCACAAGGAGGGAGAAAGCTTGTTTTCTGCTTCCTTGGAGACTAGGACACGAAACAATGGCTTCAAACTACAAGAGAGATTTCATCTGAACACGAGGAAGAACTTCCTGACTGTGAGAGCCGTTCAGCAGTGGAACTCTCTGCCCCGGAGTGTGGTGGAGGCTCCTTCTTTGGAAGCTTTTAAACAGAGGCTGGATGGCCATCTGTCGGGGGTGCTTTGAATGCAATATTCCTGCTTCTTGGCAGGGGGTTGCACTGGATGGCCCAGTCTATCTATCTGAACGCATCTCTCCCTAAGAACCCCCAAGGAACCTAAGATCGTCTGAGGAGGCCCTGCTCTCGAACCCGCCTGCTTCGCAGGCATGTCTGGTGGGGACAAGAGACACGGCCTTCTCTGTGGTGGCCCCCTGGCTGTGGAACTCCCTCCCCAGGGATATTAGATCACCCCCCTCCCTCCTGACTTTCCGAAAAAGAGTAAAAACTTGGCTCTTTGAGCAAGCATTGGGAACCCCGGAGTAAACAGACAAACTAGAGTTGGAAATTGACCCAGGAACGGCCAAGACAATGTAACGGATGAAGATTTGAACAGAGGACATAGTTTCTTTTTAAATTGTTATTATGCACTGTTGTTTATGTTTAATTGCACTTCATGTTTTTGCTTTATCAATGTATGTATTTTGTTTTGGCATCAAATTGTGCCGACTGTGTATATCGCCCTGAGTCGCCTTCGGGCTGAAATGGGCAGGATAGAAATAATGTAAATAATAATAATAATAATAATGAGGTCTCTTCCAACTCTATGATTCTATGATTCTAATTAATAACAAGAATAAAGTTACAGCTCTGTGTTAAATGAAAGTGCAGGGGGTACATTTAGTTAAACACTTCCGCTGGAAATGCAAACATACAACTTTATTTTATTACACCTATAAAAACAGGTTACAACTTCAAAGCAGTATCAAAAATATAAACATTTAATTCATATACATATATACTTCAAATGCCGTTATGAATACTTGTGGGTAATGGCACCAGAACAGTAGTGTGTAGACATCCAAGTCAACAGGCTAAAAATACAAAGCATGAGGTAGCTGCCTTTCAGAGTATCTTTTTAAGGATACTTTCACAAGTAAGGTAGACTCACATATTTCATTATTTTAAAATGTCGCTAGCATATGCAATAAATTTGCAATTCAGAACTAGCCAGCTATAGAATTATGAACTGAAAATAATTTTATGTGGTTTTTTTTTACCTTAAATTTTAGTCACTGTTAACATAGGGGCATAGAACGTTAGTATTCCAAGAGGAGAAAAATCAAACAATTTAACAACTAGGTGGTGCTGATAAACATCATGTTCTGGAAGAGGTGGGACACAGGTGTTTTTTTTGGGGGGAGGGGGGAATCTCAGCAACCCTTACTGAATGGCAAAATCTGACATGTTCCACCAGTAATATAAGTTTGCTCAAGTTGTAAAATTCTATACACATTAACTTTAATAGCCCTAATTTGTTGCCACCTAAACAATACTGAGAGATGAGAGATAACTAGATAATTGAACATATGATCCTCAACCAAGATTATCTTGCCCTTTTCACATTTAGGGAGTACAATTTTGCCGTTGTTGGCACTTCGGCATTCCACTGATAACAAGGCAGTAATAGTCTCAATTCCGGTCAGAATCCTTTTCAACAAGAGTGATGTAAGAGTCCTGGATGTGTCCAAAATGTACTAAGATTAACCTTACTTGGGAATATAACACATACAGAATTATTAGTTTCAGCAGTAAGATAAAGATTCTCCTCTTGATGTCTCCTTGTCATGGGAGGTTCCAATAGATAATACTTTCAGCATGCCTGAAATGGAATATTGAAAATGTAACAGATGTTCAGGAAAATATATTGAGCAACACTTGTGACAGGGGAAATCACATCAAGATTTGATGCTGAGTTTGGATATATTTTATTTATTTATTTATTTATTTATTTATTTATTTATTTATTATTTGAACTTATAAGCTGCCACTCCCCTGGGGCTCGGAGCGGCTTACAAGAACAGGCTAAAATTGAACACAATTTAAAAACAATTTAAAACAATTTAAAAACAGCAATCAAAGATCAAAGGCCCGTCGAAACAGATATGTCTTACATGCCCTGCGGAAAGCTGATAAGTCCCGCAAGGCACGGACTTCAGGTGGCAGAGTATTCCAGAGTGATGGTGCCACTGCTGTAAAGGCTCTGTCTGGTTGCTGTTAGATGCAAGGTCTTGACACTGGGAATTTCCAATAGATCTTGGTCCTCAGAACGAAGGGATCTCTGGGGTTGGTAGGGGGTGAGGCGGTCCCTCAGGTACATCGGCCCCAGACCATTCAAGGCCTTAAAGGTGAGTACCATCATTTTGAGTCTACCATCCAAACTAAAACCAAAACACGCTCTTCACCAACACAATACATAGCAAATAGGATGGGAAAGGGTGAAGGAAACTTCATTACATATTAATTTGGGTACCCGGCATTGTCCAGGTTGGGTTGTTGTAGGTTTTTTCAGGCTGTATGGACATGGTCTAGAGGCATTCTCTCCTGACATTTCACCTGCATGTATGGCAAGCATCCTCAGAGGTAGTAAGGTCTGTTGGAACTAGGAAAAGGGGTTTATATATCTGTAGAATGACCAGGGTGAGACAGGTGGAGCTAGGTGTGAATGTTTCAACTGACCACCTTGATTAGCATATAATGGCCTGATAGTGCCTAGAGCAAACTTTTGTTGAGAGGTGATTAGATGTCCTTGTTTGTTTCCTCCCTATTGTTGTGCTGTTGCAATTTTAAAGTTTTTTAATACAGATTTTGTTTATTTTCATGGTTTCTTCCTTTCTGTTGAAATTGTCCACATGCTTGTGGATTTCAATGGCTTCTCTGTGTAGTCTGACATGGTGGTTGTGAGAGTGGTCCAGCATTTCTGTGTTCTTGAACAATATGCTGTGCCCAGGTTGGTTCATCGGGTGCTCTGCTATGGCTGATTTCTCTGGTTGAAGTAGTCTGCAGTGCCTTTCATGTTCCTTGAATCGTGTTTGAGCAATGCTGCGTTTGGTGGTCTCTATGTAGACTTGTGCACAGCTGCATGGTACACGGTAGACTCCTGCAGAAGTGAGAGGATCCGTCTTGTCCTTTGCTGAACGTAGCATTTGTTGGATTTTCTTGGTGGGTCTGTAGATAGTTGTGTTTCCTCATCAGATTCCCTATGCAATCAGTGGTTCCCTTGATGAATGGCAAGAAAACTTTTCCTCTTGGTGGAACTTCGTCTTGACTCTCATGGCTTGTTCTCGGTCTTGCAGCTCTTCTGATGTCTGAGGTGGAGTGTCCATTGGCCTGTAGGGCCCAGTTTAGGTGGTTCAGTTCATCTTGGAGGAGGTGGGGTTCACAGATTCTTTGTGCATGGTCTGCCAAGGCTTTAATGGTGCTTCTTTTTTTTACTTGGGTGATGGTTGGAGTTTTTGTGTAGATATCTATCTCTGTGTGTGGGTTTCCTGTAAACCCAATTGTTGATCTGGTTTGCGGATGACTAGGACATCTAGAAAAGGCAATCTTCCTTCATTTTCATGGAGGAAACCATGAAAATGAACAAAATCTGGCTACCAGTATTAAAAAAACTCTAAAATTGCAACAGCACAACAGAGAGGAAGCAGGCAGGGACATCTAATTACCTCTCAACAAAAGTTTGCTCCAGGCACAGTCAGCCCATTGTATGCTAATCAAGGTGGTCAGTTGAAACATTCACACCTAGCTCCAGCAGACAAGAGTCCTTTGTCTCACCCTGGTCATTTCACAGATATATAAACCCAGGGCCTACAATTCCTATAAATCATGTTTAATTTCCCCAAACCTCTCTAGCATGTTCAGTTGCTGGTCAATTCCTCTGTTTGCTGTGTGGCATAGAAAATAGTAGGAAAGGATTAAGGCAAGGGGGCAGAGTCATGCAAATTCCACACCAATGCAGAGAGTAAGAAACACTGGGATGCCTGTGATGGAGGAAACATATAAAATCTAAGGTGAAATTGTCCCCATATGAAAGTGTTCACTTGGCTGGTGGGCAGTGTTGTGTTTGTGGAGGACATTGGCGGGGCTCTTGTACATGTCATGGTGCTCACTATAACCTGCAATGCCACTAGAGGGAGGGCCATTGGTATCTCCTGAGTACTGGGAGCTATAGCTGTTTGTGGAGGCAGGACCGTGTCTGTGTAAGTGGACACCCCAGCAACTCACACATACTTATTTTCACTCTTACATAAACTTTATATTTGATAACAGTTATATATAAGAAAAAAAAAACCATACAAAAAAGGATATCAAATCTTCAGTTTTCAAGTGAGAAAGCAGCTTCTTTAGAGGAATATACTGACATAGGGATGGCACACAGCCCAGCATAACTAATTTATGTTTGGCTCTTGTAATGGCAACATTGAGACGCCTCCAGTCCTTCAGAAGTTCTCCAAGCTTTAAATAAACAGTAGATATAAAATTAAACAGAATCCAACCAAAATTATCCGTTTGCACTGTATAATTAATCTCTATTAGGAGCAATCTACAGGAAGAACAAGAAGGAATATAATAATATTGTCGAAGGCTTTCATGGCCGGAATCACTGGGTTGTTGTAGGTTTTTCCGGGCTATATGGCCATGTTCTAGAGGCATTTTCTCCTGACGTTTCGCCTGCATCTATGTCTAACATCCTCAGAGGTAGTGAGGTCTGTTGGAAGTAGAAAAATGGGTTTATATATCTGCGGAATGACCAGGGTGGGACAAAGGACTTTTGTCTGCTGGAGCTAGGTGTGAATGTTTCAACTGATTAGCATATAATGGCTTGGAAGTGCCTGGGGGAATCTTTTGTTGAGAGTGATTTGATGTGCCTGATTGTTTACTCTCTGTTGTTGTGCTGTTGTAATTTTTGAGTTTTTTAATACTGGTAGCCAGATTTTGTTCATTTTCATGGTTTCTTCCTTTCTGTTGAAATTGTCCACATGCTTGTGGATTTCAATGGCTTCTCTGTGTAGTCTGACATGGTGGTTGTGAGAGTGGTCGAGCATTTCTGTGTTCTCAAATAATATGCTGTGTCCAGGCTGGTTCATCAGGTGTGCTGAACCACTCTAAAAACCATCATGTCAGACTACACAGAGAAGCCATTGAAATCCACAAGCATGTGGACAATTTCAACAGAAAGGAGGAAACCATGAAAACGAACAAAATCTGGCTACCAGTATTAAAAAAACTCTAAAATTACAACAGCAAAACAACAGAGAGTAAACAATCAGGCATCAAATCACTCTCAACAAAAGATTCCCCCCAGGCACTTCCAAGCCATTAAATGCTAATCAAGGTGGTCAGCTGAAACATTCACACCTAGCCCCAGCAGACAAAAGTCCTTTGTCCCACCCTGGTCATTCCACAGATATATAAACCCATTTTTCCTATTTCCAACAGACCTCACTACCTCTGAGGATGCTTGCCATAGATGCAGGCGAAACGTTAGGAGAAAAATTGCTTCCAGAACATGGCCATATAGCCCGGAAAAACCTACAACAACCCAGAAAAATGGATCAAGATCCCATTCTCCCATGTTATATATACACAGCGTATTTTCTGGCATATAAGACAACTGGGCATACAAGACAACCCCCAACTTTTCCAGTTAAAATATAGAGTTTGGGATATATTCGTCATATAAGACTACTCCTCTTCCAACGCACACCAAATAAAAATTTAAAAAGCATCAGATTTGATTTCAATATGGTAATTTTTCCTATTACTGTACCTCCTTCTCTGCCTCTCAGATCTCACATGCACACCTGCAGTCTTCAGGAGCGAGATCTGAGAGGCAGAGGAGGAGGTACAATAATAGGATACAAGGGCGGGCCAGACAGGTAAAAGAGGCATGTTTTTCTGGGCCCAGAGCCACTCTCTCTCTTTTTTCCATACCCTGAGCGCCCTGGACACATGCAGCTTGTTCCACCCTTCACTTACACCTTCCCGGTGAGGCGCCCCTTCACCTCACCATTGGAACCACATTAAGTCCAAGAATCCTGATGAATGGATTTTCTTCTACCATACTTGCCCTTAATGCTTTTATACAGTAACTGTATAGGGCAGGGACGTGGCCACTGCCATTTTTGAGCTCCACCCACCATATTCGGCAACCACAGATTCTCCAATCCGGATTAGAAGTTTCAGCACCCGCTCTATAAGACAACTCCCGGTGTATAAGATGAGTCCCGGCATATAAGACTACTCCCGGCATATAAGACTATTCCCGCATATAAGACTACTCCTGGCATATAAGACGACCCATGACTTTTGAGAAGATTTTCTTGGGTTAAAACACAGTCTTATATGCCAGAAAATACGGTAGCTCTTTTTTTGAAAAGAAAGAAAAAATAGGATTTCAACTAGCTGTCTTTCTTTTGTTTGAAAAAGCAGTTTACCATACAGTTCTTGGAGATCTGTGCAAATCTTCATTTCCTTTTGTTCATATAAAACTACTAAAAATTAATTCTGCACAATTATTTGGAACTTATTTAAAATTTCTTACATCGTTTTAGCAGTGTAATCAATGCTTCCTTATTAGGACTGTTACATTAGGCAGTAGCAGCAAACAATGGACAGCAACAGGTATTTCAAGACTATAACTTCTATTCCAAAATATGATCTACCGTATATACTCGCGTATAAGCCGACCCAAATATAAGCCGAGGGACCTAATTTTACCACAAAAACTGGAAAAACATATTGACTTGAGTATAAGCCGAGGGTGAGAAATGTAGCTTCTACTGGTAATCGTCAGTAGATTAAATGTTTTTGAGTATGTACACAAAACTGTAATTCTGCCCAACTGATTCAACTATTATTCTAACCTCCTTCCATGTAAATGTGCTTACCTATTACCTATAATGATAGAATAAAATAATAACATGTAATAACATGTAATAAAAATAATAGAGTAAATAATGGAAATTTAATAATAGTAGTAGTAATAATAAAGTAATAAACGTAATAATAACAAGAATAGAGTAAAATAATCAATGCAAGAAATATAATAATACAGTAAAATAATCTAAATGCAATAATAATAATAGAATAAAATAATAAATGTAATAAAAGTAATAATAGAGTAAAATAATGTAAATGTAATAATAATAGAGTAAAATAATAAATGTAATAAAAATACTAATAGCAGAGTAAAATAATAAATAACCTTGACTCGAGTATAAGCCGAGGGGATTTTTTTTCAGCCTAAAAAGGGGGCTGAAAAACTAGGCTTATACTCGAGTATATACAGTACTTACTTTTCCATCACTGTTACTCCTTACAAATGAAACTATGATGATACTTTTGTCTCTTCCTTGATACTTGTCCACAGTATTTACTTCTACCTTACTGATCTGCGAACTTGTCATCAAGTCAGTGATTACTTTTAGCTGATGTCTGTATGGTGATATGACTCCAATATCTGATGGCCTACAACCAGCCTAAAAAAAGAATTGTCGGATATTAAATTATGAAATCTAAGAGAAGAGTCGTTTTAGACAATATCATGTTAAGAAACCATTTAGAAAACTGGTATGTCATGTTCCCAAAATATGTAGGTGTCAACGGTGCCAAGACAATGTGAAGAAAAATACAAAACCTGAAGTGCTAGTACAAATGTGAACTCTAACTCAAACCATGCACACATCAAACCTGAAGGATTGTATTTAATATGCCTAATAGTTAAATTCGGTGTTTGCATCAAAAGCAGTGAGTACATTTATACAGTTTACACTTCAGTAAGATGTATACTTAAAGACTCTATTGGACTATGAACTATTGCTTCTAAGGAAGATGCCCTGTGTTACCTACACAGAGAAACTACTTAAAATCCTATTGTAACTGGATTCATAAGCAAAGAGCCTGTATACTGTATACATGAAGTTATGTGAGTAAACCAAGTGTTACATTTAAATAAGACTGTTTATTTTGACTCTTGAGAGCATGATTTAAAGGCAAATATATTTTAAGGGAGAGTACATGTTTTTGGGTCAACTAAAGGAAAATATCTGAACCTCTGCTGAATATTTATTTTTGTGCATTGGCATGTCTTTGTCCCTGACAGTTCAAAGACATACCTAGGTACATCGGTTTAACAGCTGAGAGATCTAGTTTCCTTGTACATATACTGGTGAACATCACTTTTGAAAAGGTTGCAACTTCTAACAAGGTCATACCTTTCTTCAACCAGTGGTTTTTTCCATAAAGGTTATGAATACCATTTCCCAAATTGTTATGTTATGGAGATTTACATTTTCCTAATAATAATAATAATAATAATAATAATAATAATAATAATAATAATAATCTTTATTTAATACCCCGCCACCATCTCCCCAATGGGGACTTGGGGCGGCTTACATGAGGCCAAGCCCAACAGCATATTACAATAAAATAAATCCAAAACACAATAACAACACAGTAAAATACATACAACATATGAGTACGAAAAACGATAAAACAAAATCATCTATATAAGTAAAAATGTAATGTTCGTTTGTGGGATTCATAGAACTCAAAAACCGCTGGGAGAATTGACACCAAATTTGGACACGACACACCTAACAACCCAATGTATATCCTTCACTCAAAAAAATTGATTTTTGTCATTTGGGAGTTGTAGTGGCTGGGATTTATAGTTCACCTACAATCAAAGAGCATTCTGAACCCCACCAACGATGGAATTGAACCAAACTTGGCACACAGTTCTCCCATGACCAACATAAAATACTGGAAGCGTTTGGTGGGCAGTGTCCTTTGGTTTTGGAGTTGTTGTTCACCTACATCCAGAGATCACTGTGGACTAAAACAATGAGGGATCTGGACCAAACTCTACATGAATACTCAATATGCTCAAATGTAAACACTGGTGGAGTTTGGGAAAAATAGAATCTTGACATTTGGGAGTTGTAGTTGCTGGGATTTACAGTTCACCTTCAATCACAGAGCATTCTGAACCCCACCAACGATAGAATTGGGCTGAACTTCCCACACAGAACCCCCATGTGGGCCACAGCAACGCGTGGCAGGGGGCGGCTAGTACACAATAAAATAACAATAAATGGGCCGCATGTGCAAGATAAAATACTAAAAATACTAAAAATCAGGATGACATAGAGATGGAACAGATTGTTTGTGAGGGAGAAACTCATCAAGGAATGGGGTCGTGAAAATAGACCTTCATACAAGAGGGGAAATATACTCTGGGGACAAAAAAAAACATTGAGGAGGAGCAACTATGTATGACAGTATGGCTACTCTCCAAAAGCGCATCGGAAGAGCCAGGTTTTGAGATCCCTCTTGAAAGTTTCTAAGGTGGGGGCCTTCCTAATCTCACCGGGCAATGAGTTCCAGAGTTGGGGGGCCACAGAGAAGGCTCTCTCCCTTGTGTTTACAAGACGAGCCTGTGATAATGGCCAAAAGTCATATTTATCTCCTTCCAAATAGTATAATCATGATCAATACCTTTATAAACATAGATGTCAGAAAGAGTACAAGTCTGGCTTCTGTCATGTTGCTCACACCATGTTTTTCTATCTGTTCTGGAGCTGGAATCTGTAAAGCAAAGGCAAATATCAGACAATGAAATCTGAAATGATGCAAATTCCAACTTCGCTGTTTAGAGAGAAAAAAGGCTGAGCTGGGCTTGTTTATATTAAAAACGACAGCTTGGATTTGATACAATTATGCCAAAAAGGAGAAAGCCCACACTAAAAGCTAAAAAGCAGGCATGCTGCAATACGTTTGCCATGAATATTGTCTTCAGTTTTCTAATGCAGTGTTTCTCAAACCATGCTTCTCCGGGTATTGTGGACTTCAGTTCCCAGAAATCTCAGCCAGCTTACCAGCTGTTAAGAATTGTGGGAGCTGAAGTCTAAAACATCTGGAGGAGCAGCAGTTTGAGAAACTCTGTTCTAACTATTATTATTATTTACTTCACTTGTATATTGCTTTTCCCATCCCAGCGGGGGACTCAAAGCCACGGACTTGACCATGGTGGTACACGCTCTGGTTCCATCCCATTTAGACTACTGCAACACTCTCTATGTGGGGTTGCCTTTGAAGACTGTTCAGAAGCTGCAATTAGTCCAACGCTCGGCACCTAGGCTACTAACGGGAGCAGGGTACAGGGAGTGCACAACTCCCTTGTTGCACCAGCTCCACTGGCTGCCAATTAGCTTCTGAGCACAATTCAAAGTGCTGGTTTTAACCTACAAAACCCTATTATGGTTCGGGCCCAGTTTACCTGTCTGAACGTATTCTCCCCTATGAACCATCAAGAGCGTTAAGATCGTCTGGAGAGGCCCTGCTCTCGGTCCTGCCACCTTCGCAATCTTGTCTGGTGGGGACGAGAGACAGGGCCTTTTCTGTGGTGTCCCCCCGGACTATGGAGTTCCCTCCCGAATGAAATTAGATCTGCCCACTCCCTCCTGACCTTTAGGAAGCTAGTGAAAACCTGGCTGTGGAACGAGGCCTTTGAAGAATGAGGGTAAGACCGATAATCGACCAAAGTATTGACCACAATACATGGACTGAATATACGGACTGAGTTGGACGTTTTTTATCTTGGCAAATGGCTTTTGTGTATTTATTTTATATGTATTGTTAATTTACTGTTGTTATAAGTTGTTTTAGATTTTTACTGTTTAGCATTGAATTCTTGCTGTCAGCCAGTCTGAGTCCTTCTACGGAGGTAGAGAAGATCAGGATACAACAGTTTTAAATAAAGAAACAAGAAATAAAAGCGGTTTCGAACGGTTTCAAACATAATTATGCCAAAATTTATGTCAAAAACCTAACATAACGCCTAGATGACTAGAATGGATAGGATTTGACAATGTGGAATGAACTTACGGACTCTGAGCTGGTGAACGTTGAACATGAGATTGGTTTTTTATTGATTATGATGTATAACTTGATTGTTTTAATTGTTTATAATTGCTGTTGATGCATGTTTTATCTTATTGTCTGTTGTTGGCATCGAATTGTCCCTTTTGTAAGCCGCCCTGAGTCCCCTCTCGGGGATTGAGAAGGGCAGGGTAGAAATGCGCGAAATAAATAAATAAATAAATAAATAAACGCAAAAAAGAGCAAAAGCTGGGTTGCAGCTAAACATAAAAAAACAAGATTATGGCAACAAGAATGACTGACAACTGGGAAATAGAGGGAGAAAACGTGGAGGCAGTGACAGACTTTGTATTTCTAGGTGTAAAGATTACTGCAGACGCAGACTGCAGCCAGGAAATCAGGAGACGCTTACTTCTTGGGAGGAGAGCAATGTCCAATCTCGATAAAATAGTGAAGAGTAGAGACATCACACTGGCGACAAAGATCCGCATAGTTAAAGCAATAGTATTCCCCATAGTCACCTACAGATGTGAGAGCTGGACCATAGGGAAGGCTGAGCGAAGGAAGATAGATGCTTTTGAACTCTGGTGTTGGAGGAAAGTTCTGAGAGTGCCTTGGACTGCCAGAAGATCCAACCAGTCCATACTTCAGGAAATAAAGGAGGGAAGGATATTAGAGGCAAAGATGAAGTACTTTGGCCACATCATGAGAAGACAGGAAAGCTTAGAGAAGACAATGATGCTGGGGAAAATGGAAGGGAAAAAAGGAAGAGGGGCCGACCAAGGGCAAGATGGATGGATGGTATCCTTGAAGTGACTGGCTTGACCTTGAAGGAGCTGGGGGTGGTGACAGCCAACAGGGAGAAGACAGGAAAGCTTAGAGAAGACAATGATGCTGGGGAAAATGGAAGGAAAAAAGAAGAGGGGCCGACCAAGGGCAAGATGGATGGATGGTATCCTTGAAGTGACTGGATTGACCTTGAAGGAGCCGGGGGTGGTGACGACCAACAGGGAGCTCTGGCGGAAGCTTAGAGAAGACAATGATGCTGGGGAAAATGGAAGGAAAAAGGAAGAGGGGCCGACCAAGGGCAAGATGGATGGATGGGTTCTTGAAGTGACTGGATTGACCTTGAAGGAGCTGGGGGTGGTGACGGCCAACAGGGAGCTCTGGTGGAGAGCTTAGAGAAGACAATGATGCTGGGCAAAACGGAAGGAAAAAGAAAGAGGGGCCGACCCAGGGCAAGATGGATAGATGGGTTCTTGAAGTGACTGGATGAAGGAGCTGGGGGTGGTGACGGCCGACAGGGAGCTCTGGCGTTGGCTGGTCCATGAGGTCACAAAGAGTCAGAAATGACTGAATGAATGAACAACAACAACAAACATAATGATAATAGCATACAATTATCAATTAAATCATAAAACACAGAGTATGACCACTGAGCTTTGTTCACAGGAAAAAGAGAAGAGAGAGAAAACAAAATCTACCTTTTCTGTGTTAAGAAAACAGACCGGGTTGCTTGGATCAAGCGTTTCCTTTAGCCATGTTTCTGTGGGATACTCCTGTTCCAACTTCAATTCGTTAAACTTCGGCAAGTCAATTACAGCTTTGGATATCCTCTCAGAGCCACTCTCCAGTTTGCCATCATATACCAGCTTGTTACTCAGCGACATAATTTTGCTGAAAGAATTTAAAAAGCAAAATTAAGTCAGATTTGAACATTCGCAACATGCAGAGACCACAGAACAAATTCAAGCTGTACATACCTGTTCATTCGGTACTGTACAGTTAGTTGCACAACAGCGTTTTCATTTTTTTCCAGCCTCTTGAATAAGCTTTCACCCATGCCAAGGTCTCTATTACAAGAGAAATCAGTCAATGCCTTACAGAAAGCTTTGCTGGTATACTGTATATACGCTGCCCTGTTATCAGGATGCTTTCTTACCTTGCTTCTGTATTTTGCACCAACGGAGGTAACTGCTGATGGTCCCCCACTAACACAAACCGAAGCGAATAGAAAAGTGGACCCAGGCAGATGGGCTGGCTGATTTGAGAAGCCTCGTCCACTATGCAAAAATCAAATCGTTTACGAGTGAAAATCGGATGGTTTGTTCCCATGCATGTTGTTGCAACTACTGGCTGTAAAAAAAAAAAAGAAGAAAGAAAGCAGGAATTCAGTTTTTTTTAAGTTTTGTGTTTTGCAAGTAACGTCTGACCCATATATTCAGTTTATAACTATTCACCTAAACCATGCCTGGCAAACTTATTTTCATCGAAGGCCACATCAGCCTCATTGTTTCCTTCAAAGGGCAGTTGAATCCATGAACAGAGAATCTATGGATACAGAGGGCCAACTATATATATTTTTTACATAGTGATTGGTGTTCTTTATTTTTTTTACCTAGTTTGGGTCCCCAGAAACAATAATTCCCATCACTTTTGATTATCTATCATGTGAACTGGGACTAATGGGAATGCAATCCAACAGCACTTGTGAAAAGTTGAAAGGACATTTTAAAGTCAGACATCATATTCACAAGCCTTGTATCTGAATTCAAGCCTCACTATCTTGACTGAACAGAACAAACTGCAGCCTTCCAGATGTGATTGTATCACAACTCCCATCATGAGCTCTAATCATAATGTCTGATGATGAGGAATACAGAAATTGTAGTTCAGCATCTGAAGGAAGGCCACATAAAGTGACATAAAGTGACATGGAGGGCTTTCTTTGGAGGCTTTTAAACAGAGGCTGAATGGTCATCTGTCAGGGGTAGTTTGATTGTGCTTTTCCTGTATGGTAGGTGGTTGGACTACATGGCCCATGTGGTCTCTTCCAACTCTATTATTCTATGATCTAAACAATACTACATTGACAACTAAAATCACACTAGTAAATTTACGAGGGGTATTTTTTAAGTAAGGTCCGTTTTGTTGTAGACACTAGTAGTTCGCGCGCATACCGCAACGAGCGTGTGCGTCGTGTACCGGCATGCCTCGGGAACAACTGTGCTCAGTTTCCGCTCTGTAGCTAACCTGTACGGTTCTGTTCTGTGCTTTAAAAATGTTTAAGACTATCAACTCACCCGCCGCATGTGAGGTTCGCTCAGTGATACGGTTTTTGTCAGCAAGGAACCTGCCTGCTGCAGAAATTCATCGACAGATTTGTGAAGTGTACGGTGATACTGTTATGAGTGAAAGCAAAGTGCGTAAGTGGGTACGACAATTCAAAGATGGCCGTGACAACGTCCATGATGAGGACCGCTCCGGTCGCCCTTCTTTGATTACAGTGGACTCTTGGTTATCGGAGCAGGCAGCAAGTTTTTATGAAGAGGGTATTCTAAAATTGGTTCAGAGGTATGATAAGTGTTTGAACAAACTATGCAACTATGTCGAAAAATAGAGTGAAGTATGTACTTTCTGAAAATAAATTTACTTTTTAGAAATAAACTTTCATTCTGTACTTATGTTCAAATGGACCTTACTTAAAAAATACCCCTCGTAGTTCTTTGGTTTTGCGACTGCCTGTCCCAACAACTGAGGTTAATCTACATAGTATTATTTTTATTATATTTATGTTATATTTATGTTATTACTCTATTATTATTTTTATTACATTTATTATTTTACTCTATTATTATTGATATTATTACATTTACATTATTTTACTCTATTATTGTTATTAAATTTATTATTTTGCTCTCTTTATTATTACTGGAAGGATACGTAAGCACATTTACATTGAAGAAGTCTATATTAATGGTTTCATCAGAGCTAGACAGTCTTACATTACAGTTTTATGCAAATATTCAAAAATATTTAATCTACTGGTACCTCAATTAATGTAATTTTATTTGTATCTATTTTGAAATCGACCAGTAGCTGCTGCATTTCCCACTCTCGGCTTATATTCGAGTCAATACATTTTCCCAGTTTTTTGGTAAAATTAGTTGTCTCGGCTTATATTCGGGTCGGCTTATACTCGAGTATATACGGTACTTTTCTGGGACATTCTAAAAGCTCTGAAAACCATTGCACTTACTTGACTGTGATAGAGCTTCTCCAAATCAGCTACGGTGTTAATACAATTGGATCTGCAGATTTCTTCTTCTGTAAACTTCCGTATGTCGGGATGAACCTTCTGAGCTCTACCCAGCCGCAAAAAACCTACTTTGAACCTTGCGAGTTTGAGAAGGATGTTGTCAACTGCGGTGTGTGTGAAGCTTGTCAAGAGAACACTAAAGCCACAGGCATAAAGAATCCGGACCTAAAGTGTGGAAAATGGGGGAGAAAACAAGAGGAATTAAACCCCAGTTTAAAAGTCCCATCCCACCCCAAAATCCTAGGCCCCTTCTACACTGCAATATGAAATCCAGATTATCTGCTTTAAACAGTGTAGACTCATATAATCCAGTTCAAAGCAGATAATGTGGATCACGTGGAAGAACTTCCTGACTGTGAGAGCTGTTCAGCAGTGGAACTCTCTGCCCCAGAGTGTAGTGGAGGCTCCTTCTTTGGAAGCTTTTAAGCAGAGGCTGGATGGCCATCTGTCAGGGGTGATTTGAATGCAATATTCCTGCTTCTTGGCAGGGGGTTGGACTGGATGGCCCATGAGGTCTCTTCCAACTCTATGATTCTATGATCTGCTTTGGTAATCTGGATTATATAGCAGTGTAGATCCAGCCACAGTTGTCATTTAGGAAGAAATTCTGGGTGGAGATCTTATTAATGAAAGGAGGCCTAGCTGAATCCTCGCTCCTGCACCCAGAAACTGAGAAAAGAAGGAGACAGAGTTGTGGAAACTTTGGTGCTCATAACCGCAACTATTATGCAGTTGCACACATACAAAAGAGCTTTGTATCTGTACCAACATTTGAACATATGGGTCCATTTAAGAGAGGAAAGTCTAGCTGACAGGATTCCTGTCCGATATGCCATATACCAGGGGTCCTCAAACTAAGGCCCGAGGGCCAGATACAGCCCTCCAAGGTCATTTACCCGGCCCTCACTCACGATCAATCTAAGTCTGAAACGACTTGAAATCACACAATAACAACAACAATGGGTTGTTGTACGTTTTTTTCAGGCTGTATGGCCATGGTCTAGAGGCATTCTCTCCTGACGTTTCGCCTGCATTTATGGCAAGCATCCTCAGAGGTAGTGAGGTCTGCTGGAACTAGGAAAAAGGGTTTATATATCTGTGGAATGACCAGGGTGAGACAAAGGACTCTTGTCTGCTGGAGTTAGGTGTGAATGTTTCAACTGATCATCTTGATTAGCATACAACGGCCTGACTGTGCCTGGGGCAAACTTTTGTTGAGAGGTAATTAGATGTCCCTGCCTGCTTCCTCTCTGTTGTGCTGTTGCAATTTTAGAGTTTTTTTTAATACTGGTAGCTAGATTTTGTTCATTTTCATGGTTTCCTCCTTTCTGTTGAAATTGTCCACATGCTTTAAATGACTCATAGCACCTTATTGTAAGTGATTATTAACTTAAAGTATGCACAGCTCATTTTCTATTTGAGAAGATTAAGGAAAAAGCTTCCACTGTGAGAGCAAAGATGAGGTATGTATTGTCGAAGGCCTTAATGGCCAGAATCACTGGGCTGTTGTAAGTTTTTTCGGGCTATATGGCCATGTTCTAAAGGCATTTTCTCCTGACGTTTCGCCTGCATCTATGGCAAGCATCCTCAGAGGTAGTGAGGTCTGTTGGAACTAGGAAAAGGGGTTTATATATCTGTGGAATGACCAGGGTGGGACAAAGGACTCTTGTCTGTAGGAGCTAGGTGTGAATGTTTCAACTGATCACCTTGATTAGCATTTGATTGCCTGGCAGTGCCTGGAGCAATCTCTCAACAAAAGATCGCTCCAGGGACTGCCAGGCCATCAGATGCTAATCAAGGTGATGGGCTCAAAGCCAACCTTAAAAACTCTGGCATAGACACTGAGAACCGGGAAGCCCTGGCCCTTGAGCGCTCCAGATGGAGGTCAGCTGTGACCAGCAGTGTTGTAGAATTTGAAGAGGGCCACCTAACCACCCCTACCAAAAATATAATATTCCACATGCAAATCAACAGAGAATGGCCAATGCAGCCTCAAACACATTGCTATACAGTACTGGGCATTACCAGAGCACATATTGTAGTGGTCTTTCCTGTTCCAGGCATACCAACAATAAGTGTATAGTCCTTTGAAAGCAGCACTTGTTTCATTGCTTGCTTCTGAGGTTTATTCAGGCCTTTGATTTATGAAACAAAAGGAGTTTTCGTTAGCCCTACATAGAACTGAAATTGTGCTTATTTCCTTCATGTTAAACAATTCTTAAAGGGAAGATAATTCCTATGTTTTACTTTGCTTTGTTTTACCATTTCAGAATGCAGAGATCAAAATCCCAATATTTATTTATTTACGACATTTATATGCCACCCTTCCCACCCCAAAGGGGACTCAGAGCAGCTTACAATATACATATACATACACATACATACATACATACATATATATACATACATACATACATACATATATATATATATATATATATATATATATATATCAGGTTTTATTCTGACCTTTGATACAGTTTCTTATGTTGTGGTGACCCCCAACCATAACATTATTTTCGTTGCTACTTCATAAGTGCCATTTTGCTTCTGTTCCGAATCGTAATGTAAATATCTGATATCCAGGATGTATTTTCATTCACTGGACCAAGTTTGGCACCAATACCCGATATGCCCAAATTTGAATGCTGGTGGGGTTGGGGGGTAGGATTGATAATGTTATTTGGGAGTTGTAGTTGTTGGGGTTTATAGTTCACCTACAATCAAAGAGCAAACTCCACCAAGGATGGAATTGAACCAAACTTGACACACAGAACTCCCATGAACAATAGAAAATACTGGAAGGGTTTGATGGGCATTGACCTTGAGTTTTGGAGTTGTAGTTCACCTACATCCAGAGAGCACTGTGGACTCAACAATGATGGATCTGGACCAGCGGTCGGGAACCTATGGCTCTCCAGGTGTGGTGGACTTCAACTCCCACAATGCCTTGAGGCTCGGCACTAGCGGGCGGGGCCGAAGCGGCGAGGAGGCGCGTTGCCCGCAGGGGTTTCCGCCCGCTCTCTCCCTCCGAGGCCAGCCTTTGCTGCCCGTCCTCCATGAAAAAAGCCTCTTTTTCATGGAGGACGGGCAGCAAAGGCTGCCCTCGGAGAGAGAGAGCGGGCGGAAACCCCTGCGGGCAACGCGCCTCCTCGCCGCTTCGGCCCCGCCCGCTAGTGCCGAGCCTCAAGGCATTGCGGGAGTTGAAGTCCACCACACCTGGAGAGCCAAAGGTTCCCGACCGCTGATCTGGACCAAACTTGACAGGAATACTCAATATGCCCAAATGTGAACACTGGTGGAATTTGGGGAAAATAGACCATGTTATTTGGGAGTTCTGGTTGCTGAGATTTATAGTTCACCTATAATTAAAGAGCATTCTCAACACCACCAATGATAGAATTGGGCCAAACTTTCCACACAGAACCCCCCTGACCAACAGAAAATACTGTATTTTCTGATGGTCTTTGATGACCCCTCTGACACCCCCTCATGACCCCCTCAGGGGTCCCAACCCCCAGGTTGAGAAACGCTGATATATATATACACACACACACAATATAGTATATTATTAGCATATTACAATATCAGTATTACTATATTGTACTATACCATTATATTGTAATATTATTCGAAATATTACATGCAATATAAAATATATAATTACTAGCTGTGCCTGCCACACGTTGCTGTGGCCAACCATCCCTCCCTCTTTCTCTCCTTCCTTCCCCCCCCCTCCCTTTTTCTTTCCCTTCTTCTTTCTTCCTTCTCTACCTGTTTCTTTTCGCTTCCTTTGCTGTTTGGTTTCATTCCTCCTTGTCTCTTTCCTTCCTCCTCCTTCTCCTTCTTTCTTTCTCTCCTTCCTTCCCTCTTTCACTTTTTTATTTCCTTCTCTCCTTCCTTCCTTCTCTACCTTTCTTTCTTTCCTTCTCTCCTTCTTTCCCTCTTTCTCTCCCTCCTTCTCTCCTTCCTTCCCACTTTCTGTGTATGAGTTTTGTGTGTGCATATATCTCTATATATAAAAAGGCTGTTGTCGTCGTGAGTGGCTTAAAAACAAAAGAACCACTGGGCCAATACCCACCAAATTTGCAATCCATATTTTCACTCAAAGGGTTTTGCAACTGAATTTTGTACCAAAACATGCTAATTTACTGGCTTACGTTGCTCTGAAAAGAGAATATATATTCTGAACAGGAGCCAGATATCTATAGTACCTTTTAGAATGTTTGCAACGGTCTCCTTTGCTTCTGGAGGAAGGACTGAGCTCAAGTGTTGGACAAACTGTGGCTTGTGGAAATCTATAATTAAATTCCGAAGTCGTTCACTAGAAGGAAGAGTTGAGAGATAAATGAAGTCAAAACAGGAGACACAGTTCTAAAGATAATGTTAATTAAGGGGAAAATCGATTTAAACAAACCTTGCAGGAGAATTATCCATCAATTTAGAAAGGTTTCCTAAAGGGGCGTCAATGCCATAAACTCCTTCATCATGATCTAACCTAAATACAGTATCTTTGGGTAGATGTGACAAGTTCCTGAAATATATTAGATGGAAACAATTCCTAGTTAATCAAAAAAATTGATCAAAAATCAAAAAGTCAGAGAGGAAAAGTCAGCCTTAAGTTTCATCACTACTGAACTGGTATGAAAAATATAGTTGTCCCTCCATATTCGCAGGTTTGGCATCATCAGATTTAATTATTCGTGGGCTTGCTTCTCCCCCCAAAGTCAGTTGGTGCATATGCTTTGCAGGATGGTTGGCAAGCTCTTCACTGATTCCCCCTTTCCCCATGGCTGTGGGAAATAGGGGATACAGACTTGCAACATATGCAACATATCCTTTGCTCATCTCCCCATGGATTTCAGTTACCATCCATGTCCCACTGCTGGTTTGTAAAGTTTGGTGGTAGGTGGTAAGCACCTGAAATCCCTGCTGCTACTCCACTCCCTGTGACTTCAGGGGAGCCATAGCAGCACTTCCCCTCCCTGGAGATATTCACATTTTTTCACATTTGTGGTAGTTCTCCACCACTAACCTCGCAAATGTAGAATGCCAGCTGTATTTTCTACCAATGGAAAGGCTAGGGACTACCTTAATTAAAATGCACCCACTTAGCTTCAACAAGGCAAGTGCAGATAATAATAATAATAATAATAATAATTATTATTATTATTGTTATTATTATTATTATTATAACAACAACAACAACAACAACAACAACTTTGTATTGTCGAAGGCTTTCATGGCCGGAATCACTGGGTTGTTGTAGGTTTTTCGGGCTATATGGCCATGGTCTAGAGCAGGGGTCCTCAAACTAAGGCCAGGGGGCCGGATGCGGCCCTCCAAGGTCATTTACCCGGCCCTCACTCAGGGTCAACCTAAGTCTGAAACGACTTGAAAGCACACAACAACGACAATAATCCTATCTCATGAGCCAAAAGCAGGCCCACACTTCCCATTGAGATACTAATAAGTTTATATTTGTTAAATTGTTCTTCATTTTAATTATTGTATTGTTTTTAAGTGATTTTGCACTACAAATAAGATATGTGGTATGCATAGGAATTCATTCATGTTTTTTTTCAAATTATAATCCAGCCCTCCAACAGTTTGAGGAACTGTGACCTGGCCCTCTGTTTAAAAAGTTTGTGGACCCCTTAGAGGCATTCTCTCCTGACGTTTTGCCTGCATCTATGGCAAGCATCCTCAGAGGTAGCGAGGTCTGTTGGAACTAGGAAAAGGGTTTATATATCTGTGGAATGACCAGGGTGAGACAAAGGGCTCTTGTCTGCTGGAGCTAGGTGTGAATGTTTCAACTGACCACCTTGATTAGCATATAATGGCCTGACATTGCCTAGAGCAAACTTTTGTTGAGAGGTGATTAGATTATATAAACCCTTTTTCATCTAATCACCTCTCAACAAAAGTTTGTTCTAGGCAATAAAAAGGGCTGAAAAATTAGGTTTATATTAGAGTATATACAGTAATCAAAACATCTATATGGGTTTCCATTGCAGATAAATAACCAACAAAACATTCTCTCACAGGTGAATGATTAGATTACCGTAATCACTAATGCACTGAGCATTTTCGCACTATATTACCTGTCTAATAAGCAGGAAATTTTGCTTCTGTTGACCTCTTGAACATAGCCAGTTGACAAGCCAAGTAAGGAAGTGTCTTCACCGCTCACAACAACTCTGTCTCCTACCATCAGAATTGTTACAGGCACAGAATCGTTTTTACGCTGGAACCAGTGTAGATACTGTCCATCAGTCACCTCCTGAACACATTTCATTCTGACCATACTTCCAATGCAGTCTCCATGCTTCTCTCTACAAAAATTAAGAACAGTTATTTATTTATTTGTCATGTCATGGCAACCAGTCAATTATATTACATTTCTAACAGAACAAAGCAAACAAACAGACAAAATACAAATTTGGGAGTTTGGTAGTTGATTAAATGTCCTTTGACCAGTATCTGGCCACTTGGAGTGCTTCTGGTGTTGCTGCAAGGAGGTCCTCCATTGTGCATGTGGCAGGGCTCAGGTTGCATTGCAGCAGGTGGTCTGTGGGTTTGCTCTTCTCCACACTCGCATGTCGTGGATTTCACTTTGTGGCCCCATTTCTTGAGGTTGGCTCTGCATCTCGTGGTGCCAGAGCGCAGTCTGTTCAGCGCCTTCCAAGTCGCCCAGTCTTCTGTGTGCCCAGGGGGGAGTCTCTCATTTGGTATCAGCCATTGGTTGAGGTTCTGGGTTTGAGCCTGCCACTTTTGGACTCTCGCTTGCTGAGGTGTTCCAGCGAGTGTCTCTGTAGATCTTTAAAAACTATTTCTAGATTTAAGTCGTTGACGTGCTGGCTGATACCTAAACAAGGGATGAGCTGGAGATGTCTCTGCCTTGGTCCTTTCACTATTGGCTGCTACTTCCCGGCGGATGTCAGGTGGTGCAATACCGGCTAAGCAGTGTAATTTCTCCAGTGGTGTAGGGGGCACGCAGACACCCTGTGATAATGCGGCATGTCTCATTAAGAGCCACATCTACTGTTTTAGTGTGGTGAGATGTGTTCCACGCTGGGCATGCGTACTCAGCAGCAGAGTAGCATAGCGCAAGGGCAGATGTCTTCACTGTGTCTGGTTGTGATCCCCAGGTTGTGCCAGTCAGCTTTCGTATGATATTGTTTCTAGCACCCACTTTTTGCTTGATGTTCAGGCAGTGCTTCTTGTAGGTCAGAGCACGGTCCAGAGTGACTCCCAGGTATTTGGGTGCGCTGCAATGCTCCAGTGGGATTCCTTCCCAGGTGATCCTCAGAGCTCGGGATGCTTGTCTGTTCTTAAGGTGAAAGGCACATGTCTGTGTTTTAGATGGGTTGGGGATCAGCTGGTTTTCCCTGTAATAGGCAGTAAGAGCACCTAGAGCTTCGGAGAGCTTCTGTTCAACCATCTCAAAGCTCCCTGCTTGAGCAGTGATGGCACGATCATCAGCATAGATGAAACTCTCTGTCCCTTCTGGCAGTGGCTGGTCATTTGTGTAGATGTTGGACATGGATGGAGCAAGCACGCTCCCCTGAGGCAGGCCGTTCTTCCATCCGCTTCTCTGGCCCTGGGATTAAAAAAAAAAGCTCCTGTTTTGTAGCAGGTTTCCTATGAGGCGGGTGAGGTGGTAGTCCTTTGTTATATTATACATTTTTCTCAGGAGAAGGTGGTGGTTCACAGTATCATAGGCTGCTGCTGCCTTTCAAAGTCATCTTCTATGTGCTGCATCAGGTTCAGCACTTGCGATGTGCAGCTTTTGCCTTTCCTGAAGCCAGCTTGCTGTGGAATCAGACATGGGTCTATTTTTTCCATAATTCTATGCAGAATAAGTCTCTCCAGAACTTTGTAGAGGTGGCACAACAGGGAGATTGGTCTGTAGCATTACGGTCTTTGCCTGAACAGTAAAACCTGTGAAAACTTGTGGAAGTGTGACAAACCATTGCGATTTATTCATAAGGGGAAATGGTTGCAATTTTTTAAGGTTTTCTTCTTAATGCAGTCTGTAACAGTTCAGTAAAAAAGATAGCAATCTAAAACAAGGACTACAATCCACCCTAAAAACCACAGACAATGCTGACCTTTCTGCAGCAGGCATCATCCATATGTTTCTATGACCCTTCCTTCCATCTTTGCTCTCTGACTCTAAGGTCAGCATCAGATACCAGAGATGAAAATACTCCAAGTGAGATGGCTTCAGATGCTGCGTTTCTTTTTCAATAACAGCCATAACATCTGGAGGAATTAAGGCATTGCTCCGTTGCTCTACAGCCCTGAAAAAAAGTAATAGTTCTCCTGAAAAATAGATTACAATAACAGCTATGATTGTAGTTTATTTGTGACTAAAGCTCCTTTTCTACATTGCAATATAATCCAGTTCAAAGCAGATAATCTGGATTTTATATGGCAGTGTAGAAGGGGTCTACATTTTCCCCCCATTAAAAATGAAGTATCTGGATTTAAAGATGCCCATAATAATGTCACAAGGCCCTTCCACACAGCCATATATCTCATTATATTAAGGCAGAAAATCCCACATTGTCTGAGTGTGGACTTGGGGCCATTCCACACAGCCTTATATCTCAGAATATCAAGGCAGAAAATCTCACATTATCTGAGTGTGGACTCAGATAACCCAGTTCAAAGCAGATATAATGGGATTTTCTGCCTTGATGTTCTGGGATATAGAGATCTGTGGAAGGGCCTTCAGATAACCCAGGGTCCTTCCACAGTCTTATATCCCAGAATATCAAGGTAGAAAATCTCACAATATCCTAATGTGGACTCAGATAACCCAGTTCAAAGCAGATATTATGGGATTTTCCGCCTTGATGTTCTGGGATATAGAGATCTGTGGAAGGGCCTTCAGAAAACCCAGGGTCCTTCTGCACAGCCCTATATCCCAGAATATCAAGGTAGAAAGTCCCACATTACCAGAATGTGGACTCAGATAACCCAGTTCAAAGCAGATATTGTGGGATTTTCCGCCTTGATATTCCTGGATATAGAGATCTGTGGAAGGGCCTTCAGATAACCCAGAGTCCTTCCACACAGCCTTATATCCCAGAATATCAACGCAGAAAATCCCACATTATCTGAATGTGGACTCAGATAACCCAGTTCAAAGCAGATATTGTGGGATTTTCTGCCGATATTCTGGGATATACGGATCTGTGGAAGGGCCTTCAGATAACCCAGGGTCCTTCCACACACCCTTACATCCCAGAATACCAAGGTAGAAAATCCCACATTCACACTCGGATAACCCAGTTCAAAACAGATATTGTGGGATTTTCTGCCTTTATATTCTGGGATATAAGGCTGTGTGGAAGGACCCAGAGAAGGCCTTAAAAGACTCATAGTAACATGTTTGAGTTCTTACACCTTTCTTGTCCATTGCTCATCCTAGGACACATCTACACTGCCATATAATCCAGATTATCAAAGTGGATAATCCACATTATCTGCTTTGAACTGGATTATATGAGTCTACACTGCCATATAATCCAGATGATTGAAGCAGATAATCTGGATTTTATATGGCAGTGTGGAAGGTGCCCTAGATGTAATCAAAACGCTCTGCCTTATTTGTGGGTTTAACCCAGGGGTCCTCAAACTAAGGCCCGGGGGCCGCACACAGCCCTCTAAGGTCATTTACCCGGCCCTCACTCAGGGTCAATTTAAGTCTGAAATGACTTGAAAGCACACAACAACAACAACAATCCTATCTCATCAGCCAAAAGGAGGCCCACACTTACCATTGAAATACTAATAAGTTTAGATTTGTTAAAGTTGTTATTCATTTTAATTATTGAATCATTTTTGCACTACACATAAGTATGTGGAGTGTGCACAGGAATTAATTCATATTTTTTTCAAATTATAATCTGGCCCTCCAACAGTTTGAGGGACTGTGACCTGGCCCTCTGTTTAAAAAGTTTTAGGACCCCTGGTTTAACCTTTTGGTGCGCTCCATCACAGAACCACAACTATATTTATGTTTCTACTTATCGTGGTTCACATATGAGAAAATTTGAGCCAAAATGATGTGCAATAGTACAAATGCAGAGAAGTATCACAATGAAGGCAGTATGAATTCATTGTGGAGTATTATTCACATTAGACACATAAGCCAAGTTTTGATGCACATCTATTATGATACCATGCTACAAAATTCCAAGGATGATTTCAAAATCCTTATGGAAGAAATCAATCAACTGTACCACATTTTCACTTGATTTTTATTTCATACATTT